CCAGGTGGATTGTCTACACTGTTGAAACGCTTGCTGATTTCAGCCACCTGCTCTCCCTGTCAGTGGACCCTTAGGGAAAATAAGCTGATTTTTTAGACTGAATTCAATGTTATGGGATCAAAGAAATCTCCAGCAAAAAAAAAAAACCTATGAAGCATTCTAAAATAAAACCAACCTTATCTGTAGAAAAAGGAGGTTGTTGGCTTAAGTAGCCTTTAAAGTTACCTTCCCACTTTTCAGGCCTCTTGTCTGGAAGTCACTTCATTCAAGAATTGTATGAAGTACCTGTTGTATGCCAAGCACTGTATCACGTGCTGGAGATACAGGAAAAAACAATGCTGTTAAAATTCCTGCCCTAAAACAAAAATAGAAAAAAAAAAAAAAGAGAGAAAGTAAAACAAGGAACAATGACCAAAAAAAAAAACAAAAAAAGAATAAACTAAAAAAGAAACAAAAAAATTCTGCCCTGCAGGAGGTGAGGGCGGTTTTGGGAGACGAACAACAAATTAAACAAGATATACAATCTGTGCTGAAATGATTTTGGCTTTTCTAAGGAGGGAGATGGGAAGCTATTGGAGGGCTCTAAATAGAATAATATGACTTGCCTTCCATGTTACTAGTATCTGTGTGGCTGCTGTGTGAAGAATAGGCTGATGGTGGGAAGGGCAGAAGCAGGGAGTAATGCAACCATGGAAGGGTTGTACTTCGGAGGAGCAGGTTTCCATGCCTAGTAGACAAATGAGACCTGGAATTAGCAGTTGGATACATCAGTCTGGAGTTCAGGGTAAAGGTCAGAGTTAGAGATGCAAATCTGGGAGGTATCAGCATATCTCTAGTGCTGGTGTCTAAAGGCTCCGTCTGGGTGAGAAGGCCAAAAGAACGAAGGAGTGAGCGTGTATAGACAGATCAGGGTTCCAGCCATGAGCCCTGGGGCACACCAGCACTAAGAGTTTCCAGGGAAGAGGAGGAACAGCTACAAAGAACTGTGGGTACTTTGACTTTGCTTCCCCAAACTGGGCCGTTTTGGGTTTTGTTTGTTTGGGGTTTTTGTTTTTTGTTTTTTGGTTTGTTTTGTTTTTGATGATTTTATTTATCTATCTTTAGAGAGAGGGGAAAGGAGGGAGAAAGAGAAGGAGAGAAACATCAATGTGTGAGAGATATATCTATTGGCTGCCTCTCACACACCCCCAACTGGGGACCTGGCCCGCAACCCAGGCATGTGCCCTGACTGGGAATCGAACAAGGGACCTTTCAATTCGCAGGCCGGCACTCAGTCCACTGAGCCACACCAGCCAGGTCTGGGCCATTCTTGATGCATTGCTCCCTTATCAGATGGTACTTTATCCTCTGAAGACATAAACCATATTAAGGAGCTAATTATTTTTTCCTATGCCTAATGTCCTTGGGTAATAATAATTGCTACCTTTTATCACACTGTATGCTTGACATTGTGCTAAGAGTTCATTATCTTATTGAATCTTTCACAATAACTGTATGATATACCCTTTTGTAGTTAAGGAAAGCAAAGCTCAGGAAGACTAATGTGCCCACAGCAGGAAAGTAGGGGGCAGGGAGAGGTTCCAACCCATGCCAGTACTATTCCAAGGCTCATGTTCCTACTTTCCCCTTTTTATTAAGGTAATTACTGAGGGTTTTCAGAGGAAGCATCTGGAGGCCTTTTTAATTGCATGGGCCCATAGTGCCTGTAAGGTTGTATTTACTGCCTAAAACCAGGAAGTATGAACTATTTAAAAGGACTGACCTTCACCTGGAATAAGGAATACAGGGTCCAGTCAGGTAGGTGGTCTCCCTTTCAGGCCCTACATCTTTCTCCAAGAGAAAGACACAGTCCTGCCTGTTCCTTGCTGTCTCAGTCTCATTTGGGGTCATGGCTCTTCAGCATCGAAAATAGGGATTTGATCAAATGTTGAAATGAGAGACAGGAACCCGGAGAGAGAAGTGATACAAGACCACAGATGAAATTTTCCAGCAAAGCAGGAAAACCAGCTGCCGAGCTGCAAAGTCATAAAGGCAGGAAGGAAAACCTCTTCAAAATTTTCAGGGAAGGGCTAACCATTGTAATTAGCTCAGAATACTCCACATTAGATATCTTGTATTTGTATGAGGGGGAACTGCTGAAGAAACTGAAAAGATCATCAAAAGATTTGCCCCAGGGTCAAGCAGCAAGACAGCAACAGGGCTAGAGACAAATCCAAGCCGCAGATTATAATCAGGTCTAATCTGTTCTTTTCACCTTAGCCACAACCTCCCGTAGTACCTCTGGTTCTGAAATCTCCACTAAAGCTATGAAACAGAAGAAATGTGGGGAAGGACAAGAGGTTTGTGGAGAGGACGTGTGTCTACAAAACAGAAAGCTAAGGTTTTGAGGAGCCCCAACCTGGAGGGCAGCAGAAGGCACAATGTAGTGTGTCTTTTGCGGCAAAGCCCAAAGTTTGCAGCAGCATCACATAGGAAAGTACAGCCCACGTGAAACTGACATCTATTATTCCAAATGACCGAGTTTGTTTGTTTTTTTTTTTTAAGATTTTATTTATTTTATTTTTAGAGAGGGGAAGGGAGGGAAACACCCATCCGTTGCCTCTTGCATGTGCCCCAACCAGGACCCGGCCCGCGACCCAGGCATGTGTCCTAACCAGGAATCAACTGGTCACCTTTTGTTTTGCAGGAGGACACCCAACCAACTGAGCCACGCCACTCAGGGCCAACAATCAAGATTTATTTCTTGGTAAGCCTATTGGCAAAAAGTCAAGGGAGGGGTTGTCCCAATATTCAAATATAATTCAATAGGTGGGTTAAAATGAAGTATAAGTAACAACCTTAAAATGTTTTAGTAATTAGCCACTGTGGTTTGTTCTGTGGATGCAAAAGGGTGCTATAAAAAGTAACCTCACAGGGTGGTCTGATCATAAATTCCTAACTGGGCAGGTCATGGTGGTTGTCATGCCTGAGGCATGTAATTTTTTTCTTTTAGTAAAAGATTTATCTTTGTTTTAGGCAAGCCCTGTCCATTGCTTTTGTACACGTAGGTTAACATACCTTGAAAATAAGCCTTACCCACCCTCAAGAGAGCACATAATCTTAACTATTTTGTAATCCAGTACCCGCTTCCTTTCTCCCACCTACATGTAATCTCCCTTACCTTCCCTCCTTAATTCCAAAATGCACAAATGAAACTGCAAAACTGTCATTTTCTGGAGCATTTGAGCTCTTGCTTCCCAGCAACAGTCATGAGTTCAGGCTCAAACTCTGATAAAGAGTCTCTGCAGGATTGGACTTTTCCTATGTCAGCCACTCTGTGAGAGTGTCCTAGACACAAGTCTTAGCCAGGAGCATATGGGGCGTGCATATGAGAACTTGGTTGGTTAGTAGATGCAGTTCTTTGAAATGACAGTGGTGCTTTCTAGGGGAGCTGATGTGCTTGAAAGCAACATGTGGAGACTGTCAGGGAGACTGGTTAGATACATCAAAAAATTTTCAATTTGTCTTCTATGGAGATCAATTCTATGGGGTACAATTTTGGGGCAATGAAATAGAGCCAGGAAATTTCTGTAGCACCCAGAGAATGTGATGTCTCAGGTTTCATTCTTATAATATAATATGGTGGGATTAATGAGAGCAAAACTGTATAAATGATACTGACTCTAACGGGGGGTAGGGAGCCTGGACACCTTAGCTCGAGAGGAGAGGAAATAATGAAAGACTTGTGGAGACCTGGAGAGAATCTTTCTCCCTCCTCCTCTCTCCTTTCCAGGGGAACAGTTAAGGAATTGGGCATTTTCTCACATGTTCTTACTTAAAAGGGAGGAGAAAGCATCCCTTGAATTATGTGCAAGGGCCCAGTAGCCCTGTGCAAAGTCATCTCTGGTAAAAGGCCACAACTTTGTGATCACTAGCCAGTATGGTGAAGGTAGGTGCCAAGTGGCAGCTGTCTGAGACCCCGAGAAAAGCCCAGGGGCAGAGCTCTCCTCGAATTCCAGTGCAGGGCTCAGACGGGGACAAAACATTGCGTTGGGATACTTGAAACAGCAAGGAAAATTAAAGGAGCGATTTCAGACTTTTCCTTCATTCCAGAACCCTTGCGTGAATTAATCATAAGGCTATAAAATGATTTAATTGTTTCAGGGAAAACACGAGCAGTCTTATTGTGAGTCCCTAATTTTATGTCTTTCACCTGTTCTTCAAAAATAAGATTGTTTCCCCATTTTTATTGCTTTGCACCTAGGAAAGTACAAATTCTGTAGTAGTGGTTCCTTGCCCTGGAAAATCATCTGGGAAGCTTTTAAAAAGATACTGTTGTGAAAAAATACAATTTAAAAAGTTACATGGTTTAAACACTGATAAAAATAAAAATAAAAAAAGATACTGTTACTTGAGTCCCATCCCAATCTAATTAAACCACATTCTCTAGGGGTGGTGTCCTGGCATCACTGTTTTTTGAAGTTCCCCACGTCGTTTTATGTGCAGTCAGATTTGAGAATTACTGTTTTGGACCCTCATACTATTATATTAAAGCATGGTTAAAAGAAAAAAAAATAAAACAACGTGATTAATAGGATTTTTTTTTTTTTTTTTTTTTTTTGCAACAATTGATGTGCCTACATCCTTTACAGGCAGTGTGGCCGGCCGGCCCGCTAACAACATTTAAAAAGCTTCCCAAACTTGCAGTCCTTCCACAATCGGGAAGGAAGCAACGCCGACATCTTTCTCTGCCTTGAAATAAACGTCTAGTTGGCTGGGTCGGAGGGACCGAAGTGCCTGGGTCTCCAGTCCACTTGGGACTGGGCTCGGAGGAGGCGCTGGGCCGGGCCAGGCCAGGACGCGGGAGAAGGCGGTGCGGGGTGACACTGCCCCTGCCCGGATTGCGCCCCGCCCTGGGTTCTGCTGGGACCCGACGCCCCGCCTACCCACCCGGGGCGCTGCAGACGGCCGTGCGCTGAGGACTACATTTCCCATAATGCAGCCCGGAGGAGGGCGGGGCCAGGCCGGGCCGGGCGGCAGGAGCCGGGCCTCTGCCGGGAGAGGCGGCCGAGGGCGGTCTTCTTGGGCCCGCGGCCGGACGAGGGGCGGTGGGAGGGGAAGGTGGTCCGCGCTGTGGCCATGTCTGTGTCCGCAGGGTGTCGTGGCTCCGCGAACCTGCGCCTTCAGTCCAGGCTCGGCCAGATACCAGTGCCCTCCCGGGGGTCCGGCAGAGGGCAGTGACCGGCAATCTCTGTGCGTCCTGGATCCCCCGGAGAAACAGGTGAGTCTCTCTGCCCACCCACGTGGCCTGGGGGCGCCGAGACTGGAGAGCTGTCATCCTTGGAGGGAGGGGCTTGACGACGGGGGCTGTGGGTGTCCTGCCGTTTACGCTGCCATTTGCGGTAGGAGGACTGGTTCTCTCCGGGGTCCCTTAGCCGGCTATCCCCCAGCTGGGGAATACAAAAGGCGAGGCCTGGAACCCATCCCTTGGCTGGGAGGGCGAAGTCCTGTAGGGGGCAGTGGCCAAGGAGGACCCGCCCCCCAATGCACACATCCCGCCAGCCGAGTCCTCTCAAGGATCAGCAGAGGTGACTCCGAGCTGAGCTGGGCAGCTCCTGAAAGTGTCTTGGGGCTTAGCACTTTGCTCACCAGGGTGCTCTGGCTCAGATAGCTGGGCTGCCCCGCGGCCTGGGGCAGCCACCCTCTTTGGGCCCTAGGGGAAGGTGAACAGCCTTTGTCAGAGAGGGGAGTGGCTACCAGCAGTGACTAGGATCAGGCCAAGCTCTCAGTGTGGAGTAGGCTATCCTGCTGAAGCACCTATAGCACAGCCTCACTGGGGCCCTGTCTGCCACCCAGCCGCAGGTCCTGGCACCACCCTCCCAGGAAGCCACTCCTCAAAGGGTCAAGCCTGGATGGAGCACTATCTAAGCAGGAAAAGGGAGTCAGGGAAGGGCTTTTGTGAGGTCCTTCTCCTTTCAGGGCGGGCACCTGAGGGAGGGAAGCACACTAGAAGGACCGATCGAGTCACCCTGCTTGGTGGCATGGCTGGTGTCACAGCAGAGCACTTTTAGGCAAAGTAGCAGGCCCTGGGGGTTCTAGAGAAGCTGCCTGAGAAGGATCCTCAAGGGAGCATGGGACTGGTTCCAAGAGACCTCTCTTGCTTAACAGTCTGAGCCTCCCAAGAACTTCAGCTACACAGGTTACGTGGCTCTAGCGGGGGCTGGGGTGGGTTTTGTTGTTAATCACTTAGCTCCCTGCCTAATTTCCAGGGTAAGTGACCAGAGAACTGTTTGCTTCATCGGGGCTTCTTGCTGGACGCCCAGATTGACCTTGGAGATGCTGAGATGTTGCATGATCTCAGAGGGCAGGGGAACCGTAGTAAATGAAGGAGGCCTCCACCAGCCCCGGCCAGCTGTCCCTTCCCCCACTCTATGTGGGTACCGCTCAACCAGGCTTGATTCGGTCATCTGAAGCCCACAAGGGCCAGTAGGTAGTGGGCCCTCGGGACGCCGAGTTAGTTGCTGTCAACCTTGTTTGGATCTTTGAGCCAGAGGTGCAAGGCTACAGAACAGGAACATGTGGCAGATCAAGGAGTTCAACTTGGGAAAGACTTCTAGGAGCAGCAGAGGTATAATGGTCTGTTTTTGCAAATCCAGGGCCCATGAATAGCCAGTTCGCCTCGAGGAACTCCCAGCCCTAGTCCCATAGGCAGCTCTTTGGCCCAGTATCAAGGTGGGTCCCTTCAGGCCAAAGCCCAGCTGGCTTCACAAGGTCAGAAGCACATTTTCCCAGGCCAGGTCACTCTGGGCCTGACTCAGGGTGAGCAAACTCTCAAAAGACTGATTTACATGGCAGAGACCACTGGATGTATCCGAGCATAACTGCACACAGTCTGAATGCTAAGTAAGAATAATCGTGACGTGGGAATGGCAGGAGCTGAGTCTACAGTGGCTATTCCGTGCCAGGGTAACCAGATTACATGGATTATCTCATTTAATCCTCCGCAGCCTAATGAATCTTTGCTGTCATTGCCCCCGTTTTATAGATGAGAAAGCTGAGATTTATAAAACCAAACCAGGCTGATCCAGGTTCCTCTCCAGAACCATTGTTCCTGAACACTTGACCACCAGCAAGGACAAGTCTTCCCCACAGGCAGGGGTCTCCGGAGGCTACACTGTAGCTTGATGTTCTTCCAGGGTCTTTTACCTTCTTTAAGAACATAAAGACCACCTTGAGCAGGCCAGTTTGGGAAGTAGCAAAGCTATCAAGAAGCAAAGTCTTTATTTTTATTTAAAAAAATATTTTATGTATTTATTTTTAGAGAAAGGTGAAGGGAGGGAGAAAAAGAAGGAGAGAAACATCGATCAGTTGCCTCTTGCACGCTCCCAACCAGGTCCTGGCCCACAACCCAGGCGTGTGCCCTGATAGGAAGTCAACCAGTGACCTTTCAGTTTCCAGGATGACACCCAGCCCACTGAGCCACACCAGTCAGAGCAGATTCTTGATTTGCACATTTTGCACTTAGCATCAGTAATCCATTCCACAAAATTTGGACATTCTGTCTGGAGTCACTAACTCTTAAGTGTCTGTTTCCTATTAAGTGGGAAAAAATAAAATGCTTCCCTCATCAACCCAAAATCCTCAATTTTGAAAAATGGTACTAAAACACAGGGGAAATATATACCTGATATATGCCCAATAAATTATAGTGTTGGGATGTAAATTGTTTAAAGTGTTTCCACTTGATCCAGGAGCGGTCGCTGCTGTGAGCGCACACAGCTCCTTTCAGTACCTGCAGCATGATGCACGGGGGCCCCTTTTGCCGGCATTCAGTGGTCTTCCATCAGTTCTGTTTGGAATGTAATTTGAGATTTTAAATACACACTATGTTAAAAATGCTGATCAAATTTTGATGCTGTAAATATACATTTTTCTATGTAAACAGAGGCTGAATCAATATCTGTTTATTGTATTATTCATCTATTGCTGTGTAACAAGTCATGCCAAAACTCAGGAGTTTAAAACAACAGTAAATATGTACCCTCTAATACAATGCCTGTGGGTCAGGAACGTTGGAGCAGCTTAGCTGGATGGTTCCGGCTTAGGGCCTCGTGAGGTTGCACTCGTCGGCAGGCATGGCTGGGACGAGCTGATTTGCTTCCAAGATTGCTCGCTTGCATGACTGGCACTGGAGCTGGCTGTTTGCAGGTCTCATTTTCTGGCCACGAGTTTCTGTAGGTCTGCTTGTGTCCTCACAACACGGCTGATGGTCACACTTAGAGAGAGTGATCTAAGAGAGCGAGGCAGAAGCCACTGTGTCTTTTATGACCTGGCCTCAGAAGTCGTGTGTCATTTTCACATTATCCTACTGGTTACATAGATCAGCCCTGCTCAGTGTGAGAGGGGAATACACAAAGGAAAGCCGTGCACGCCAGGAGTAGAGTCACTGGGGACCAAATAAAAACTGGCTACCAGGGGTTGGGTGTTAAAAACCAAGAGGCAGCTCTGGCTGGTGTGGCTCAGTGGATTGAGTGCTGGTCTGTGAACCAAAGATGTCGCCGGTTCAATTCCCAGTCAGGGCACGTGCCTGGGTTGCAAGCCAGGTCCCCAGTAGGGGGCACGTGAGAGGCAACCACACACTGATGTTTCTCTCTCTTTCTCCCTCTCTTCCCCTTTCTCTAAAAATAAATAAACAAAATCTTAAAAACAAAACAAAACCCCAAGAGGCGTTCTGTGGGAAAATGTTACCTAGAGAGACACTTGGCAGGGTGAGTCTGTATTCTGGAGTACAGCTACAGGAGTTGCAGGTGGTTTGGCATATGAGATGTGGGGAAAAGAGGGGCATAAGGGATGATGCTAGGGTTTTTCATCGAACAACTAAAAATGTGAAATTGTCTTTCACCGAGATGGAGAAAACACTGGGCAGAACAACTTCTTAAGGGGAAGACCAGAAACTCAGTTTGGGACATAGGACTTTGAGGTCCTGTAAGGCACCCAAGTGTGTGTGCCTCTAAAAGTCACAAGAGAACCCTGGCTGGTGCACCTCAGTGGATTGAGTGCTGGCCTGCAAACCAAAGGGTCATTGGTTCAATTCCCAGTCAGGACACATGCCTGGGTTACGGGCCAGGTTCCCTCTAGGGGGCATGCAAGAGGCAACCGCACATTGATGTTTCTCTCCCTCTCTTTCTCCCTCTCTTCTCCTCTCTCTAAAAATAAATAAAATCTTTTAAAAAATAAGTAAAAGTTGCGAGAGAGATTGGCACTGGAAATAGGAATTTTTAAAAAAGATTTTATTTCTTTATTGAGAGAGGGGAAGAGGGGGGAAAAAAGAGGGAGAGAAACATCAGTGTGTGACAGATACATCAGTAGGTTGCCTCTCACCCACCCCCAGCTGGGGTCCTGGCCCGTAAGCCAGGCATGTGCCCTGACTGGGAATTGAACCGGTGGCCTTTCAGTTCTCAGGCTGGCGCTCAAGCCACTGAGCCACACTAGCCAGGACTAGAAATAGGGATTGTTGATAGCTGTTTGTAAGCTAGCCTGATAGGAGCACCTGCCTCAAAGATGAGTGAGCAGGAAGAGATAACTCAGTCCACATCAACTTCTTAGCATGCTACCTGGGCGGTCAGTAAGTGTTAGCTGATGTTATCAGTTTGTAAAATAAAAAATATTTACATTTTATATGCATTTCTGAAAAAGACTAGGAGGAAATAGACTAAAATGTAAACAGTGAAAGATTCTGCATGGTGGGGAAATGACTTTTTTAAAATACTTTTTTGTACTTTCCAAGTTTTCTACAAAGAATAGATACCATAAGTTCTTCCTTTTTTATGATCAGAAAAAGAACAACATAGTTCATTTTTTAGAGAGGAATACTTGGAACCCACTCCCCAGAAGTCGGAGCCAGGTGGGGCCTGGAGGGGGCGCTTTCCTGGACTGAACCCCTGTTAATGACGCCAGGGCTCCCTGCCAAAAGCACCTTCCCTCTTCCCCTGGATGATGCCTTTGTTTGCCCTGCAGGAGCGCCCAAGGCATGGCTGCCGACATGCAGAGGAAGAGGAGCAGCGAAGGCCCCGAGGGCACGTTGGCACCTTTGGACGGGCCGAGTGTGGAGAGAGCAGAGAGCCCCACGCCGGGGCTGGCCCAGGGCATGGAGCCAGGTATGGGCAGGGCGGGCAGCCGGTGCAGCCTCCAGGGCAGCGGGGCTCCCAGCCACCCTGGCCCTCCCGCTTGCTCACGGGTGTGTTCAGCAACTCATGGGGTATTTGTTAGGTGCCAGGGGGCCGCAGGTAACCGAGCCGGTCTGCGTCCAGCTCCCTCTGCCCTTCCCGTTGGGCCACGCGCCCTGAGCTGTCTGGTTGCCAGCCCGGGCTCTCCTCCTAGTCCCTGTGTCTACAGGGCACCCGCCTGGCTCCTCGCCACTCAGCTCTCAGCATAAATGTCACCTCCTCATGAGTGAGGCCTGCTCTGACCATGCTCTGTACAGAACGTTAGCTATTTTGTAATTTTATTTTATTTTTTTTATGTATGCTTTGCCCATCTCGCCCATCCACGGATTGTGGGCTCATTGAGCACAGGGCAGTTATATCCTTGTATCCACAGTGCCTGGTACAGTGCTGAACTCATAACAGAGACCCCAAATATGTCTGTCGAACTATTCTGTCAAAAAATAAATCAGGAGAGGAAGATGGACAGGTTCCCTGGGGGAGTCACGGGCGGGGGGACCGTTCCAGTGGAGCGGGTCAGGATCTGTGGCTGAGCGGCCGAGGCGCCTTTCCCCAGGGAGAGATTCGCCGAGCGCAGGAGGTATTCCAGGCGAGGTGCTGGGCACCGTGGTGAGCAGCCAGGCCCCTGCCCTTGGCAGGGAAGCAACCCCATCACAGTTAGGAAGAAGGACAATGACCAAAAAGTGTCACATGAGAAATTCAAGAGGGAGGTATGATAGAGTGCCTGGGGTCGGAGGTCAGGTGAGGAGGCCACGAACATCTTTGCTGACAAAGAGCAAGCCGTGCGAGGAGGTGGGAGTGCCTTCCGGGCAGAGGGGACAGCAGGTGCAGAGGCCCCAAGGTAGGTGGGGGGTTGAGGGTGTCCCAAGGGCAGATGGGCAAAGGCCAGTGTGACTGGGATGAACAAGGGCTGTGAGATGAGAGTGGGAGAGGCGGGCAGATGCCAGCTGCCCCCATAGCCATGAGGGGCTGGGGTCTTATTGCCGTGTGATACGGGGGAGCCTGGCGGCCTCTAAGGTTCAGGGAGGCATGACTGGCTGCAGACAGTAGCAGGAGGGAAGAGTGACTTGCCACATCGGAACAGGCAGTCAAGCTACAGCGTGGACAAGGCACCTTGCTGGTGAGGTGCCGGCGGCTGCTGCTCTAAGCTCCAGTGCTTTTGGCCGGCAGGTGCTGGGCAGGAGGGCGCCATGTTTGTCCATGCCCGTTCCTACGAGGACCTGACTGAGTCGGAAGATGGGGCGGATCCCGGAGAGAGTCCCAAAGAGGGTGCTGGGGGCCCGCCACCGCTGCCTGCAGACATGCGCCAGATCAGCCAGGACTTCAGTGAGCTGAGTACCCAGCTGACAGGTGTGGCCCGTGACCTCCAGGAGGAGATGCTGCCGGGAAGCTCTGAGGACTGGGCAGAGCCCCCCAGGGCAGCTGGGAGACCAGCCGCCGAGCCCCCCAGGGAGGGCGCAGGCGAGGGGGATGAGGAGGAGGCTGTCGAGGCCTGGCGACTGCACCAGAAGCATGTCTTCGTGCTGAGCGAGGCAGGGAAGCCTGTGTACTCCCGCTACGGGTCAGAGGAGGCACTTTCCAGCACCATGGGTGTCATGGTGGCCCTGGTGTCCTTCCTGGAGGCTGACAAGAACGCCATCCGTTCCATCCATGCAGGTGAGCCACCTGGAGGGGCTGGAAGGGCTCCCCTGGCCAGGGTTCATTCGGAGCAGGTTTTGGACTCACAGGGCCTAAGAGGGACGGGACGTGCTGCGTGAGGGAGAGCGGCCCCTCCACTCGCGAGGCGTAGGTCCTCATCTGAACGGGGAATAACAACACTGACTGCCTCACTGGGCTGTTGTGAGGGCCAAAGGCGGTTCTCAGACGGGCTTTGCACTTGGAGAGGGTGAGAAGCCTGAGAAGGTAACCAAAAAATCCTAGGTCCTGAGCCCCACCTAGCTCTTGCCATTTAGCACAAGAATGTGTTTTTCTGAAGTGCTTCCTGCATTTCAGCTGGTGCCAGTGTGTGAAGCAAGTTGCAGGGCCGGTGTCGGTCTCTCAGGGAAGGGGGGCTGTGAGCTGCTGTTTTCTCATCCGGAAGCCCCTACTGTGTACAGAGCCATGAGGGAGAGTGGAGAGGGTACGGAAAGCGTCAAGCTGCCAGGAGGCGGGGCTCGGAGAGATCTGGTTAAGACCAGTCTGGGAGGGCTTCTTGGAGAGGGGCTAAGGCTGACATCTCACCTCCACTCCCCCACTCACCCCCAGATGGCTACAAGGTAGTATTTGTACGCCGGAGCCCCCTGGTGCTGGTGGCAGTGGCCCGCACGCGGCAGTCAGCGCAGGAACTGGCACAGGAGCTGCTCTACATCTACTACCAGATCCTGAGCCTCCTTACAGGCGCGCAGCTGAGCCACATATTCCAGCAGAAGCAAAACTACGACCTGCGGCGCCTGCTCTCGGGCTCCGAGCGCATCACCGACAACCTGCTGCAGCTCATGGCGCGAGACCCCAGCTTCCTAATGGGGGCTGCGCGCTGCCTGCCCCTGGCGGCTGCCGTGCGCGACGCCGTGAGTGCCAGCTTGCAGCAGGCGCGTGCACGCAGCCTTGTCTTCTCCATCCTGCTGGCGCGCAACCAGCTCGTGGCACTCGTGCGCCGCAAGGACCAATTCCTGCACCCCATCGACCTGCACTTGCTCTTCAACCTCATAAGTTCTTCCTCGTCCTTCCGCGAAGGCGAGGCCTGGACGCCTGTGTGCCTGCCCAAATTCAACGCAGCCGGCTTCTTCCACGCGCACATCTCCTATCTGGAACCTGACACCGATCTCTGCCTGCTGCTCATCTCCACCGACCGCGAGGACTTCTTTGCAGTCTCTGACTGCCGCCGCCGCTTTCAGGAGCGCCTGCGGAAGCGCGGAGCCCACATGGCGCTGCGGGAGGCACTGCGCACCCCCTACTACAGTGTTGCCCAAGTGGGCATCCCTGACCTGCGCCATTTCCTCTATAAGTCAAAGAGCTCGGGACTCTTCACCAGGTGAGGGAGGGCCTGGGGGACACTGCTTGAGGGAGATGGGGGATTGGGGAGGGAGTTGGTTGGTTCTGAGCCCTGATGCAGAGCTGAAGCTGAGAACCCGCCAGGGGTCAGGGAATGGACGACATGCTGGGGCCGTTTGACTCTGATACAGGGACCCTGACTCCCTATTGCCCTACTCTCAACGGGCATACATCTCCCTACTTCATCACCCAGAGGGGCTGGAAATGCCCAGATACACCCAGGGCAGGGCACAGGAACAGAAGTCTCCTGGGTCCCTTGCCCTGGAGCAACTTTGCCTTAGAGGCCACTTTGGCCCAGCCCAGGGCGCAGAACTCCTCCACTTCCTCCTCCAGCAGAGGCGCTGGGCCCAGATGTGGCAGCTTCTGTCCTCTCTTTACCCCTTTTGGGTCCAGAGGGTCCCCAGCTCAGCTTCCCCTTCACTTTAGACCTGTCACTCTGTCTTAGACGGCTCCACTCAGACTGGCCTCTCCAAAGGAGGACCACCAAGGATGCCATGAACTTGGGAGAGGGAGAACAGGCTTCCAGTCTGGGGGGGGGCCCAGCTCTGTCCTGTCTGGAGGGAGCATTTGGAGGAGTCTCCTTGGTTAGGAATAGATGTTTCCAGATCTCCAGAGAAGGCAAAGAAAGTCATGCCTTTGCAAACTCACTCCCCATCTCCAGCCCCGAGATCGAGGCCCCGTACACCAGCGAGGAGGAGCAGGAGCGGCTCCTGGGCCTCTACCAGTACCTGCACAGCCGGGCCCACAACGCCTCCCGCCCACTCAAGACCATCTACTACACAGGCCCCAACGAGAACCTCCTGGCCTGGGTAAGGCAGCCCTGGGATGAGCTGGGCTTCATCGGGGTTCCAGGCAGCGGCCACCAGGGGTGCCTAACCTGGATGATCCCCCTGTGCCCCCTCCCTCAGGTGACAGGTGCCTTTGAGCTCTACATGTGCTACAGCCCCCTGGGGACCAAGGCGTCCGCCGTCAGCGCCATCCATAAGCTGATGCGCTGGATCCGCAAAGAAGAAGACCGCCTCTTCATCCTGACGCCCCTCACGTATTGATGGGAATGTGTGGGCTCCGCCCTCCCGAGCCCGAAGCCAAGGGAGCCCCCGGGCGGGGCTGGCCTCTCTGGCCCGGCAGCAGGCAGGGACTGCGGGTTGATGCGTGCATTAAAGTGCTTTGGGGAAGACACTCGTCAGGCCTCGTCACTGGTTCCTTTGCTCACCCGCTCCCACTCGTGTACAGACACTGGATGCGCCTCCCTGGCCCTGACCTGCTTCCCCGTGCGCAGGGGCACGGGCACACTTCGGCCCGCCTCCTCCCTCCCTCAGACAGCATGAGGCCACACCGGCTCAGAGTTGCACCCTGGGGGTGGGCTGTGTTCATGCAGCTGAAGTCCTGCCACAGGTAAAGGTGGCCCCACTGGCTTTGCCCCTCATAGCCCCACCCCCGCACTCAGTCTGAGCCCCTGGTGGTTCCCCTCTCACTCCTACGCGGGGCCCCTGTCCATGTGCCCCAACGGACCGCCCAACGATCCTGGAAGCCCTGGCTGTGGCTCTGCTCCGTGGGCTGCTGGAGCTCAGCAGGGACAGCTGAGTAAGATGGGGACTGTCAACGGGGGAGAGTCTGAGCCCTGATACAACTGGGCGCCCCAGGAGGCTCCGCAGTGACATCCTAGCCGCGTTCGCTCTGTCATGAGACCCTCTCTGGGCAGATGTCAAGGCACGGTGCAGAAAGCCTCCACCTTGCTGCTAGGGGGCTTCTCCCAATTCTGCCACAACTTAACCATCTCATTGGCAGCGGGAGCGAAAGACCTAAGAAGTCTTCATCAGAGAACAGTGTCCACTGATTATGGGCTTCAGACTGTAGAATGACTCTCCTCGTGCAGTGTCTGAGAGCTAGGCTAAGATGCTCTGCCGCTAGAGCCAACCCGCCTTGGAGAACATGTCCGTGTGGGTGGCCTAGGCCAAGGGTGCCTTGGAATGGTTCCACGTACTGTCCCAGGAAGTGGCAGCATAGCTTTTGCCCTTGGCCCTGTCCTGGTCCCTTCAGAGTGGGTATGGCAGCAGGTCATATGCCGACACCCCTAAAGCCTCCAAGAGCAGCCCCAGGCTTGGTGGGTGCTGCTCACCCTGCACACGTGCCCTGGGGTTCTTTTCTGCCTGTTTCCTGCTTCTGTTCTTCCCCTCAATCCTGGCCACTCCAAACCACTGCTTCTGGGGCCAGAGAGATGCCAGGCCAACTGTCCCTGACTCCTACTGGTGTCCTGGTGGATGGTCGGCCCCGACGTACCCCTGTTGGCTGTCCTGATCCCTGCAGGGCTTCAGCCTCTCTGCGGTTCAGCACCTATTCTGGGTGGGTGTCGGAAGGGGTGGTCACAATTAGAGGAGTGTGTGTATCTAGGAGAGCAGGCGCCTAGGAGTGTAGGGTTTATCTGGGGATCTGGGGAGGGATGACAGACAGGAAGGGTGTTCCCAGGAAGGAGCTGGCATGTGCAGAGGGAAGGACCTGGTAAAGAAGCTGGTATGACTGGTTTTCGATGAAGCTGGAGGAGTCTTCAGGGCCTCGAGTTCTCAAGCTCCAGGTAAAAGTCTGGCACTGGGGGGCCACTGAGTGTATTCAAGTTGCAGAGTGATGGGGTTCCACTGCAGACGGAGGAGTCCCCTGCTGCCGCTGAGATCTCTCTGAGTTGGAGAAAGAGGCTGGCCCTGGTTCCCTGCAGTATCTTTCCAAGGGGAGTGAGAGCCCAAAGAAGGCAGAGTGGCTAGCACTCCTTCAAGGTGACAGATGACGCGCAGTTGGGCAGGTCATATGCCAAACTTGGGCCAGGCTTTGTGAGTTCACCTTGGTGGAGGCTTGTACTGGGCACTGCAAGGCCCCATTAGCTGACTTCCCCCTTCCCCCACAGGGCTTGCCGGCCCCTCCTTTCGAAGAGCAAGCAGACCGTGGGTGGGGGTGCTGGGAGGGACACACCGCAGGCCCTCCTGTGGACACCTGCTGCCAGTGCCCCAGGCTGCCTGGGAGGAGATGCTGGCCTGGGGGCAGCCAACAGCTTGGCCACAGGATGGCAGCAGAGAACCAATTGTTAATTGCTGCACCCCACCCCCAGAACGGGTGGACAGGGTGCTTAAGGAGGGCTCCAGAGTGGCCCAAAGGCAGGATACAGGTCACAAGACTCCGTGCCTCTGCCCCAGGCGCAGAATGTTTCCTTTCAGCCTTGCCCTGCATGACTATCTTTAGACATGTTGACTGGAGCACAGGAACCAAGCCATGGTTTTTCATGCTTGTTTATTCATTTCCGGGCCTACTCGGGTAACAGAAGGGAGTGCCTTTTACATGACCTCGGGCACTGTATCCTCCCAGCACCGTCACCAGGTGCTCAGCCTCCAGGGGTAGTGGAGTCCAGCACTAGGGATGCGGGAAGCAGGAGAGTCAGGCATCCAGAAGGAGCTGCACTGGGGTGGATGTAGTACAGGGTCTGTGAGACCCCCCCACCAAAAAAAAAAAAATCGACCTGGCACTGCCTGGATTAGGAAGGTTTCCTGGAGAATGTGCCACCTAAGCTGCAAGAAGAAGAAGAAGAAGGGAAAAGGGTGCTCCTGGAAGGAGGCACAAGGAGCCTGGCCTGGGCAGGGAGTGGAGGAGATACAGCTTCCCTGGCCAGGCCAAAGCCTGTTGGGCTGTGGCCTCCTCTCGCTCCTGCTCCCCTTACTCTCCAAAGTCCTGGGGCCCACGATTCACAGGCCCTCAGGCCAGGGCTGCCCTGGGAAGCTTTCCCTGCCTCCAGGGTCCCAGCCCACTTGGCTGAGAATGTCCCCCAGAGCCCCTCTTCCTTGTTAGGCGGGACCAGTGTCGATGCCTGTAGAGAATTTTTTATGAGTGTATTTGAGCCAAACTGGTGACAATTGCTGGGGAAGCAAAATCTGAATGGATTGAAAAAATCCTCTGGTAAATGGCAGTTTTTCAGCTTACTCTGTACATTTAGAATCAAATGAGAAGTTGTAGGGAGGGTTACATGATATTTATTGGTGGTAGATTAAAAAGAAAACAACAGTGGGGAGAATCTCTGGGATTAGTTAAAAAGTAAAACTGAGAGACACACACTTCTTTCACATGGGCAGGTGCAGGCCAGTTAACATGTACAGTACATAGAGGTGCTATTTGAGGAACAAAGTAACAATGAGGGGTTCCATGGTCTCATGCTGGGTACTGCGGTTGTGCCCAGAGGAGTCTTAGAGACACAAAGACAGTAGACCAGATGAGTTAAGATTGACCTTTGTCAAGGAAGCTACAGGCCTAGGTTGTGACTACCCACCATGACCCACTTCTTATTCCAAATTTTTGTGGTCAGACCAAACTGGGTCTCTGAGTTTGCAGGGCCTGCCACGCTGGCCTCTCCTGAGCTTGTCGGGTTTAGCATGTGGCCCCTTTTTCACCCATGCCGGTTACCAAGGGGAAGCCGCTGAGGTCCCAGTGAGAGACAGCAAGGGCAGGCGTGGGTTGCCTCGCCTACCCCGCCCCCGCCCCCCACCCCCCAGCCTGGGGAGAGGGCTCTGGGCCCCCACCTTGTCCGAGCTACATCCTCCTTTCAAAGGGAGAGACCTGAGGCCCAGGAAGGCCTGCAGGGCAGGTTAGAGGTGCCCGAGCTTCCCCGCGTATCAGGGGGCGCCGCAGCAGAGCTGGGGAGGCAGGCAGGCCTTATGCGTTCTTGTCCCCATCCCACAGCTTCTGCACATGATGGGGGGACCCGAACGAGTGCTGGGCCTCCCCACAAGCTCTCCTCTGACTCCACAGTTCAGAGAAAACCCCTGCTGGCCCACCTTACGGCCCCTCCCATCCAAAGGTGGTCACGGCGCCACACACCTTACTCAGGCGCCATCCTATTGCCGACAGTCCAGGGCAAGCCCACGGGAGGATGGCCCCTGCCCACGGAGGGCAGTGTCACTCCTGGGGTGCACTCACCTCTCCCCTCCGGTCCCGCATACGTTCCTGTTCTCTTCCCCACACAGTGGGTTCCCCAGGTCCTCCCCGGGAACCAGCATTGAGGGTGCTGCTGGAAAAAGGCACGGAGAGAAAAAGTGGGCTAGGTCGTCCTCGAAACCCGCCCCCCCCCCCCCCCCGACCCCCGCCCCTGGCACCGGGGCGGCTCTGCCCCCTCCTCACCTCAGCCCAGTGCGGGGGCGGGCCTGGACTGGACGGTTCAGGCCTACTTACTTCTCTCCAGGCCACTCCAGGCGCACTCAGTCCCAGGCCACTGAGAGAAAGACGCGCAAGGAGGAGCGGGACATCCCAGGCTTGGGAGAGCCTGGAGGGCCAGCCCGGCCCGGCCCAGCCTGGCCCAGCCCAGCCTAGGACGGGCTCCTCCCGCCGCCCCGCCCCCAACCTTGGCCCCGCCCGCCCTCGCCGCCGGCGACCCGCCGACTTTGCTCTCAGCGACGGCCAGGAGCGGCGGCTAGGGCAGCAAGCAGGTGAGTCGGCCTCTCCAGCTCCAGCCCCCTGTGTGCGCCCTTCTGTGCCAGGCGCTCGACCTGAGGGCAGGGGAGGAGAGGGGAGCGTCACAGGAGCCCCAGGCAGGGGTCCGCTGCCCAGGGCTCTCAGGACTCGCGCGGGACGCTGGTCCCAGCCCTCGAGTCTGCTCCCAGCCGGGCCTTTGGCCTGTGGGAGTGCCCTTGGGGCCCCCGTGGGCCTCGATGGAGCTCCTCCCGCAGCCCCTGCGGCCCTCCCTGCTGCTGCTGCTGCTGCTGCTGCTGCCGCCGCGGGGGGTGCCCACGGCTGGCAGGTCCTGGCAGTGCCCGCGCATCCCCTACGCCGCCTCCCGCGACTTTGACATGGAGTACGTGGTGCCCAGCTTCTCGCCGGGCGGGCCGGTACAGGCCCTGGCGACCTTTGAGGGCGGCGAGGATGGAAGTGCCGTGTTCGTAGCCACGCGCAATCGCCTGTACATGCTTGGGCCAGACTTGCAATTCCTCGAGAGCCTGGTCACAGGCCCCGCTGGGGACCCCGGCTGCCAGACATGTGCGGCCTGTGGCCCGGGCCCCCACGGCCCGCCAGGTGACACAGACGCCAAGGTGCTGGTGCTGGACCCGGGACTGCCGGCCCTGATCAGCTGCGGCTCCAGTCTGCGCGGCCGCTGCTTCCTACATGAGCTCGAGCCTGGCGGATCCTCCCCGCGCCTGGCACCGCCATCCTGTCTCTTCTCTGCCCACCACAACCGGCCCGAAGACTGCCCCGACTGTGTGGCCAGCCCTCTGGGCACCCTCGTGACCGTGGTTGAGCAGGGCCGCGCCGCGTACCTCTATGTGGCGTCTTCGCTGGACGCGGAGGTAGCCGCGAGCTTCAGCCCACGCTCAGTGTCTATCCGGCGCCTCAAGGCCGACGCATCAGGATTCGCACCGGCCTTCAAGGCACTGTCGGTGCTGCCCGCGCACCTCGCGTCCTACCGCATCGAATACGTGTACAGCTTCCACGCGGGGGACTTCGTCTACTTTCTGACTGTGCAGCCAGCCAGCCTGGCTGCCGCCCCTGGCGCCTTACACACGCGCGTGGCCCGGCTCAGTGCGATTGACACTGATGTGGGCAACTACCGCGAGCTGGTCCTCGACTGCCATTTCGAACCCAAGCGTCGGCGACGCGGGGCGTCGGTGGTCGGGCAGCCATACCCGGTGCTGCGGGCAGCCCACACCGCTCCCGTAGGCAGCCAGCTGGCCGCCGAGCTGAGCATAGCGGAGGGCGAGGAAGTGCTCTTCGGGGTCTTTGGGGCCAGCAGAGACAGTAGCCTCGGTGGGGGCCCCAACTCGGTCGTCTGTGCCTTCCCCATCGATCTGATGGACAAGCTCATAGAGGAGGGCGAGGAGCGCTGCTGTAAGCCACCCGCCCGCCCGGGCCTCCGGAGAAACCTCGACTTCTTCCAGGCCCCCAGTTTGTGCCCCAACCCGGTAAGTGGAACAAGCCCCTCTCATCTGTGAGTGGTGGCTGAGGCCAGGCTGCTTTCCTTCCACCCCTGAGAGCACCGGGGAGCCTGGAGGGCCAGAGAGGGGTTTTCTCTGCCACCCACTCCTGTCGGGCTGCAGTGGTGTGAGGGAGTCGGCCAAACAAAGGCCCCGCAGCCAGGCGAGCCCCCCAGCCAGGCGAGCCCCCCAGCCAGGCGAGCCCCTTGCGGCTGCCCCGTTTTGCTCTCACCCTCTCACCTATCTTGGTCTCTGATTTTTTAGGCAGTTTCCCTGGTTATGTGAGAACTGGGTTGCATCATAACTGTCGCTCTGCCGGGAGCCCTGCCAAGCTCTGGGTGAACGATGGGCATCCCCCCTGTCTGCCCACTGCACGTCCCCTCTGGGACAGACACGGAAAGCAGCCTCCCCACACCCTCAGAGGCTCACGGACCCACCCAGGCTCACAGCTGCTCACCAGCACAGTTCCTTTTCTTTTTCAAATTTAATCTTTATTGTATTCCCCCTCCCCATTACCATTTAATCCCCTTCTACCCACTTCCCCATAACGCAGTTTCACTTTCTCTGTGGGAGCACTTGTTTTGTTCTGCTGTCCAAGGAGGATGGGGCAGGAGGGGTGGAGAATGCCCCCACCCCTGTTCCAGGGAGCTTCCTGGGCCAGGGAGGTGTGGGGCTTGCCAGGGAGTTTGCATGGCTTGGGTTTTTTGGACCTACTCATCCCTGATTGATCGTTCTCCATAGGGTGATTGTGGGAGGCCCCAGGACATGGTGGGAAGGTGGCTTGGTTCTCGTAGATTCCAGGAGGCTCAACCCTGGTCTTGTGCAAACAACTGTAAACATCTAGGAATGAGTAAAGCCTGGTTGGAACTGATTCACCGCCACACAGGAGTCCCAGGCATTTTTCCATTCTCGTTGGGGCCCTGCCCAAGTCTCCCTTCTCACCCTGGGCAGGAGGTCTCCCAACCCATGCTGAATCGGGGGCTCCTTCCCGCAGACCCTGAGACCCCGGTTCTCCCAGGCCATGGTGTCAGGGAGTTGGAGCAGAGACAAACAGGGCATTCCTTAAAATGCTGAGGACAAAACCAAAACTGATTTCTTGAAGCCACCGAAGCAGTCTCACCTTAGATCACGGGAAATTAAACCAGGAAAATGGGGTGAATGGCATGGGACAAGTGGTCTCTCAGCGAGCTGACCCACAGTCACTGCTTGCAGTCTGTGGCTGCCCTGTGGCCGTGGCCCTGCCATGACATTCGCCATCAGTTCCTTCCCAGCTCCTGTTGATGGCTCAGAGGTGGGAGAAGTTTGACGCATGAGGGTGGGGGAGTCTTCCGCCTCCCTCCCTCAGCTGATGTCCTCTTGGTTGAGCAGGCCCTAGGGCTGGGGCTCCCTTGTCTGGGCCTGGCAGCCCTGCCTGCCCTCTTCTTCTCCCCCCTGGGGCATCAGGACCTCTCCCCAACTTGGCTAGCGGTCAGTGGGTCAGAAGACACCTAGCAAGACTTGGTAGTGCCAGGCCCTGCCCACAGGTTGGGTCAGCCCCTGGGATGTACGTGAGCCAGCTCGTACTGTTTGTCCAGTGACCAGCCATGTGCTCTCCAGGGCAACATCCGCTGAGCGCTCCTTGGGGCTGGGCTCAGGAAGCCTGAGAGGCGCGGAGCTGCCGCCTGGCCCTCCGTGGGTCCTGGTAGGGTTTGAGTCTGAGGCAGTCGCTCTCCTCTGGGGGGCATCGCACACTAAAGTGTTCAGGAGCTGTGGGCCCCTCGACAGGCCTGGGGAGCCAGAGCTAAGACTCTGGAACCCAGGGCAGCAGGCAAGGGCGTGACTCCAATGGGAGTAGGGCCTCTCTTCCGCCCCTCAGCCCCACCTGTTCCTGAGTCATGCTGAAAACACCTGGCTGGCTTCCGGCTAGGAATAGGCCTCTTTCCTTCCTCAAGTGAGGGCAGAGTCTCAGGCCCTGCCTACCCAGGCTGCAGACCCAGAGTGAGTGGAGTTTCTGGGCCCAGCCCTGCACCTGCTCCTGTCCCCAGCGCTCCTGATCGGTGCTCAGGACTGATGGCTGGGTTACGCATGCTTGGTCCCACGCGGGCCTTGAGGATTGCCCCAGAGCTGGCGAGGGAGGGTCTTAAGCACCTAGGACTGCTGAGCCCGGCCAGCACTTTGCACCCATCTCTATCCAATACCTTGCATTCACGCCCTGGCTTCCTGATTTCCAGAAGCTTCTATCGCCCTGCCCTGGAGCACTGAGTGCAGCCCCCCAAACACGTCCTCCCCCCGCCATTAAGAGCAGGGGAGAGGTTAGCATCTCCTGGCCCCTGGGGCCCAGCTTGGCAAACAGACCTTCAGACCTTGGTTTATCCCTTTTGTACCTTTAGGAGGCACAGGTAGCCAATGGGGGTGCAGGAAGACCTCTGAGTCTCAGGGAGAAGGACCCTGTTACCAACCCTGTGCTGACAAATTAACCTCAGAGTTCAGGCCCCTTAAGATGGTGGAGAAACCGAAGCCCTAAGAGGGGACAGCATTTGCTGAAGTGCAGGGCAGAACCAGCAGGGAGCAGGAGAGGACTCTAGTCAGGAGCTCAGACTATCCAACCTGGCTCCTCTCCCTGAGTGAGAGGCTTCACAGCCTTTGACAAGTGACCGAACCTCTCTGAGCCTGTTTCCTTATCTGCCAAATGGGGCTGGTGAGTGGCTGTGAGGACAGACTGGGGCTGGGTCTGTAAGACTCAGTACCTCATTATCGGAACGGATGTGGTGGGGCAGGGCAAGGCGGAGGGGAGGCTGGCCTTCCAGCCCGGCCCGCTCTGGCCGTGCTCTCCCTGAGAGCCCCACCGCGGGGCGGGGTGGGGATGCCGGCACAGGCAGGCCGGGGCGGGGGGTGGGGGGGAGTTTGCCCTGCTGTGGTCGCTGACAGAGGCCCCAGGGGGTCACTGTGTGGGGTGAGCCCTGACTCCTTCCCTGATTTTTCCCCAGCCTGGCCTGGTGTCTCTCAGCCCCAACACCAGCTGCTACCACTTCCCTCTGCTGGTCAGCAGCAGCCTCTTACGTGTGGACCTGTTCAACGGGCTGTTAGGGCCAGTGCAGGTCACCGCACTGCACGTGACGCGCCTTGACAATGTCACAGTGGCCCACATGGGCACAACTGACGGGCGCATCCTTCAGGTAGGTCCCTCATCTCCACAGCCCTTTGTCCCTGGTCCCCGCCCCCTTCCCCGTTTTGCTCACAGCTGACCTGTCCCAGGTGGAGCTGGCCAGGTCTCTCAACTACCTGCTGTATGTGTCCAACTTCTCATTGGGCAACAGTAAGCAGCCTGTGCAACGAGATGTCAGTCGTCTTGGAAACCACCTGTTCTTTGCTTCTGGGGACAAGGTAAGAATGGCAGGGGCATGGCCTAGGGCCAGGGCTGTGGGGGCACAGCCTCCCTGCCAGTACAGGGAGGCATGGACACACAGGTTACCACCCTGATTTAGAATGGGCCCAGGGGTCGAAGGGGCAACCCCCTCCAGACACCCCTGAGCCACCTTTCTGCCATTCCAAGGTCTTCCAGGTACCCGTCCGCGGCCCCGGCTGCCGCCACTTCCTCACCTGTGGGCGTTGTCTGCGGGCGCAGCGATTCATGGGCTGTGGCTGGTGTGGGGGCATCTGTGGCCGGCAGAAGGAGTGTCCTGGCTCCTGGCAACAGGACCATTGCCCCCCTGAGCTTGCTGAGGTATGGCTTGCCTGGCCGGGCACAGGTGAGGGTGACACAAGCTGGGCCCAGGGTGGGGACCAGCAGGTCTTGACCATGGTCTTCCTTAGGCCTGCGATGGCCTCAGGAAAGGCATCCTTGGCAGAGGAGATGGCCCAGGCAAAGCTTTGGAGGCCGAAAAGTGCTCAAGTGGGGACTAGCAAGGGACTTAGGATGAATGGAGTGTGGGGCAGGCCAGGGGCGCAGCAGAGAAGTTTGGGGGAAGCACGCAGGGCTGAGAGTCCTGGCCCACAAAGGCTGTCTGCTCCCCCTCCAGTTCTATCCCCACAGTGGGCCCCTGAGGGGCAGCACGAGGCTGACCTTGTGTGGCTCCAACTTCTATCTGCACCCTGCTGGGCTGGTGCCTGAGGGCACCCATCAGGTCACCGTTGGTCAAAGTCCCTGCCGACTGCTGCCCAAGGACAGCTCAAACTTGAGGTACAACTATTCCCTGCCCTTCCTACCCGTGGTGGGGCAACCAACCAGTTCCTTCCCCGTGAGACTCTGTCCTCTGCTTACTGGGGGCAAGGAGGGGTGAAGCCAGCTGCAGCGGCTCTGGCTGCCTGGCGTGCCCGATGCACCTCTCTGTCCCTTCTGGAGCCTGCGTATGCCGTACCCGTCTCTTGAGTCATGGATCCAGCACAGCTAGTCCCTACCCTGCCAGATCCTGCCTGCCCTGGAGGGAGGCATGGGTGGAGAGAGGCCCCCCCTCAGCCCCAGAAGGGACGTGTGATTTGTGGTGGGCATGCAACCAGGCCTGTGTGACCCCTGGCTGACCTTGAGTTCCCGATGCTCTAGCCCGAAGTCCCAGAAGGGGTTTATAGAAGAGCTGGAGTGTGAGCTGGAGCCCTTGGATGCACAGGCAGCCGGGCCTGCCAACATTAGCCTCACTGTGACCAACATGCCACCGGGCAAGCACTTCCGCGTAGACGGCACCTCCACGCTGCAAGGCTTCTCTTTCATGGTGAGGCCACCTCGCCTCGTCTGTGCCCTTGCCAGCTGGGTGATAGGGGGAGGGGAGGGCTTGAAGTGGAGGGTCTCCTGCACCAAGCTAAGCCACCTCCATGCCCTCTTAGGAGCCAGTGCTAGAAGAAGTGCAACCCCTCTTTGGCCCACGGGCAGGGGGCACCCGCCTCACCCTTAAGGGCCGGGGCCTGTCCATAGGCACCAGCCGGACGGTGTTGGTCAACGGGACTGAGTGTCTTCTGGAATGGTAAGCGCTGGCAGGCAAGGGGATGGCAGGTCACAGGGACACACCTAGGGGAAAACTTACCAGGTAGAACCTGGATCGCTGTGAGAGCAGTGGGAGGGCTCAGTCGCATGGTCAGGTCCAAGAAGAGGGGTCTGTTGCCCCCTCCAGTCCAGAGGTGGTTCGGGAACAGCAAGGGAGACCATCATAGTCCATTGCCTTCCTCTAGCCAAGGCTGTTGGGAATCTGTTCCCTCCCTGCCTTCCTGGGGGTCTTACTGGGACCAGCTTGCCTTTAGACAGACCCGCGGAGTCTGGGCAGCTGGGGGGATGACCAACAGAGGAACTGGGAGGGATCGGCAGGCCCCCAGAGGAAGTGGGCCAAAGCGTCACCTGGATGGTGACCCTGAGCCCAGTCCCTCTGTTCTGCAGGGTCAGCGAGACGCAGCTTTTATGTACCACGCCTCCCAGTGCTGCTTTGGCCAGAGTTCCCATCCACCTGCAGGTGGGGGGCGCCGCGGTGCCTGGCTCCTGGACCTTCGACTACCGGGAAGACCCCATTGTGCTGGGTGTCAGCCCCAACTGTGGCTACACGTAAGTGCAACCTCTTTTACCACCCTGGCCGCCTAGGAATGAGGGAGCCACCCTCAGACAGCGCCCCAAGCCCACCAGCCCGCTCTCCTCCACAGCGGCTCCCGCGTCACCATCCGTGGCCAGCACCTGACTTCAGTGTGGCACCTAGTGCTGTCGTTCCATGATGGGCTTAAGGCAGTGGAGAGCAGGGTGAGTGGGCCCTGGCAGATGCCAGGTGGGCACTGGCCAGGAGGGAGGAAGGCCGGACCAGCCCCCTGAGTTCCTGCCCCACCCCAAGCTGGGCGGAGGAGACGGGGCGGGGGGGAGGGGAGGCACCTGGCTAACCACTCTCGATGGGCCCCAGCAGTGTGAGGGGCAGCTGCCGGAGAAGCATCGGTGCCGCCTGCCCGAATACGTGGTCCAAGGCCCCCAGGGGTGGGTGACAGGGAACCTGAGTGCCTGGGGGGATGGAGCTGCTGGCTTCACACTGCCTGGCTTTCGCTTCCTGCCCCCACCCCATCCACCCAGCACCAACCTGGCCCCACTGAAGCCTGAGGAGCAGGCTGTTAAGTTCGAGGTAAGTGTGGGGATGGAGGGCGGGCACCGCGGAGGGTTGGGGCTGAAGCCTGCCCAGGGCAGATGGGGGGCACTGGCTAGTCCTCATGACCATCTCTGCAGTACATTGGGCTAGGAGCTGTGGCGGATTGTGTGGATGTGAACGTGACCGTGGGCGGCAAGAGCTGCCAGCATGAGCTCCGAGGGGACGTGGTCATTTGTCCCCTGTCCCGCTCCCTGCAACTGGGCAAGGACGGCACCCCACTGCAGGTAGGCAGCTTGGCTGGCTCTTCACAGGAGATGTGGGTGGGGGTCTACAGGCTGGGCCTGAGCTGCCACGTGCCCCCAGGTCTGCGTGGATGGCGAATGTCACATCCTGGGCAGAGTGGTGCGGCCGGGCTCGGAGGGTGTCCCACAGAGAACGGTCCTTGGTGTCCTGCTGGCCCTGGTCCTGCTTGTGGTTGTGTTGGCCACTGCGCTTGTCTTCAACTACCGGCAGAGGAAGCAGCTAGGTGAGCTCCCCGCGCCCATACTGACTTGGCCTCTACCCCCAAACAATGGCATCTCCAAGTCCCTATATCCTCTCTCTGCCCAGGCCTTGGGGATCTGCCCACGCCTCCTGGGTAGGGGGCGGCCTCCAAGGGCTTGGAGAGGCTGTCTACAGGGGGCCTTCTTCCCTCAGTCCTCTCTTCAAACCTGCATGACCCGGCATCCTTGGACCAAACCACCAGAGCCACGCCTCTGCCTCTGCTCCAGTCTGGCTCCTGTTGCAGATACGGTCCTGGTGAGACGGTGGAGGCGCTCGAAGCTGGGGCCACATCCTCTGCTCCACAAGCCGCTCACTCTCTTTCCTCCACAGCAGCTCCTGCCCTGGGGCATCTGGATTCCACCACTCCAGTGCACAGAGAGTCCTTCTCAGACAGCGGGGATGGGTCCCATGTCCCACTGCTTCGGACAAAGTCCATCCAGCTTGGGGACCTGGACTCTGCACTCCTGGCCGAGGTCAAGGATGTGCTGATTCCCCATGAGCGGGTGGTCACCCACAGTGACCGAGTCATTGGCAAAGGTGCGGGGGCCAGGCCAGGTGGGGCCGGTGCAGAGGTGGAGTCCTGAGGTGACACGGGCTCACAAGGCAGTTAGGCAGGACTGCCACCGACCCTCCTGCTCTAACCCTCTCACCAACTGTCTGACCTCGGGCATACCCAGGGCCCTCTCCGAGCCTCCAGCTGCTCGTCTGTGAAGCGGGAGTTTGTTCTGTGTCCCAGGGGCTCGGGTGCAGAGTGGGGGCACCTGGGAGGGCTGCAGCCTTTGCCGTCATGCACCCTCTGCGTGTTTTTAATGTCAGATCGGCCATGGGTGCGCTGGGGTATGTCAAAGAGAGGGTATGGTCCCAGCACTGGGCGCCGGGGCCCTCTCACCACCTCCCCTCGCCAGGTCACTTTGGGGTCGTCTACCACGGAGAATACACAGACGAGGCCCAAAATCAAATTCACTGCGCTGTCAAGTCACTGAGTCGTAAGTGGGGCGGAGGGCTGGGCAGGTCCTCGCCCCTGCTCTGTTACCATCTCTCTGAGTGGCCCTGAGCAGGAGACCCTTCTCCTCCGTTTCCCCATCTGACCCTTGTAAAGGGCCTCCCTGCCCTGGGCCTGACTCACGCTGCTCTGCAGGCATCACAGAGGTGCAGGAGGTGGAGGCCTTCCTGCGCGAGGGGCTGCTCATGCGCGGTCTGCACCACCCAAACGTGCTGGCCCTCATCGGGATCGTGCTGCCGCCCGAAGGGCTGCCCAGTGTGCTGCTGCCCTATATGCGCCACGGAGACCTGCTCCAGTTCATCCGCTCACCCCAGCGGGTCAGTGCTCAGCTGGCCCTGGGTCGGGAGGCTTGGGCGGCAGCTGGTGGTGGAGCTGCTCGGCCCTTGCCTACTGACCCACCTGTGTCCCCAGAACCCCACCGTGAAGGACCTCATCAGCTTCGGCCTGCAAGTAGCCCGCGGCATGGAGTACCTGGCGGAGCAGAAGTTTGTGCACAGGGACCTGGCTGCTCGGAACTGCATGTGAGGGGCCGGGGCAGTTGGGGTGAAGCGAGGGGGTGGGCTCCAGCATCTATAGCTGCCCTAAAGGTGCTCAGAGAAGATTCCACGCGCCAGCCCTTGCTGCGCGGCCCCGGGCACGTCCTCCCCTCTCTGGGCCTCAGCTTTCCCGTCTGCCCAGTTAGGCTTATGTGGGACTCCGTGGCCCTGAAACCCCGTGAAGACCTGGAACAGGCTGGCGGGGGGCAGTCCTGAGTGGGATTCCCCTCTCCCAGGCTGGACGAGTCATTCACAGTCAAGGTGGCTGACTTCGGCCTGGCCCGAGGCGTCCTGGACAAGGAATACTACAGTGTTCAACAGCACCGCCACGCTCGCCTCCCTGTCAAATGGATGGCGCTGGAGAGCCTGCAGACCTACAGGTTCACCAGCAAGTCCGATGTGGTGAGACTCCGCCTGCCCCAGCGTCCACGTGGCCTCGGTGTGCCTGGCCTTGCCCCTCTGGCTCCAGATGAGGACCCAAGCCCAGGGACTCTCCAAACCGGGCAGCCCCCACAGCCCGTCCGCCCGCCTCGTGGGCAGGAGGAGGCTGTGAACTCACCGGCTCCTCAACAGTGCAGGCCCTGCCCAGCCCCAACTCTGAACCTGCTCAGGAGGTGGGAGGGGGCACAGGGAAGATGCTTGTGAGGCACTGGGGGAGGGGCTCTGACTGGGGGTGGAGCCTCCATTTCCAGCGAGAGAGCTCTGGGAGGTAGAAGACCTGGGAGTCCCCCTGCCCCCAAACTTGGAGTGACAACTGAGTCTCCTCACCCTTCCCCCGCTGCAGTGGTCATTTGGTGTGCTGCTGTGGGAGCTGCTGACACGGGGGGCCCCACCATACCCTCACGTCGACCCTTTTGACCTCACTCACTTCCTGGGCCAGGGCCGCCGCCTGCCCCAGCCTGAGTATTGCCCCGATTCCCTGTGAGTATGTACAGGGGGTAATGGGGAGCGAGCTGGGCCACAGGGGCAAGGAGGGGTAGGGGACGGGACTCTTGCCTCGCCTTCTGACTGATCCTTTGGTTGACCTGGAAAGGGACCCTCCCTGGGCCTTAGTTTCCTCATCTGTGGACTGGTTTTGGCCCTATTCAGGGCTGGGTGCTGGGAGGATATGATGGTCGCCATGGCAACAGCATTCCCATCTTCAAGTCTGGGTTGAGGCCAGTGCTTTCATTTCCCAGCACTCCTCTCCCCCACCCCTGCCAAGGGGGGCTGTTTTCCATCCTTTCCACTCACCGCATCTCAAGGAAAGCTTCCATTAGCTCCCACACTAGCCCCCCCACATCTCCAGATCGGACTTTTTGTCACGGGATCTAGTCTCAGGTTCCCCATTCTCGGAGGCACGGCGACGGCTGTGCTGTCCTCGCTGCCTGCGAGTGGGTTGGGTGCTGAGGTTCACCCCTTCAAGCAGTGAGTGCCCTGGCTGTGCCCAGGTCTCTGTGGGTAGGACAGAAGAGCCAGGTCACGGGTCCCGCCTTGGGCTGCACTCCAGAGGGGACGAGTAGCCCTGTTGCTCAGCCCTGCCTGCCCCGAGCCTGACTCCCGTGATTCATGACACTCATGCATCTGGTTTGCAGGGAGGGAAGTGAACTTCCCTGCCGCCTGCCTCCGGGCAAGGCTTCTGAAACAGATTCTGAGGTGGAGATTTACGTGCAGGAGTTTATTGGGAAGCAGGACCGGGCGGGCGGGGAAGTTGGGCAGCGATGAAGATGCGACAGAGGCCGCAGCCCATCCCACGGGGACTGCTGGCGATGACGGCCCTTCACAGTTGTAGGAAACTAAGTTCAAGGGGCCCGGTCTTTGTGCCAGATGTTAACCAGTCCCTGGTCACAGCTGTCCCTGAAGGGGGTGTGAGCTGGGAGAGGCAGTTCTTTCCTGCCCAGGGCAGCTCAGCCTGGACCTCAGCCTGGAGCCCAGCGGTCAGCAGTCGGGGGCGGATGGAGGGGGATCTGGGTAGCACACGTCTGTCCCAGGGTAAGTCCCTTCTCCTCCCTGGGCCTCAGTTTCCTCATCGGAGAAGTTGGGATGATTACAGGACCACCTGCAGAGAGTCTGAGAATTATGTGAGGTCATTGTTTGTAGGGCACTTGGAGGATTACTTCAGGCAAGGGCGACATTCCCAAGCTGCAGGGGCAAGTATTAGGGGCCACCAGGCAAACCGGAGAAACTCTGCTCGGGAACGAGGGCACGAGTGGCACTGCCCTCGACGCCCCTATCTCCGAGCTTTTCATCCTCACGTCCCCGGGCCTGGTCGTCTTTCCTAGAAGGTGTGATAATAGCCACGACAGCTCATGGGCTGGGCCCGTCCCAGGCGTCCTGTTAACTTATGCCCCAACGGCCGTGGGATCAGAGGAGGATCCAGAGGCACAGAGAGGTTAAGGAACTTGCCCCAAATCACAGCGCAAGGCACAAGGGTGCCGGAGCCCAAGCCCTTCACCCCTAAGGCACTGCGACCTTTGCCACAGTGGGAAGGCAGGGCTGGAGCAGCAATCACAATGAAGAGAAGAGCTGTCCCTGATCGGGCCATGCTAGGTGTGAGGCCCTGGTACCTGTCTTCATCCCTAAGTGGCCCGCCAGGGGGTTAACAGGGTGGGCAGCCCAGACTCTGGGCACGGCTGTGACCAGCCCCTGGCATTCTCCCCTCCCCTGCAGGTACGCAGTGATGCTGCGCTGCTGGGCGGCGGACCCTGCAGCGCGCCCCACCTTTGGAACGCTGGTGAGAGAAGTCGAGCAGGTGGCGCTGGCTCTGTGTGGGGACCACTATGTGCAGCTGTCCGTGGCCTATGTGAACCTGAGCCTTGACGCCTCCAAGGAGGCAAACGTGCCCCCAGAACAGCCACTGTCCCCGTCTGTGCACAGGAGTCCTGGGCGGCCTCGGCCCCTCTCAGAGCCACCAAGGCCCACGTGACCTCAGCCCCAGGCAGGCCCTGAGGGGCTGGACGTGCATAGCCACTCCTGGGAGTTAGCCTCTGGGCTATGCCATGCCAGGGGGTGGCTCGACTTGCACTCTGCCCGGTCCCTTACCCTTAGCCTTCAGGCTACAGGGGTGGAACAAGGCACGTTGACCCGTCACTCCACAGAGGGAGCCAGTGAGGGTGACCCTCAATGTACTGAGTGCTTACAGAGCTGCTATGTGCCTGGCCTGCTGGGCACAGGGACTCAGCCGTGACCAGCTGCCGGCCCGTGAACCAGTAAATGAACAAATGACTATTTAAGCAAATCGTGGTAAATGCTATGAAAGAAAAAGACCAGTGGCATTGGGGGTGATGGAGATCAGCACTGGATAGAAAGGGGGAAGCACTGGATGGAAAATGCCCCAGAGGTGACCTTTTCACTGAGGCCCTGTCCGGTGGAAGCTATGCCAGAAGCAGAGTTGGGAGAGAGGCCCTGAGGCCGGACAGGTTTCAGGTCAGCAAGAAGGCTCCAGACAACAGGAAGGTAGGCAAGGCCCAGGTGCAGGTTCCAGGGCCCTGGGGACTTCTGACCAGAACCAAGAAGGCTGCTGATGACCGAGGATTGCAGCAGGCTAGGTGGCTCTTCCTGCCGCGCAGCCTGCTTGTCCCCTTCCCCGGGCTCTAGTCCCTCTCCAGGGCTCCCTGCACCACCTGCAGCACCCCCCACCTCCACCCCCCACCCCCCCCACTGCAGCACACTGTCAGGGCAGGGACACTTGCTCCCCCTCCCCCCACCCTGCCAGCATTGTCCCTGCAGCCTTGAGAGCAGTGAGCCAGCAGTAGGGCCTCAGCGCCACACTCTCCAGGCACCTGCTCTGAGGTGCCGACCGCCCAGGCTATTCATGCTCGTCAAGGCTGTGCTACGTGAGCCGCTTTGCGGGCCAGGTGCCACCGGAGAGGGAGAAGAGCCTCCTCCTCGCACTAGCCCTGGCTGCACCCTCGATGCTGAGGGGGCAGCTGGGCCCAGGACCTGCATCATGGCAGTTCCTCTCTCTTGCTCAGGACCCCCATAGTCCTTATCCTGCCAGTTTGGGGGACCCCAGTTTGCCCTAAGGGGAGCACGTTCCCTCTCCTGTGAGTCCCCAACTCTGCCCTGTCCCATGGCACCCTGGTAAGCAGGATGGGGGTCTCCTTGGGACTGGAGCTGCCCAGTGTTCTCCACTGTACGGCTGTCTGCTCAACCCCCCTCAGGCCAGTGGGAGGCCCAGCCGGGGAGCCTAGGGACCCTGAGGACAGGTAGACAAAGCTTAAAGGGGGACTATTCTGCTCAAGTGCCGGAGTCCAAAGACTGGAGGCCCATGAGCAGGAGAGGGGCAGAGCGGCCCATCTGCCTGTCTACCATTGCGCCTGTGCTACCCACTCAGTACAGGCGTAGAAGAGACCCCTTGGCTCCTTGCGGGGGTGCGGGGACAGTAGCGTTGCCCCCGAGGCTAGGAGAGAGCTGAGTGGAATGTCCTGGGGTACCCGCCCCTGCTGTGGTCCCCATCCATGCCAGTTGCAAAGGGCTGTCTCAGTCCCCCTGACTTGCAGTCCTCGTGCCCTGACCTTGGCCTGGGGACGGAGGGGCCGCCCAGAGCACCAAGCCCTGGGTGGGGAGTGAGGGGCAGGCCCCGTGGCTTCTCTGAAGCTGGGCTGAGCCCTCTTCCCACGGAACCTCTGCAGCTTGGGGACCACCGGCTCGTGTGTCCCTAAGAGAGGGACTTGGAGAGGAAGGGGGTCTCTGGCTGGGAGGGGAGCTTGGCAAGGAGAGGGGCTCCCAGAAAAGGGAGGTGGAAGGGAGCTGCAAGGGGCGTCCGGTTTCCTAGGTCGGGATGCTCAGCGAGGGGCCCCAGTGAAGCCAGCGCTCGGCCCCTGGGTCGTGGCACAGCTGTACCTTTTCCCCGCACCCCCCACCGGGGCGGTGCCGCTGTCCTCCAAGTGCCTGCAGTGTCAGGAGCTGGCATTGCTTCAGGGTTTTAAGTTCCTGCCTATGCCACAGGGGAGGTGAGGGGGGAGAGTTAGTTCTAAGCCCCCAGATGGGCTGGGAGACCCTGAGTGACTTCCAGGGCTCGTGAGGCTGGGCCGCCTTTCTGGTGGGCGGTGGTGGCCTGAACAGTCCCTCAGGCATGAAGGGCGCCCCTGCAAGGGCGAGCTGGCTGGCGGCCGTGGTGGGTCCGAGCCTGCCGCGAGGATGGGCTGGCGAGTGCAGAGCTTTCTTCCAGGGCCCTGGGAGTCCGCCGCAAGCTGTGGAGAGCTGCCAGCTCCCCTGCCTCAGGGGTGCTGGGGACAGGCAGGTGCCAGTAAAGGCTGCAGAGGCCAGCATGGGAGCTGGGGCCCAGGGAGCGACCGATGACTCACACTCTCCTGAGCACCCACTGGTGTCGGTGCTTTCTGGCACCTGGAGACGAGCCTGGAGTACGCTGATCTGCGTTGGTGCTGACCATGAGTCTGGTCCGAAGTTCCGCTTATGTCCCGGCCCTTGAGAGAATTTTCCCCGGGGAGCTGCAACCTCCTTGAGGGGGCCATACCGGAGGGCTCCAGATAGAGTCCCACTTTAAGCCCTGGGAGCTTCCTGGCCAACGGCATCATCAGTGACTCCCTCTTCCAGCCCAGTAAGGTCCCAGGTCTGCCCCTGGGAACATTCCATGAACTGAGTCCCCTCCCTCACCTGTAGGGGAGACAGCGGTACTCTCAGATGTTGGGGCCGGGGACGTGGGCGCTGCTGCGAGGGTCTGAGGCTCATGGGGACCCAGGCCGTGGCTCTCAGACAGGTTGCCTCTGCCTGGGGACAAACAGCCCTGGGAATCAATAGCTGAGCCGTGAGCCTTCAGCCACCAGGCCCTGGTGGAAAACACGCTGGGCTGGCGAATTCCCCTCGGTGACACCCTCACGAACGGAAGGTCTCTTCACCCTCAGCCTCTGCTCTGCCCACCTGCGAGTCCAACGAGCCCAGAGGCAGGGCTGCACCAGCCTGGAGGAGGGAGCGGCTGGGTGAGGCCACCCAGCACTCTGCACTGGGCACAGCAGGGCAAACGGGGCCTCAGTCCTTTGGGGTTTGCGCCAGTGGGGGCTTTATCCCAATGAGCACAGATGCCAGGAGAGCCAGGGCAGCTGCCACATTCACCTCTGGCTCTGATGGCCCCCTGGGTGGGTTCTTATGTCTGAGGATGGTGACCTGGAGCATGGTCTTCAGACTTGGCCCTCTCTTGGGAGGAGTCCTTGGCCCAAAGGCAAGCAGGCAGCAGGTGTCCGGCGAGTGACACAGCCTGCCTGACCCAGCTCAGTCCAGAGGTGTGCCACCTGAATCCCAGGCAACCCCTACTGACACCCTCGGACACTCTCAGAAATGACTGTTTCTCCTGAACTCCCGTCCCTGTCAGTTTATCCCAGAAAGAAACTCACGACCCCAGCCTCTATATGGAACAGGGGCTCCACTCCTGGCTTCCCCATGGCCTCTGCGTCTTGCTCTCTATTCTTTCAACGCCCTGAGCATCCTCTGTCCCTGGCCCCCAGATGTTCACCCCAGGCCTAGCAGGGACTGTCGGGCTGCCCTGGAGAGGGAGGCAGCAAGAGCTATCCCCTCACTTGGCAGGATGAGGAGCCTAGGGCCAGCTCCCGGCCTTTTATGGCTACCCAAGCCCCCTCCCCCACCCACCTGGTAGCCCTGAACTTGGAAGGGAAGCAGAGGCACTAAAGGGCCCGGCAGCCCGCCCTTTGCTGGGAAAATGGCAAGAGGTCTTCACACTGGGCTGTCACCTGTCACACCGTTGCTCTATAGGAGCTCAGGGGTCAGGCTTGAGCTCAGGAGGTGGGAGCTGAGGGAAGTGCTGAATCTCTAGGGCTCAGCATGGGCAGTGGCAGAGGGGGCCCAAGGGGCTCCCGGTACCATGACGTCCTCCCCTCCTCTCCTTCCTGCTGGCTTTCACGTTGGTTGAGCCGCGCGCACACTTGCACACTTGTGATCAGCCCTGGACGGGGCACTTGGGATCTGGGAATGCACCAGGGAGGCAGGGGACAGAAAGCAGCTGGTGGCTGAGATCACGGAATTCAGTCGGCTGCGAAGCCAGCGCCTTCTCCCATGCCACAGGCACACCTGTGCGGCCTGGACTGTGAACCCCTGGAGTCAGCTCCACCCCTGGCCTCTGGGGTGGTGACAGTGTCAGCCAGGCATGAGCCCCGCAGACATGATGCCCCAAGCTGGGGATCCCCCTCTTCAAAGGAGAAAAGGAGTTCTTTGGGCAGCCCCAGTCACCCTGCCCACGTGGGCTCCTGCCTTGGGCCCGGGTCCCTCGGGACCCTGGGGGAGGGCGGCTCTGCTCACATGCCCTCTGAGGGTAGGGTCGGAGATCTCTTCTCAGCAGTCACGACGCCACGTGCGCTTCCGGCAGCACTGGCTTTGCCCGCACCTCTGCTTCCTGCTGGACGGGGGAAGGCTCCCCGGGAGGGTGAGGAGCCCACCCCAGCCCCTACGGCGGCTGCAGCAGCAGTCCGGTGGCTGTGCTGCGGCCCTCCCCGCGGGCTGGTGCGGCTGGCCGTCTTTCACGCAGAGTTACGTAAGCCTGAGTCAATTGGAGCTCAGAGCGGTTCATTGTGGGCTATTTTTAAGCTGTAACACATCACAGCAGAGGGGTCACTGCACCGAGGCTTGCAGGGAAGATTTTTTAAACATCTGTTATTTAAATTTCTCTATGCCTTAGAGCTTAAAAGCCGCATCCTCCTGGAACTCTCATGTTCCGCCTTCCACAGCCCAGATTAGGAGTGGATTATCGCCCCTCACCCCGCTTTAGGTCCCCCGAGGACTGGGGTTCTCTGCACCCTGGCCGTCTTCCTTCAGGGTCAGGCGGGGGCCCGGGAGGAGGAGGCCGCGCCAGTTCCTTTGACACGGAATGGGGGCACCCTGGCCAGGTGACCTCAGGGGAGCAGGGGATTAGGGCTCACAGGTCACTTGGGTAGCTCCAGGGAGAGTCAGAAGAGGGAAACACAGCCAGAGCTCTGGGTGTGGAGCTGAGATCCCAACAGCGCTTCCTCCCCCCTCGGGGCTTCAGTTCCCCACCAGCACCCGGGGAGGGTTGGCGCAAATGACCCTTCTGGGTCTTTTCAGGAGCCGGCCTTTGTTTGAACTGCGTGTTTGAGTGCCTCCCACCCACATCTAAATGCCACCCATCAGCAGTCTCTGGTGCCTGAGCCCTTGGGTAGTAGACAGGGGCCTGCCGCTGGGGAACAGGCCTGCTGTACGCTGTATTAGCAGGTGGCTGGCTGCCCTGGGAGCCTCTTCAGGCTCCTTGCATCTGTTTTTTTTCTTTTTCTTTTTTTTTAAAGATTTTATTTATTTTTCTTCAGAGAGAGGGGAAGGGAGGGAAAAAGAGAGGGAGAGCTATGTGGATGATTTGTCCTTCATGTGCCCCCAACTGGGGACCTGCCTGCAACCCAGGCGTGTGCCCTGCCTGGGAATCGAACTGGTGACCTTTCAGTTTGCAGGCCAGCATTCAAACCACTGGGCCACACGAGCCAGGACTCCCAGCCTGATCAGGTGTCCCAGCCTGATCCACAAGAAAGAAGTGTCCTCCAGAGTGACCAACTCTCCCCATCTCCGGAAGTCTCACCCTCTCCACAGAGGCTGCGGCCCTCCCTCCAAACCTGATAGGTGGGAGTCAGGCGAGGTATGAGAGGAGGCAATGCCGGGACCTGCCCTCACAGAGGAGGCTCTGTATGGAGCTCCTTCCAGTTCCTTCTTCGCCCTCCCATCCCAGATAGCCCTCAGCCTGGGGAATGGGCTCAGCTTGGGGGAGGGGCTCTCAGGTTGCCATGGCAACATGTTGGCCCTCCTCACTTTCTAGAATCAGAAATAGAATTCGATGTCCTTCTTCCTGGTGAGAGACTATTTAGAAACGTGGCGGGGAGGTACAGGGGGCAATGTTCCTAGTTGATTCCTGGGAGCTGGGCAAAAGGGCCCCTGCCTGGGAGCCTCTCTAGCTGCCTTGCTGTCCACCCACCCCCCACAGGCACGCAATGCAACGGGCCTTGGCCGGCCAAGAATTCTGAGCACAAAGGACTCAGCCTGGTCCCTCAGGCTGTGCAGCTGGCCCCTTATCAGCACTGCCAGGTTCATGGCACCCACAGGGAAAATGCCCCCTCCCAGGCCTGGGCCACCTGCTAAGCCACTGGGAGGAGGAGCAGTCACAGGGGACACTGGCTTGGGTGCGGCTGCAGCTCTCGGAGGAGAGGCTTCCTCCCCACAGGGTCAGTGCCCGCCTGGCCCCGGGCATGGCACCAGCAGTAGCGTTGTGCACCCGGAAGAAGTGTGGGTCCAGAGCCTGGTGGCCTGGCTTCGGGTTCTGGCTTTATTGCTCACTGGCTGAGACCTCTGTGAACTCTCTCTCCTCTCTGTGCCTTGATTTCCTCATTCGTAAAATAAGGACGACAGTGCCAGGCTCATTGAATTGCCGGGGGGCTGGGATCCACGTGCTCGACACTGCCTGGCACAGGGGAAGACCTCAGTTCATAACGGTCATTGTTCCTACGGCTTGAGGAGCGCTTTCTTCCCAGGTGGGAAGCAATTTCTCTCTCCAGGCTGCCTGCTTCGGCCTTCCTTCGTGGCTCTGCTCCCTCCCCTGGGACACCTCAGGCCAGTTTAGGGGCTCCCAGCACCTCCCTCTATGCATCTCCAGTCCTCTCAGGTACAGCCCAGCTCAAGGGCTGCACAGGATCTAGCATCTCTATTGTGTAGGGAAAAAAAACAACTACCCCAAAAGCCGTTTTCTTGGTTCCAGAGATTAACGACGTCAATAGTGTTCAGCAAACGTGTGTGTGTAACGTGTATTCACTCAAGTGCAGGCCACAGACCCTTGGGCTCTGCTACCTTCCTGGGCCATAGTTTGTGGTGAGCAGCACTGTCCAGAGACACCTGTCCCCATTCGTAACTGAAGGTAACATCTGGGGAAAGGGGCAGGGGCCCAGGGGGCCTGAAACCTGGCTGAGTCAGGCTCTGCCCAGCGCTGAGTTGGAAGGTGCAGACGCAGCACAGCGCTAGCCTTGGCCCCTGGTCACATCGCTTCACACCCCACGGCCAACTGTAAGCACTATTTTTAACCTCTGTGAAAACACACAGCTTCAGAGGACAAGCCTACAGCTGCATTCTCCACAAACCTGTTTCCTGGGCAGAAAGACTGAGGCCTGAAAGGACCTGGCCCTGGAGGATGGAGGGAGGAGGCCCAGAGCTTATAGCCGGGGGATACGGAGCAGGACCTGCCTGGCCCAGCGCCAGGTCGGACCCTCTAGGCCCAAGCTTCTGGCCGTGAGCGGTGCCCCAGGCGGCTGCCTAGGTCTGTCCCCTCTGGTTGCAAGGCGCATCTGGGCCTAGGCTGGTGGTCTAGGCAGGCCCCACCCCTCTCTGTCCCTCCGTTTGCCCATCTTAAAAATGGAGAGCAAAACTGCCCACCTGGTCTAATAGCTTATGCTTCCGAGGAGCCCTGCTATGTCCAGTCCTTTGTTTGACTGGTCCTCACTGTACACAAAGCTGTGCCTACTGTGTGTCTGGTCCTGCACCCACCGTACACCACTGTGTACCAGCCCTGCGCGCACTGTGGACAGCACTGTAACCACTATGTCCCTCTGTGGCCCAACTTGTAATTGCTACTTGGCTGGCCCAGTGTTCTACCCCCGTGCTGGCTGCAATGTGACGAGAGCCAGAACCTTCTGACCTGAGAATTCTGAGCCGAGGCCCCGCCCTCACCCGTGTGGCCCCATCCCCACCGCTGTGGGATGCCGGTCCTAGGTCTCGAGGACATGTGGCTCTGGGGAGGGGACTCTGAGAGGCACAGGCAGAGGAGAACCATCTGGAGCAGAAAGATTGCCAAGGAGCTGCTGTCCCCGGAGCGGGAGCTGAAGAACCTGGGGGAAGGGCTCTCGGGCCTGAGCCTGTGCCCCTCAGCCTCCTCTACCTCCCAGGATGGTGGTGAAGGGGCTTTGACCCCACGAAGGGCCTCGTGTCACATACTTGGAACTACATCCCTGGGTCAGGGCCTCGTCTTGAGTTGCCACTTGGGAAATGAGAAGGAGCCCATCTGGCATCCGAGGTAGACTGGGCCCCCGGGCCTTCCTCAGCACCTCCGCCTTGGTCTCGTGGCCGCACACTGCCTACCGTCCCCGCTCCCAGGGCACTGCCCTCACGTCAGGGCTGGCCTGGGCAGAGTAGTCCCCTGGCCAGTAAGGGGACAGGAGGCCGGCTTAGGATTGGTGGCTCTGTTAGGCCAGCCAGGCATTTTTGTCTCTCAAGGCTCCCTGGGTGGAGCCCCTGGTTTCCCACATGCTGTCACCCCCACCCAGGTCACTGGGGGCTGTGATGTGTGCGGTTGTCATGGCAACGCAGTGGGGGCAGGGCGCCTAGGGCATGGAGCAGGACTATGGAAGTCACCAAGAAGGTGGGGGACCCTGACCCCTTGGGCCCCCAGGGCCGCCCCTCCTCAGTCAGTAGCCAGCAGCTGGGGGGTGGCCTCCAAGGGTCCCGGGGACCATGGACAAACTCGGGGTCCATGTACCTTCGCCAGGGGTTCTCATTATCCACCGAGGTCATCACTGAGGGGGTCTGCGGCCAAGCCTCCGAGGCCTGTGTCCCTGAGCCCATTTGCCAGCTACTCCAGGGCCTGGCTGAAGTTAGTGCCCAGGGCGGCTGCGAGCAGGCCTCCCAGGAAGCCTTGGGATTCTCCTCCGCCAGCCCGTTTCCAAGCCCTGTCACGCATCTCCTCATGGAGAACGGGACCCTGGCCCTACCCCTGAGCACAGGCACTGACAGCACCAGCGACACGGTCCAGCATGGATTCGGCTGCTCCTGGCTTCAGGAGCAGGGTGCGGGGCGGGGCAAGGCTCCAGCTAAGGTCCTCGTGGGCTGGGGCAAAGGCCCCTGCAGCACTGGCCAGCTAGCTCCCTTGGACATTAGGATGAGCCCGTGGCTTCCCTGTACCCTCCCAGGGGAGGACAGCTCAGCTACAGCCCAAGGTCCCCTTCTGACTGCAGCCCAAGATCAGGGCCAGGGCAAGGGCCTGTGTCCGGCTCAAGCTCCTCCAACTCCAGCTCAGGCAAATACTCCAGCTCCGGAGTCAACCGCGATACCAGCAACAGCTGAACCTTACACCTGCCACCCCGACCGCCTGACTGGCAGCATTGCCACTACCAGGGGCTTGTCCCAAGACCCCCTGCTCAGGAAGTGTGGCCACCAACTGTCAGTCCTCTTGGAGTCTTCCAGTGCGGTCACATCTTGCCAGGACAAAGGGAACTTGGGTCCTCAGGAGAAGCTTCCCACCGCAGGACCCACTCAGAAAGAGTCCCCAGGCCTTGCCCAGGAGCTCCAGGCTGCCGGAAGGCAGACGTTACCCAGGCAGCCTGAGAAGCCAGCTGAGAAGCCTCCAGCCGGTACCTCCAGACCAGGCAGTCCAGCACCAGGCTCAGGAAGTCCAGACACCGAGTTCCCGAGGAGCCAGGAGACCTGCGGCTCCCAGGCAGACCAGCGGCCCCTCAAAATCTGCAGCAACACTTGCTCCAGTGTATCCCTCTCTGCCTGCCGAGTAGCCTGCCACAAGCAGTCCCCAGTCCAGCCTCCCAAAGAAGCCATGCAGGCCCCCCTCTCCACTGCTCCTACCTGCCAGCTCCAGGGTGCCATGGAAGACCAGGTGCTGGTGTTTGATGCGGCCACGGGCAACACCAGGATGGGGGAACTGTGCTACGACCTCATGGGCTCACAAGCAGTACTGATGGGCTTCATGCCCAAACCCCCAGCTGTTTATGGCCCTGAAACTATGCCATCCCCCTGGCCATGGGCTGTGCCCATGGCCCCGCCTGACAGCAAGCACCCCAGCTTCTGGCCCATCTCATCAGTGCTGTCTAGCCCCGTGCCCTCCAGCCTCTCTTCTGGCAGCTACCGAGAGGTGGCCCTGGTTCCCAAGGAGGCCAGGCTCAACCTGGGCTCCCTTGGTACTGAGACGCCCCTCAGACTGGGGGTGCTCAGCGGGCCCGTTCCGTTGGCGTTTGGTGAGGGGACATTGAGCCGGGTCCACGATCCTGGCTGCTCCAAACCTGATGCTGAAAAAACTGAATCTAGTCACACCCTCTGGAGGCTGGATGCTTCTGGAATGCAGGACACCCTTACGGTCCAGGCCAAGAAACTACAGTGGATGAACTCAGAGCCAACCCCAGAGGCTGCTCCTTCGGCCACACCCCAGGAGGCACCCAGATCCCTGCTCCCAGAGGAGATGGGCTGCCACAGCTGGAAAGAGGTCCATGCTGCTCACCCTGACAACCCTCCAGCTGAGGGTGCCGGGCAGGACCCGTCCGGCGGCTGGCCCCCACTAGCTGACCAGCACCCCCTCTCTGGGCAGCCCCCTCCAACTGGCCAGCCTGCCTCTGCTGAGCAGCCCGCCTCAACCAGGCAGCCCCCGCTTCCTGGCCAGCCCCCTCTCACTGGGCCCGTCCTTGCCAGGCAGCTTTCTTTCACTGGGCCAACCCCCTTTTCCCAAGACCTCTCTATCTCCAAAGAGCTCATCCTCCCAGGAGGCACGCCCACAACCAGGGAGGCTGGCCACGCCCCCGCCCTGTGCCGGGAAGGGGAGGCCTTGGGTCTGCCCAGCCATGTGGGGGTGCTTCAGATGCCCCCGGCCCCTGAAAAGACCTGTGACTATGTGAGCAGAGAGAAGGCAGGTGTCGGGGCCGCTCCAGGCTCCAGTGCACAGCAGCGCGCATCCTGGCCGCAGGGCAGCTCTCACAGCGCCCAGGAGGAGCAGCTCTCCCTGACCACGTCCACTGCGCCTGGCCCTGGCTGCAGGGTCTTGCCCATGGCCACGGGGGGCCCTGAGCCCCAGGGTCCCCAGCTCAAGCTGACAGCTGAGGACATTGCAGGTTCGTCAATGGACACCAAACTTGGCCTCCTCCGTGGGGCCTACTGTGATCTTGTGTCCTCCACAGATTCTCTGCCAGTACAGTCCCCAGTGCTCTGCTGCCACTCCCTGGGACCCTACCAGGTCATGGCAGCTGTAGTGATTGACACAGGCACGGGCTTCACCAAATGTGGACTGGCTAGAGAGGACCACATCCTCAGTGTGGTACCCTCGTGTGTCCAGCTGCTGCAGCCGCCCGGCCAGCACCAGCCCAGGTCTGTGATACCCGAGAACAGGGAGGGCTCCTCCTGCACGGTGCTGAATCGAGGAGTGGTCTCCGACTGGGATGCACTGGAGGTGCTGTGGCAGCACCTGTTCTATTGCAGGCTGGGTGTGCAGCCGGAGGAGCTGGCTGTCCTTGTAGCCGACTCGCCCACCTCACCGCGCACCAACCGAGAAAAGGTCGCTGAAATCCTCTTTGAGCATTTCCATGTGCCCGCCATGCAGACAGCGCATCAGGCCCTGCTGGCACTTTACGCTTACGGGCGCACCACAGGGCTGGTGCTGGGCAGTGGCCATGGCACCTCTTATGTGGCGCCCATCCTCACTGGGGACCTGGCCCCACTTGACACCTACCGGCTAGATGTGGCCGGTGCTGACCTCACTGAATACCTGGCTCAGCTATTGCTGGCGGGTGGCCACCCGCTACCTGAGAAAGGGCTAGTCAACCAGATTAAAGAGGACTGCTGCTATGTAACATTGAATCTGAAGGCTGAGACGGCTCGTGCTCAGGCCCGGGCCCAGGTGGACTTCGTGCTTCCAGATAAGCAGGTCATCACATTGGGCTCGGAGCGCTTCTGCTGCCCTGAAGCCCTCTTCCAGCCCGATCTGCTCGGCCTCAACCAGCCAGGCCTCCCACAGCTCGCTCTCCTAAGCATCAGCCGGCTGGAGGCCAAGCAGCAGAGGCAGCTGCTGGCCAATGTGGTGCTAGACGGTGGCAGCACCCTGTTGGGTGGCTTTCCCGAGCGCTTGAGAAGGGAGCTGGGCCCTGGCGCAACTGTGCTGGCCTCTCCCCACCGCGCAGTTGCCGCCTGGCTTGGAGGCTCCATCATGGCGTCCCGGGACTCCTTCCAAAACCTGTGGCTCAGCCGCCGTGAGTACGAGGAGGAGGGCCCGTGGGCCATCTACAAGTACCATCTGTGAGCACATAAAAGTTCTGGTTCTCCTTACTTTGAACACTATGGCATGGTTTAGGCCCAGGGCGGCGTGGAAAGGGCAGGAGCCCCGGCATGGGGTCAGGGATGAGGCCTTAGCACACGCAGGGTGTGCCCTGCCTCTGCACCCTGGAGCTCCATGGGTCCCAGCAATTCTATCCTTTCTAGAGCGCCCCCTTGGCACTGGCTCTGGTCTAACCTGACCTTTACTGTACCCCAAGGGCAAACATGGAGAGTGGCTGCTGTGAGTTTTGCCCCGTTGCCCTGGCGACAAGTGCAATTACACTTGATTGCCAGCTGGTTGCCATGGCAATTTCAAACATAATGTAATAACCCACACAGCCTGGAGTGAGTCATGATGGGGGGAGCAGCCCCCTCCCCTAGCTGCACAGGAAAGGACTACTTGCCCTCCCCCACCCTGGGCCCTATACAGGGGGCTGAGGCCAGCAATGTAGGTAACAGCCAAATAGTTCCAACGATGGTTGGGGACCTGGGGCATTTGTTGACCCCAAGGGACAGTCCCTGTCAGAATCTGGGCTTCTTGAGGCTTCTTGCCTGGTAATGTAGTAACTTCCTAAAATCTGAACCTTGGCTAGAGCTCTCTACTGGGTAGGCAGGGGCTTCTGTCCACCAGGCAGAATGTGAGGGTGTGGGAGTGCTGGCCTTCGATCCCCTGGGGCAGGAAGTCGGGGTAGTGGGGCAGCTAAGTCTTGGCTCTGGGGCAGGAGAGGGCAGCACACCTGGACCGGGGCTGGGACTCTGGCCTGGTCTGTGGGTGTGCGCTTTATCCTGCCTCTCTGACGCGCTAGCTCGGGTGAGAGGCAAACAGTCGGCCTTGGGCTCCCTTCCCCTCCTCAGCTTCCCAACACAGGCAGCTCCTGCCCGCAGGGCGGCCAGGGCGCACGCCGCCCCAGCGGATCCTCCAAGAGGCTCCCAGGCAATGCCGATGCCGGTGCCAACTGCCTCTGCTCTGGTCCCAAGCCCTGCCCTGTGCTGGGGCCTCTGGCCAGGGCATTGGCTAGAAGTCATGGGTCCTAACCTTGTGCAGCTCTGAAAGCGGGAGTAGAAGTGGCAATCTGCCACCCCGGCCCATGCTCTTACAGAGCTGAAAGGGCGGCATGCAGCCGGTATCGCCACTTCCTACCCAGTGGGCGCCTAAAGGTTAAAGCCAAGGCAATGAAGCCTTACCCTGCCTGTGCTGCTCTGGCTGCAGGCTTAAGGATAGACCACAGCCCGGTCCTAACCCTGGGTTCTGTCTGCGTGTTGCCCTCTCCACTAAGGATGAAGGTCTGGTCACATCTCCCTGCCACACACATACCTGCGGGTGAGGGGCGGCCCGAGGTGTGGGAGACTAGAAACAGCCAAGTACACAGGGTCATCCCGGCCCCTGCCCACCCCCAGGCATGGCCCAGCCACTTCCCCGGTCCCGCCCTCACACCCTGATTCAGTCTCCACAATCCTGAGGCTTGTGTCATGCAGGAAGGGCACCAGTGCCTCCAGGGCCCAGTGTCTCCAGGGACTGGCTCCACATCCATGCGCACATGCGAGCAAGCACGCCTGGGTGCACACAGAATGCAGACACGTGCCCCTGGGCACCACTGCACACACAGTGCCGTTGCCTTCCCCTTCAGCAGAAGAGCACACAGACACACTCACACGTGTGCACATACACCCTGCCACGTGCTCTCACCCACAGGCACATGGAGTGTGCACAGGACCAAGAAGAGGTGGAGCCCTGCCAGCAGCAGGCAGGGCGCTTGCAAGGCACCTCTTCCCCTGGCTCTAAATCCCTCATTGCAGCCCCTCCTTAGCTCAGCTGCTTCATGCCTAGATATGCATAACCTTCTGGAAAGACAGAAAATGTGTGTGACATGCGTGGGGTCAGCACGCCATTGCTCAGCTGCACCACACAACTCAGAGAAGTGTTGTTTCGGAGGCAGTGGGCAGACAGCGGGCAGGACTGAGTGCCAGGCTGTTCATTCATTCTGCAGACGTGAACTGAGCATGTTGAGAGGAGGCACAGGCTCTGCGCTGCGGGTACCCAGATTGCCAGGCGATTCCTGCTCGCTGCTGGGGTTGATGCCATGACTGAGAGCACCCGGACGTGACATCGGCCTGGCCTGGAAGAGGTGACCCAAAGCCAGGGAGGGATGTGAAGTGCTCCTCAGCACCCCTTCTGGAGGAAGATACTGAGGGGCTTTGTCTGAGCAGTCACTTCCCAGGCTCGCCTTCCAGCCCAGCCCCAGCTTCCTCTCTTGGGGAGTCACTCCCATCAGCAGCCAAGAGGAGCCATGCAGGGGTGACTCAACATGGCCAAGGGTTGGGGACAGGGGAGGACTCCTCCCAGGACGGGGTCACAGGCTCCATGGGCAGGTTGGGTTGGGTGGAGCCCAGCTTCAGGCATCAGGAAGCCTAAGTCTGCCCTTCAGATACGGGCCTCAGAGCCTGTGAGGGGACAGGGGCAAGCGCCTCCCTGACACGGGACAGAGAAATGGCCAAGGACTTCCTTTAGAGCCTCTGCCTGGCAGTTCTCTGCCTCCCTCAGTAAGGGGCTGGGTCTGGTCAGCCCCCAGCCAAGGAAAGCACAAGCACTGTAGGGCTTCCTTGTCCAGGCTTCAGCTCCAGTGCTCTGTGGGCAGGGGCAAGGTCTGTATCCCGATATCCCAACCCAGGCCACCCACCGAGGGGGATTCTGCTCAGGAAGTATTTGCCCGCCATAAAACTGGGAAGAAAGCAGATTCCACACCGGGCCATGGGTGACTTTTATAGTTTGGGAAATTCAGTGCCACATAGGAAGGGCAGACTGGGCCAGCCACCCCCGCCCAGACTTGAGGATGGCAATGGCTTTGGCCTTGCAGGAGTGGAGGCTGAGATCGGAAGGAGATTCTGCCTCCGGTGGTCTGGAGCCCTCACCGGCCGGTTGCGCGCGCGGGCGCGCACACACGCCCCCCGTTTGTTTACTACTCCCAGCTAGGGGATGCTAGTCTGTAGTGCCGCTTGCCTTAACGACTGCCCACTTGGTTCCTCCAAGCGCGTTCCACCCCTTGGGTCCTGTGCGGGTCCAGGACTCAGGCGTCCCCCACACTTCCGACTCCCCAGCCCCTGCAATGGGCATAGGGAGGCCCCTCCGACCCCTGTTGCCCAGTCAGTTCGAGGGCCTAAGGGAGCCTAAGGGGTGGCAGGCCAGTGGCACCCCTGTCCGCTCGCCTTCGAGTGGGGTTCCGGCCACCGGCTTCGCCAGGGTCGGGGCGGAGCCGGCTGAGGGAAGCCCCGCCCCCAGCCCGCCCCCGGCCCGGGGTGCGAATCTGGTGCGGGCGAGCGGCGGGAGATGCTGGAGGTTCGCGAGCCGAAGCGGCTGCAGCTGGCGCCGCGTCTGCCCCGCGTGCTCGGAGCGGATTCTGCCCGCCGCCCCTGCAGCCCTCGGCGCCCCCGCTGAACCTGCGATCGCTTCCTCCCTGTGATCGACCGCCGCTGCAGGTGCGGAGCGGGCCGGGCGGGGGGCGCCCCCCGGAACGCACGTTGTGGTCTTGGGGGATTTGGTCTCCGGTTCGAGGTTCGGGTCGCCGAGTGTGCGGGTCCCCGCGAGGCTGGAGGCTTGGGGCTTCGGCGCGGGAGCACGCGGGCTCTGCAGATCCGGGGGTCGGCGTGCGGGCTTGGGCTAAAGTTCCCTGTCACCTCTGACGGCTGGGGGTGGGGGTCCCAGGGGAAGCCTCGGAGTCAGGTGCAGGCGAATTTCCTCTACTGGCCCCCCACCCCCCTTGTGTACTCCCCGCCCCCCGTCTCGTTAAGCTCCTAATTGTGAAAACATTAACCCTCCGACATTCGTGGTGCCCCGTTGGGGTAGGGGCCGAGGGCTGAGCGGTCCCTCCTGACTCTCAGAGCCTCCAGCCCTCCCGACTGCCCCCGGCTCCCTCCCTCCCGCGCAAAGCAGTCACTAATTTCCATGACAACAGTTCTTTTTTTTTTTTTTTTTTTTTTTTTTGGACGACAACCTGGAGGGGGCTGGGCGGGGCCGCTGAAAGCGGGGAAGGGGCTCCCCGCCCCTGCCGACCAGCAGCCCCTTAGCCAAGATCTAGGTTCCAAGCCTTATTGTGGAGCTTAGCTGGGGGTCCAGGGCACCGACCCAGCGCTGGGCGATGGGGGTCGGGGGGCGCACATGTTTCTGCTGGGAAGTGCGGGGCTTGGTGCTCACACGTGTGCCTCCCGCATGTGTATAGCTGTGCCAGCGGGGGCGAGCCGGCAGCACTGGGGAAGGGGGTCAGGGTGGCACCGCGGTGGGAAGCAGGGCCCCAGGCGGAGCAGAGGTGGACAATGAATGATTGAGTGTTTTTCTTCCGCAGCCTGTAGCATCTGGCAGAGACCCCAGGCTCTCCCAGCCCCCCATAGCTCTGCACACTGCTTTTGTCCGCACCCCCTAGGCAGAAGCTGCTCCACCAGCTCCCCTCTCAGGGAGCAGGCCCTCTGTCCCTCACCAAAAGCTCAGTCTGCAGCAGCCCAGGCCCCGTACTGCCACCCTCCTCCAAGGCCCCAGCTTTGAGACCCCCAGGACCACCTGCGGAGACCTGGTTGCCCCCACCCTCAGCTGATTCCTGTGAGCTCTAGCCACTCGCTGGGCCCCAGTTTCCTCAACTGGGATATTGGTGTCTCCTTTTCTCTCAGTGGCAGGCTGGGCCCTGGGGTGCGGCATGCTCTCCTTTTTTTTAATAGCATTCCATGTGGACCCCCTCCCCCACCCCCGCCCCGTGCCATAGGCTGTCTTTCCCATCTCTGCTGCTGGCCCTCCTCTCCAGCCCATGTCCTGGCCACCACACACTGGCAGGCCATCAGTCCTTGCCCCGGAAGAAGGCCACAGAGCCCGTGATCTCTCTCCAGGGAAACTGAGGCAAGGGGAGGTTGCCTGTGCCATTGTTACCCTGTTTCTAGGTTGCTTAGGGTGCAGTTTCTGGCTCTCCTGAGAGGAAGCACTGTTGGGAGGGGGACAGTGGTGGCAGGGAATTAGGCTGAGATGCCAGAGGAGCCCTGGGGACCCACAGCCTGGGGAGACAGCGGAAGGGGAGGTGTGTGGCTGGAGAGTCCTGGCAGAGCTGGGCCAGGTGAGGGGGGCCGTGCAGGGAAGCAGCCAGGTCTCCAAGCTTCGTTTCCACCCCCCTCGCTTGTACCTTCCACATGTGGGCCCCCCCCCCGCCCGGCCTGAGCTGGGGTGATGATGGGGGAGGGGCTGAGGAGCTGCTTTCACTTAGGGGGCTGCAACAGTTGGCCTTTCCCCGGGGTTGCGCCTGTGCCTCCCACACCGAGTTAGGGGCATGTCTGGGGGATACAGGAGGGCTTGGTCTCAGAGGTCCGGGCACCGGGGCAGCTCCTGGCCCAGGTGGTCAGAAAACATGGCCACGGAAGCCTCAGGGACGTGCTGGGCCCCCATAGGCCCCTTCAGAACCGCCTGCCAACTGTCCCCTCCTGTATCCTTGTGGCTGCTCCCTTTTTACTCTGTCGCCTCTTTGCTCCCCTTCTGTTCACAGGCTGTGCCTTTGTCTCTCTGTGTCCTTGCCCCACTCTCTCTTTTTTAAAGTCTCTCTGTCTCCCCACCTCCCTATCCTTTCATAGGAACTAGGGTCCTCAGGGAAGGAAGCTGGCAAAAGCCTCAGGGAATTCTTGCAGAAGGGGTTTGGCCAGCACCTCCCTCCTCCCCCTCCTCTTGTTTTAAAACTTCCATCACCATAGCAACCATTTGCTCTCTGAGCCTTCCCCAGCATTTCCCCTCCTCCACCCACAAGGAAGCGGGGTCCCCAGTGGATTATCCTTTAGGAGTTCAAAGACAGGGACCCCAGGCGCCTGGGAGGGGTTGGTTGGCTCTTGGCTCTGCCTGCATGTTGAGGACTGAACTTTCTAGAGGGGGCGCTGGACTGTCTGCCCACTGCTGAGACAGTAGATGCTCCCTCTCCATGCTCCCTCATTTGATGGGAGACTGCCGGCAGCAGGAGCTATGGGCCACGGTGGGGCTGGAGCCTGAGGCACAGCTAGGACAGCTCCTTGCCCACTTCCTGAAGCAGCCGGATGGTGGGCTAGAAGCTTCGCTCCTCCTCCTGACACCGGACCCTGGACCCTGAGCGGGAGGTCTCTGGTTCCCCTGGTCCTTGGGGTGAGGCCTCAGCGGTGGGCCCGGTAGGGCCTGGGCCTAGGAGGACGTGCCCATGGCATCAGGAAGCCGGCCCCAGTCCCTGAGGGAGGAGCGCAGGGAAGGGGAGCAGTGCCAGCAGGCTGGTGTTCACAGCTGCCACTAAATCGGGAGGTGTTGCCCGCAGTGGCTGGGAGGTGGCCGGGCCCCCTGGGCCCCTCCGAGCCTTCCTAGGTTTGCTGGAAGCTGTGGAACCCCACACAGTGGCAGAGGAGCGGGGTGGCAGGAAGCTCCAGTTTATGGTTAAGAAAGGTGGGGCCAGAACCAGGCTGACCCTGGTGGGAAGGAGGGGACAAGAGTCCCTCGTGGGACTTCTGGGCCTCTGGAGCTGGCCTCTGTCCCACTCAGGTTCCCCCTAGGTCAGGCTTGCCCTAGGCTACAGTAGGGCCCCTGGGGAACCTTTTATTACCAGGGCACCTGCCGTCAGAGGCTTCCTCAGGGTCGCCTAAGGCTCGATGGCCTGAGCACAGGGGTCACAATGAACAGGGCTTGGCCCTCAGGCTCCCCTAGAGCCGCCTGGAGGGCAGTGGCAGCGGCAGGCTCTGCACCCTCTGTGCACACCTTTGAGTTTCTCTGCAGAGAATGAGAGAAGCCACGTGTCTGGGAAAGTGGCAGCTGTGGGTCTCCTGCGCCCTCCCTGGCCCCAGTGTGGGCCTGAGTCAGAGCCCGGGTTCTGTGGCACTGGAACAAGAACCCCCTGCCGCTGTGTGTTGGGTCTGAGCTGTCTGCGGCACGGGGGCGAGAAATGCAAACCCCTTTCTGCCTGGCCTTTCAGTTCCTGAAGCTGTTTCTTGGCTGCTCCTCCCCGCTTCGGGGCCAGCCCCCCGCCCGCACCTCGCTGCAGACAGGTGCCCGGGGCTCTGTGCCCCAGCAGCCTCCCAGGCGCTGGCGGTGGGTGGCAGATGGTAGAGTGGTGGGGGTGGAGGGGACCCAGGCGCTAATCGGCAGGGCGCCCTCTCTTCTCTCTTTGTCCTGGGACCAGGTGGGGGGTGGAAGTGAGCGAGCACAGTTTGATGGGTGAGGAGAAGCAGCAGTGGGCTGAGGTGGGGCAGCCTGGTAGGGGGGCAGGCGGATCTGTCCCCGCTGTGCCCTTGAGGCTTTAGGACACAACTTCAGGCTGATGTGACTGAGCAGAGACACAGACCTCAAGAGCAGCCCTGGGGCCCTGTGGGCACAAGTGCAAGTGCATGGCCAAAAGCTGGGCCAAGAGTAGGGACAGGCATATACAAAACCTCCCACGCCGTGCGTCAGAGCAGGGAGCTGTAGAGTGGGGTGGGGGGAGGTGGAAGTTGTGGAAGGTATTTCAGAAGGGCCATTTTGAGTCTGGAGCATCAGGATTGTTTTAGACAATCTGTTGCACAAACAACCTTATGTCAGAAATTGCAGTGGAAGAAGAGATTCAGCTCCAGTGCCGGCACCTGGCTCGGGCGGAGGCTGCTCCATAGGGAGGCAAGATGGGCATCCGTGCCTTTGAGTGGACACTGTTGAGTTGGCAAGTCACCTGTTGTTGGATGTTTAGGTAGTTGCTGGGGTTTTTCGTGTTATAAATAACCCTGGCGTGACAAGTAGGGTGCTGATGGGAGACTTGGGGGAAGGGCATTGCTGCCAGAGGGAATGGCCTAGGCAAAGCCACAGAACTGCGACGCGGGTCCCTCCCAGCGTTCCTGCGTGACCCAGGACAAGGTCTTGGGTTCCAGCCAGGGAAGGGGACCGCTGAACACCCGAGGGACTGCTGCAGCCCCTCCCCGGATTGAGGCAGAGGCGGGCGGCCGCGGGGGTGGGAGGCTGTGCTTCTGCCGTCCGCTGTAAGAGTGGGATTCCAGCTACATGCTCCTCCCCGGCAGACGCAGGAGCAGGGCTGTGACCACGGTGGCAAAGACACGCAGTCGGGGATGATCTTCAAAGCTTCTCTTGTTCGCCTCTGCAGTGCCTCACAAGATGGCTTAAGCCCTGCCTTGGATCACGCTGGTGAAATGCGTTTGCAATCCCCGAGCCCGAACCACCCAGATGAGGGAACATGGGCATTTGTTCCCTGATGCTGAGAGCAGATTTGAGGGAGAACCTCCAGGACTGTGACCCCTGGGAAGTGGGCGGCCTCTGCCTGGGAGGGAGGGAGCGAGCAGCAGCCAGGGCTGGGCGTGGGGTTAGTATGGGCCCTGGCCTTGGGTCCCTCTAGCCCAAGCTCCTTCCTATGGCGATGGCTTCCTCCCTTCTCCACTGCTCTGTGGCTGTGAGCGACTCCGGGTAGGGGAGCATCCAGGTTGTCAAGGCCGCTGCCAAGCCCTGTGAACAGCATGTGCTAATCGCTGTGGAGGGACAATAACATGCAGCCAGCAGAGCCAGGCAGGTTGAACACAGTCTTGGTGCAGAGCCTGCTGGAGCCCCGGTGTCCCGGTGACTGGGCAAGACAGAGGCAGACTTTGTCTGGGTAAGGTCTACCAAGGTCCTGACACTGTCCCAGCTATCCTCTCGGGGCTGGCCTCTGAGCAAGGACCACGACTGGTGCCTTTCCTCTGGGTCCTGGAGCCAGTCTACGCAGCACTGCGGGTGGCGATGGGGCAGACGTGCGGGGCACAGTGTCCCGGTGCCACGGTGCCTGGAGCCCGCTGCAGCCAGCCGCGTGCGGTTGCCCTTGTGCCTGGAACACCCCCCCCCTCGCCCCCTGGCCAGGGGCCCTCCCCTGGACCTAGCTGCCCAGGTCTCCTGCGGGGCGCCAGTGGTGGGCGCTAGGTGGGCTTGTGCTGCCTTTCCGGACCTTTTCTGGGGATTGCCCCCGCACCCCGCTCCCGCAAACCCTCCCGCTCTAAGGCCCAGCCCTAAGCTGCTCCTTCCTCAGTTCTTCCTCACTTCTCTACCCGGATAGGGCTTCTTCTGAGGCAGCCCCCAAGCACTGTGCCTGATTGCAGCAGTTATTAAATTTATGCACATAATCATAGTAAAAATTCTAACAGAAAGTGAGACAAAAGACGGAAACCTGTTCCTCCCATGCCAATTCTTAGCCCCGAAGAGCACTCTTAAATTTCTTAGTTGTCCTTCCAAAACAGGACTATAAACTAGCATGTGAATTTTTTAAATTTTAGCCAAATAGCAGCCTCCTTTACCCACCATTTTGTCCCTTGCTTTTTTACTTCACAACGTATCTCAGAGACTGTCCACAGCAGCGTATTTCAATCTAGTTTATTTTTTTAAATATGGGTGTTGATTTAGAGAGAGAGCAAGGGGGAAAGAGAGAAACATTGAATGGTTGCCTCCCATACGTGCCCTGACCGGGCATTGAACCCGCAACTTTTTGGTGCACGGGACATTGCTCCAACCAACCGAGACACACCAGCCAGGGCTCAGTCTGCTTTGTTTTTTTAATAGTCACCAAGTGTTCTTTAGTTTGGGTGACCATAGTTTTATTAACATTTTTTATTGTGAAACATAACAAAAATTTAGGGACGTGCCAAAACTTGTATGTACATCTTTACAAAATATTATAAAGCTGTAAAACCATCACTTAGGTCCAGAAATAGGCCCAACAGAATCCCCCCAGGTGTCCCGACTCGATCACAACTCCTTTCCTTCTCTTAGAAGGACTCATGGTGTTTATTTCCAAGTCTTCTTTGTTGCCAGTATGTTTATATCCCTAAACAACACAGGTTAGTTCTGCCTGTTTTGAGCTTTCTATCAATTCCATAATTGATAACATATTGACTCTAGATTATATAATCATACTATATATGCATTCATTTGTGTCTTTTTCACTCAACACTGTGAGCTTCACCTTGTGGTTGGGTATAGCTATAGCTACGTCATTTCTATTGTCGTGTAATATTCCATCGTGTGACTCTGTCATAATACATGTACAATATCACAAGGTAGCTGGATATTTGGGGTGTCTCTCATTTTTGGCAATTACAAATATTGCAACTGCGAGCATTCTTGTGTGTGAGTACCCTGATCCACAAATATATGTATTTTTGTAGAGCATATATTTAGCAGTGCAATTGCTGATTCATAGGATACGTTTGACGTCTATAGTTTCAGCAAACTGGTTTCCAGAGGGGAGACTTGCCTTCCGCCAGCAGCGCTCATGCTCTCCTCTTCTCTGCCAGCACTTGGTACCTCAGGCTTTTAGAGACAGCTTGACTGATGGGCAGGTAGTGACAGCCTCCCCTGTCTGTAAAATAGCTGAGGTGTAAAAAATCATTTGATCAATCTTGTCAGTGTATATATTATAAAGCGATTCCCTGGTAGGTCAGTTTAATACATTTTTCACAAGTGGGATCTATTACAGTTCAGGTGGGCAAGCTAAGTGGCTGGGGCCACGGCCGGAAAAGCAGGGTGGGATCCGAGTCTGGCCACCCTTGGCCTTCCCTGGCCTAGGCTTTGCCCTGGTGTGGCCTGAGCCAGGCTGGGGTCTCCCGGAGGCGGCTTCCGTGTCATGGAGAGAAACGGGGAGTGGTGTGGCTGAGCCAGACCCTGTCCTCCCCGCAGCTCAGAGCCTGGCAATGCCGTTTGGGTGCGTGACTCTGGGGGACAAGAAGAACTATAACCAGCCATCGGAGGTGACTGACAGATATGATTTGGGACAGGTCATCAAAACGTGAGTGCCGGTCTGGTGGGCAGGGCAGGGCAAGGGTCGGGGCAATGGGGGGATGGGGTGGTGTGCAGGCCGCACTGAGGCAGGTGCCTGTGGCTACAGTGAGGAGTTCTGTGAGATCTTCCGGGCCAAGGACAAGACAACGGGCAAGCTGCACACCTGCAAGAAGTTCCAGAAGCGGGACGGCCGCAAGGTGCGGAAGGCGGCTAAGAACGAGATAGGCATCCTCAAGATGTGAGTGTGAGGCCTGGGGGTGGGGCGGCAGCGGCAGGGCAGCGCTTTGAGGGCGGAGGCCTCAGGCAGTGGGAGCCTCTGGCCTGTGAGTCTGCTGTGGCCCGCTGTGGCCCACTGTGGCAGCAGCGCTCTCTCGGGGGTTCACCTCGCCCCAACGATTGGCTCTTCTCTCCACTGCCAGGGTGAAACATCCCAACATCTTGCAACTGGTGGACGTGTTTGTCACCCGCAAGGAATACTTCATCTTCCTGGAGCTGTGAGTGCGGGCCTGGGGTCCCAGGATTCCTCCACCCTCTACAGCCAGGGAGAGCCCCCTGCTTGGACCCCTGGGGTCCCCGTCCCTTGCCCAGACAGCTACCCCGTGTGGGCAGCCCGCCCAAGTGCTCCTGCCCCACCCCCGATCCTGCCCACGCCGGGCTCAGGGGCTGGTGTCCCTCAGGGCCACGGGGAGGGAGGTGTTTGACTGGATCCTGGACCAGGGCTACTACTCGGAACGAGACACGAGCAACGTGGTGCGGCAGGTCCTGGAGGCCGTGGCCTACCTGCACTCACTCAAGATCGTGCACAGGAACCTCAAGGTGAGGCCAGGAGCCTGCCCAAAGGGCCAGCTGGCAGCCGGCCTGGGGCTGGGCTGGGCAGCCCTTCGGGGCCTTGGTCCAGCCTCTGGGGCCCTCTCCTCATGGAGTCTTTCTCTGCCCACCCACATGTCATTCCTGGCCGGAGCAGCTGGAGAACCTGGTTTATTACAACAGGCTGAAGAACTCGAAGATTGTCATCAGCGACTTCCACCTGGCTAAGCTAGAGAATGGCCTCATCAAGGAGCCCTGTGGGACCCCCGAGTACCTGGGCAAGCAGGGGAGGGGGAGGGGCAGGGTGGGAAACAGCCTTCAAGGAGTGGCCCTGGGTAAGGGGGAAGGAAGTCTCCAGGGAGCCGGAGTGTGTGGTACCAGGCCTGGCAGGCGGGATATTGACCAGCCGATTGGAACTATGTTTGCAGCCCCGGAGGTGGTAGGCCGGCAGCGGTATGGACGCCCGGTGGACTGCTGGGCCATTGGAGTCATCATGTACATCCTGTGAGTGGGTGGGCAAACAGGGGGTGACCGCCAGAGGGCATGGGAGCCCGTGCCCACGGCCCTCCTGGGTGACCTTGCCCCTTGGCCCTCACACAGGCTTTCAGGGAACCCGCCTTTCTATGAGGAGGTGGAGGAAGATGACTACGAGAACCATGACAAGAATCTCTTCCGAAAGATCCTGGCTGGCGACTATGAATTTGATTCTCCATACTGGGATGACATTTCACAGGCGGGTGAGGAGGCGCCCAGCATCCGGGCAGAGTGAAGGGTCGGTGTGGGGGGCCTGTTCTCAGCCTCCTCTGCCGAATTCTGCTCCTACCCCCCAGCCCATCCACCACCTCTAGACAGTGAGATGGGGTGCCATGCCTAGCCTCTCCCTGGCTTTGTCCCCAGCCAAAGACCTGGTCACAAGGCTGATGGAGGTGGAGCAAGACCAGCGGATCACTGCGGAGGAGGCCATCTCCCATGAGTGGTGAGTGGGGCCCCAGGAAAAGAAGCAGAGAGGCCAGGCCTCCGTCCTCCTCACAGCTAGCAGCCCCCATCCCGAGGCCTTGGGTGGGGCTCAGGGAGCAGCCAGAGCCCAGACGGTCTGCCTGGCAACCCCTGCATCTTACGAGGAAAGGGCTGGCCAGAGTCTCCATTAAGGCCACGCTTCCAATCCAGACACACTTGCACCCTTTCCAGGATTTCTGGCAATGCTGCTTCTGATAAGAACATCAAGGATGGTGTCTGTGCCCAGATTGAAAAGAACTTTGCCAGGGCTAAGTGGAAGGTGAGGCTTGGATGGCTCCCTCTCCTGGAACGGTCCCAAGTGCTCCTTCTGGCACCCACCGTCTCTTGCCTGCCCACACACAGGCTTTTCCCCACTCACGGTGTAGCGGTAGCCACTGTCGTGAGTGTGCTGAGCAGCCAGGTGCCTGGCCCTGCGTGATCAGAGGTGGCCGGGGGCACCGTGGGGAGGGCCCGGTTTGGCCTGTACTAGGGAACGGATGCATCGTCTGTAAGCCTAACCCTGGCCTCTCTCGCTGCCCCGCTTTCAGAAAGCTGTCCGGGTGACCACTCTCATGAAGCGGCTCCGGGCGCCGGAGCAGTCCAGCACCGCCGCCGCCCAGTCCGCCCCCGCCACAGACACTGCCGCTCCCGGGGCTGCAGGTGGGGCCACAGCTGCCAGTGGAGCTGCCCCGCCTCCTGGGGGCAGTGCCACCTCGGTCACAGCAGGTGACGCTGCCCTTGCTGCAAAGAGTGATCATGTAGCCCCTGCAGACCGTAGTGCCACCCCAGCCACCGACGGGAGCGCCACCCCAGCCACCGACGGGAGCGTCACCCCAGCCACCGATGGGAGCGTCACCCCAGCCACCGATGGGAGCGTCACCCCAGCCACTGACAGGAGTGCTACTCCAGCCACTGATGGGAGAGCCACGCCAGCCGCGGAAGAGAGCACTGTGCCCACCAGCCAAAGCAGTGCCACCCCTGAGCCGGCTTTGGCCCAGCCGGACAGCACAGCCCCAGGGGGCGCAACAGGCCAGGCGCTACCCTCTAGTAAAGGGGAGGAGGCGGCCGGCTCTGCCGAGTCTCAGAGGGAGGAGACCAGCTGAGTGGGCAGGCTGGTGGTGGGGGGCGGGGAAGGGCAGGAGGGTGGGAGAGTGGATGAGGGGCTTCTCACTGTATATAGAGTCACTGGCATGATGCCCTCGCTCCCCCCCAGCCCCTGCCTCTCAGTGTAGGGCACGTCTGGGGGCCACGGGAGAGCAGTCTCACCTCTCCTGTGTGTGTGTGTGTGTGTGTGTGTATGAGTGGTGAGCAAGCCAGAGGCAGGACCGGCCCCAGCCCCTGCATGGATTCCTCGTGGCTTTTCTGTCTTTTGCTAGCTTCACCAGTTTTGTTTCTTGTGGGATGCTGCTCTAGGGATACTCAGGAGGTCCCTGCTCCCCTTCCTCTTTTGCCTCACAATTCCCCCAGGCAGGCCCTGCAGGTCCCATCCTCTCCCAGGCCCTAAACTTGGGTGGCCTTGCCCTGAGAGCTGGTCCTCCAGCGAGGCCCTGTCAGCGGTCTTAGGCTTCTACACATGGAGGTATGCGCCTGTGGTATGTGAGCTACTCTAGGAGCGGACACAGGCCGGTCTAGAGAATGCAGAAATCTAGGGCAGTATGCTTTAAGACAAGACTGGTCGTACGGTTGGGGGCACTGCTTGGTAGCGATGGGGGTCCTCAGCAGTGAAAAAGAATGAGGAGGGTAGAAGCTTCCATCTTTGTCCCTGGGAAGCCCCTCCCAAGACCCTTGTGCTATTTCCTGCCCTCCTGGGTCCTGCAGTGGGTTTCTCTGTGCCCTGAGTCCATGAGCCTGTATGGGGAAGGAGGAGCAATTAGATGTGGCAATGAGAACTGGGAGGATAGAGGAGTGCAGGCCCAACACCTTGTGCACCAGCCTAGCTGGGTCCTTCCCATGAGCCTAACGGGAAGGGCGGATATGCCCTGGCTCTTCCCATACGGCCACCTTCCAGAGCAGCTTACAGTCCACTCCATCCCAGGGGGCCTGCTGCCTGGCAGTGTCCCATAGTCTGATTTGGGGGTGTGCCCTTCAGGGGCAGATTTTCTCTCTCCCGCTTCAACAACAAAGTAGAGAGGAACCCCCTTTATGTCTGACCCACTTCCCCCTCTATCAGAGCTCAGAGAGAGGCCCAGGCGCCCCTGAGCCATGCTGAGGTCCTTTGCTGGATGAGGAAGTGGAATAAGGCTCCCCAGTTTCTTGATGGAGGCTCCTGGCAGGTGCCCTTTGTCAGACCCCACCACAGCCTGGGCAAGCAGCCACACCGGTCCCGGCCCGTGCTCGGCACTCTGGTGGCAGTCTTGCCCTTCTCCCTGCATGCCTGTGGGTCTGCTCTGGTGTATGAAGATCAGTGGGCTAACTGTGCCTGCTGAACCTGGCAAATAAATGTCACCCTGCCAAAGCTTCTGGCCACCCTCTCGCCTTGCTTCCTCTGACTCGCTGGGGAAGGGCCCCTGGAAGGCAGTGGGGAAGGGAGAGGCTGGAAGCAGGCTCACAGATAGTGGCCTGTGCTCAGTGCCATGTGGCTTGCTTGGGCTGAGAATGCAGATCACCCTCACCACATGTGTTCCTTGATGGTGGTGATGGGTTCCTCCAGACTGTAGTAATCCCTATGGATGATGGGTCCTGTGATGGACTTGTGCCAAGGAATGACCTCTGGGCTGCTGTCCTGATAAGTCCTGTTGAACAAGGAGTCCTTGTCTTAGCTGAGGCATAGAACTAGAACCCACCAAAACCCAGCCACCATAGAGACAGACCTTGCCTATAGCCAAAGTGGGCTTCCCTGGGTTGGGGAGAGGCTGCAGGGTGGCTATTGCACAAAGGTTCTATGCGGCCGTTTGTGTTAATCCTTCTTCCTGGGAACACTTGTGCTTTCCACATGGGCCCAAAGGATCCACTCTGAGTCTACTTCAGGTGGAACAAATCAGCTTTATATTATGGGGCTCTGCATAAGGTTTCTTCTGGGGAGAGGGCCGTACCACTGCTAAAAATAGTTGAGAGTGATAACTCCTAGGAAGACTTGTCCCAGCCGCTAACGGTCCAGGTGAACCCACTCTTTTAGGGATGACACAAAGATAACTTGTGGTGTGGGAATAAGAAAAAAGGGTTTGTTAGTCTCTGGTCTGTGAAACATCTGGGCCTCCAAAATTTCAAAATGCCACTACAGTTCAGAGGCATAAACTCATCCTCCTGGGAGCTAAGAGCTGAAGTCAGAGTACCGGCCCTGCCGCCTCCAAAATGGGGATCGTCCGTCGTGCCTTGCTTGGAAAGAGCCAGAGTGAGCTTAGGGGTTAGAACCTGTGTCCACCTTTCTAAGATGACTCAACAGCCGAGAGCTGGGAGGGTGGTCTGTGGGAACTGTGGGCTTCCAGCGTACGGTCCATCACTGCCCAAGCGCAGGGGACTCGTTCTCCATCGCGATCAGGGTCCCGTTCCCCTACGGCCGCGGTCAGACTCTCCCGAGGTTCAGAGAACGCTGCCCTGAAAGAACAGGGCCGAGGAGTCCGTGCCGCACTGGCTAGCTTCTCATCAGCTCTGGTTTGCCCCAGAAAGCGTCCCGGTCGGCAGCGTAGCTGCTCCCCAGCTCCCCATCCAGCGTTGAGCTCTTACGGTACTGGTCATCTTCCCCAGGGCCTCCTGAGCTCTATCTCCGACTGGTTCCGGTCCGCGTTCCACCCCGTGATTCTAATTGGCCGCAATACCGTTAAGCCCCGCCCCTGAGGGTTCGCCCAATCCAGGCTCACCCCTCAGGGTCTGCCTCCACGTTTCGTAAGGCCACTTCCGGTCCTACACCGGAAGTGGAGCAGTAGAGCCAAATTTGAAGGCACTGAAGCGCGGGGGCGCGGCCAAGAAGCTGGATCCTTCGCGGTTTCCTCGGCTACCTGGGCCCCTTGAGTCCAGTGATCATGCCTATCCGTGCGCTATGCACCATCTGCTCTGACTTCTTCGACCACTCGCGCGACGTAGCGGCCATCCACTGCGGTCACACCTTCCACCTGCAGTGGTGAGTGACCACGGTTTCGGGGCTGGGCGCTCGTTCCGGTACGGCTACAGGACTGTAGGGTGTCGGGCCTCTGGGGTGCCATCCCCCGGAGCCCAGACGGGTGATGAGGATGGCATTAGACGGAGCTCCACTGGAGGTTTCCGACCTGAGCAGAGGCGGGCCAGGGCAGGCATTCCGTAGGAGGTGGCAGCTGAACTGTGTCCAGAAGGACCGAGTTAGTTCAGTGAAGACAGGAGTAGGGACTTTAATGATCAGCTTGCGAAAGAGATGTGACTTAAGAACTATTAACCCAGGCAGAGGTGAGCTTTCAACAAACTGACGAGCGCTTTTGTTTCTTAGAGGTAGAAACCTGGCAGGCCTCTGGCTGCCGGGTTTGTTGGGGTTTGTTTGATGGTTTGGAATGCTTCTATCCGGAGTCATCTCTTTGGTCAGACACCACAAGCAAAACTCAGTTAACATCTAAGGGCAAGAAGGCGCTCCCGGATCAAGCTGTGCTGCTAACCCTATAGGACCATTCTATTGAGTGCAGATGGTTGGCAAAGATTCCTCTAGCAGCTGCGGAAGGGCTGGTTCAGAGCTCCTTTGCTCCTTTATTCATTATGGTAAAAAAAGTTTTAAAAAAACTACCATTTTTTTCTTTTCCTTTTTTTTACTATATATTTTTATCGTAGTTATACATTTTTTACAATGATAAAAATAGATAACATAAAATTTACCATTTTAACTATTTTTGGACTGTTACAAAGTTTAACAAAAAAAATTTCAGCACAAAAAGTACACGACCCAATTTTAAAATAGACCCTTTGGAGAGGGGTGAACACAGCCATTGTTTATACTCTATCTAAGGCTTCTAACATGATAGTATTTCTTTTTACCACCGTTTCAATATTGTTCTGTTGCCCATTAGTTGCCATTATCTATCCACATGTTATCACCTGTCATGAGATTCATAAAGGGATTAAATTCCTGCAATATGCCTGGGACATGTCTGCCACCATCTCATTTCAATGATAACTTTTTGTCCAACATTTTTTTAACTTGGGAGGGTGAGCTTTGCTCATGGGGTTTACTGGTCAGCTCAGAGATACCTTCCACTTTAACCATTTTTAAATGTACAAATCAGTGGCATTAAGTACGCTAACAGTGTTGTGTAACCGTCACCACTGTCTATTTTCAGAACATTTCTGTCATTGCAGACAAAAAACACTACTCATTAAACAATAGCTCTCTATCCCCCCTCTTCAAAACCCCCGGAAACCTCTATTTTACCTCCTGTCTTCTTGAATTTTCCTATTATAGGTACCTCATAAAAGTGGAATCATTACAGTATGTTCTTTTGAGTCTGGCATAATGTTTTCAAGATTTGTCCATATTGTAAAAGGAGAATTTTATTCTTTTCTTTTAAAGAATTTTTTTTTAATTTTTAAAAAATTGATTTGAGAGAGAGAAAGCCACTGATTTGTTGTTTTACTCATTTATGTATTCATTGGTTGATTCCTGTATATGGCCTGATCTGGGATCAAAGCCACAACCTTGGTGCATCTGGACAATTCTAATCACCTGAGCTATCCGGCCAGGGCAAGAATTTCATTCCTTTTTATGACTAAATAATATTCTGTTGTATGGAAATAACACATTTTGTTTATCCTTTTATTTGTTAATGGACCTTGGTTTATTTCCATGTTTTGGCTACTGTGAGTTATGTTACTGTAAATATTGGTATACAAATATATGTATGAGTCCCTGCTTTCATTTCTTTTTTAAAAGGAGTTTATTTATTTTATTTTTAGAAGAGGGGGAAGGAGGGAGAAAGAGAGGAAGGGAAGCATCGATTGGCTGTGCCATGACCAGGGACTGAACCTGGAACTTAGGCATGTGCTTTGACTGGGATTTAAACTGACAGCCTTTCACTTGGTGGGATGATGCCCAACCAACTGAGCCACATCGGTTAGCTTTCATTTTTGGAGGGTTATACACAGAGATGGAATTACGGCATCATATGGTAATTCTGTGTTTAATTTTTTGAGAAACTGCCTTACTGTTTTCTACACTGACTGCACTAGGTTTCCAATGTCTGTACGTCCTTGCCAATGCTTATTATCTGTTTTTGTTTTGTTTTTATAATAGCCATCCTAACAGGTGTCTTCTTTTTTAACGTATGTGTTTACAACTGTTAATTTACCTCTTAGCATTGCTTTTGCTGTATTTCATAAGTTTTGGTATGTTGTGTTTTCATTCATTTTAAGGCATTTTCTAAATTCCCTTGTAATTTCTTCTTTACCCATTGGTTGTTTAAGAGTGCATTGTTTAATTTCCTTGTACTTGTGAATTTTCCATTTTTCTTCTGTTGCTGATTTTTAGTTTCATCCCATTGTGATCAGAAAAGATACTTTGTATGACTTCAGTCTTTTAAAATTTATTAAGACTTGTTTTGTGGCCCAACATATGGTCTGTCCTGGAGACTGTTCATGTGCACTTGAGAAAACGTGTATTTGGCTATTATTGGGTGGAGTGTATTTGTTAGATCTATTTTTTATTTTGTTGTTCAAGTTCTCTGTTTCTGATTGTTTTGCCCATTATTAAAAGTGTAGGGTATTGATATTTTCAATTTTTGTTGTAGAACTATCTATTGCTTCCTTCGATTCTCTCCAATTCTCTTTCATATGTTTTTGGGCTCTGTTGTTAGGTGCATATGTGTTTATGATTGTTATTGCTTCTTGGATTGAAACTTTTATCAATATATAAAGTCCTTCTTTGTGTCTTGTAACTTTTTTTTTCCTTGCCTTAAAGCCTATTTTGTCTGACAATTAAGTAGGCACCTCAGCTCTCTTTGTTACTATTTTTCTTATCCTGGTAGGGATTCATTAAATTTCTTCAATTTGTGGAATGATTTCTTTAATTAGTTTTGGAAAATTATCAGCAATTATCTGTTCACGTATTGCTTCTGTTCCACCATGTCTTTTCTTCTGTATTAGCTTCTCAATTCGGCTATAACAAATTACCACTCACTTAGTGACTTACAACAACACAGATATGTTATCTTATAGTTCCAGAGGTCAGAAGTCCAAAATGGGTCGTTCTGGGTTAAACTCAAGGTTCGTAAGTGGGGTTTTTCTCGGTTCATAGCCTTCTCTCCATTGTCAAAGCCAGCAGTGCTACCTCTTCAGGTCTCTCAGTGTAACTCGGACACTCCTGCCCCGCTTGTAAGTGCCCTTGTGATCACGTGGGGCACACCTGGTTCGATACAGCACCCATCTGAAGACCCTTAGTTAACCACATCTGCTAAATCACCCTTTTCATATAAGGTAAGGTGTTCACAGGTTTTAGAAATTAGGATGTAGACTTCTTGGGGGAGGATATTATTCTACCTAATGTTCTCTCTGAAACTCCTGATTACGTGTATGCTAGACTGTCTCACAGCATCTTCTTTATTGCTTATCATCTTTTTAATTCTTAGTGTTTCCTCTAAACTGTCGTTCAGTTTACTAATTCTTCAGCCGTGTCTAAACTGCTATTAAACTCATCCACTGAATTCGTAATTTTGGCCATTTTTTCAGTTTTAGAATTTCTGTTTGGTCACCTTTTATTTTCTGATTCTCTCCTGATATTTTCAGTCTTGATTTTTATTTATTTGGCATGGTGTGTTATGGTCTGTGTCCGACAATTCCAATATCTGAAGTCTTTGTTGATGTTTCGATTGGCACTTTGAGCGCTCTTTTCCTTGTGTGGCTGTTTACTTTTTTAAAAAGTTTATTGAAATATAACATATTACATGAAAGATTGCATATAGTCAATGTTTGGCTTGCACGATTGTCACAAACTGAAGGAGACCGGAAACGAGGCATAAGCATTCCAGAAGCTTCCCTGTGCGCTCCTCCAGCCACCCCCTTCACCAGCCCTCCCCGCCGCCACAAGGCTGCCCACTGTCTTGACTTCCAAAAGCGTAGACGAGTTTTGCCTGCTATTTTACTTTATGTAAATGAAGTCGTACACCATCTACCTTTTTTTGGTATCTGGCTTTTCTTCCTCCAAGTTATGTTTACGTGATTCATTTATAACAGTCTTAGTTGTAGATTCATTCATCCTCATTGCTGTGTAGTATTCCACTGTGCATGGTTAGCTATGATTATATGTTGTATGTAGTATCTGAAAAATTATTATAGAAAAAATTTTGAGGCCTAGGGCGATGGTATCATCTTCTAGAAAGGACTGTTTCCCTCTTATCCCCGGGGATGGGAGAGTCTACTAGCAGGGGGCGACTTCAAAGTTTAAAGCTTGGACCAGCCAGATAGATGATGCAAAGCTGGACTGTGTTTGCTTCTACTGCTTCTTGCTTTTACTTCTCGTTTACCCTTCCTTTGAAAATATAGCTTTCTGGAGTCCCAGGTAAAGGGGGGATGTTATTAGAATCCCCATCTCTCAGGGGCCTGGGTTTTGACTGTTGCTCCCTGTCAAAACCTAGAAGGTTCACAAAAGAACAGCTCAGTGGTAGGGAGGGCCAAGTGGTCGGAGTGCTCCTACCAGCCGGCCTTGGGCAATGTCCCCACCTGTGTGGGCCGGCCTAGGGCTGAGGGAGAGCAGGACAGACCCTTTTGGGGTCAAGGGGGCTACCTGGCCGTATGTCTCCAGCCAAACCATGGCTCACCAGTTTGTTTTTCTGCATCTCATTCCAGCCTAATCCAGTGGTTTGAAACAGCACCCAGCCGGACCTGCCCACAGTGCCGAATCCAGGTGAGGGGAGTGGGGTGGGAACACCTCAGCTTCAGGCATCTTCTCCTTGCCAGGGAGCAGCATGAGGAAAGGTCTCTGAAGCTGATCCCTTTCTTTGACCCTTTTGGACCCTCGTGATTTGAGGCTGGTTGGACCTTACTTGTGCTTTCGAGCAGCTCGGACGCCTGCTTATGCCCACGGGTAGCTGGCAGATGCACACGCTCTGCCTGGGACATTCTCTACCTGGGCAGATTTGACCCCCTTCCCTGCCTTTCCCCACTTTCTTAAGGCCCAGTCCCTAGAGCTGGGGAGTCTTTTGAGTGGTCACCCTACGGGTCTGCGGAGGCATGGCTTTAGTAACAAACAACCAAGGGTGGCACTGGCTTGGAGCACCTACAGGGTTGCAGAGGCGGCCTGCCTGCAAGGAGGGCGGTGTGACAGGGCAGGCCTGGCTGTGGACTAGGCTGCACGTACACTCTGTCCTCCGCGCCCATGACCCTGCTACGCAGTCACACTCTCTTGCTCTCCCCTCCAGGTCGGCAAAAGAACCATTATCAATAAGCTCTTCTTCGACCTTGCCCAGGAGGAGGAGGGCGTCTTAGATGCCGAATTCTTAAAGGTACACAGAATTTACCTCATGTGGCTGAACCCCCAGCTCTCTGAGAGTTCTTTCTGCCCCACCCTGGGAGAGGACCTAGAGGAGGAGGTGGAGTTCCGGAGGGGGGAGACTTTGCAGAGAGTTCAAGGCAGAGGCAAGGAGAACAGAGAACAAGGGAAGATGAGACCGCCATTGGAGAAATGCACTGCGAGCTTTCCCTTTGGGACTTCAAAGCAATTTCAACCCAGGGTCAAAGTGGCTCCCTGGAGGGCCCCTCCCCTTGCTAAGGCTCTGCGACCACCCTCCCCAGCCCACTTTGCTGCTGGGACAGTTAGGGGCAGATTAGAAAACTCTCCCAGTCCTCAGCCAGGGGAGATGTGTGGACCCTTTGTTCACACACCTGGCTGTGTCTCAAAACTGCCCGGGGAGCTTGGCAATGCCAAGTGCCTGTGTCTTTCCCAGGCCAGGAATAGAGGGCAGAACCCCTGGAATCAAGATGTGCAGCCAGGGCAGAAGGCAACACTGCAGGCGAGGATGGGTGCGTTCCCTCCCACTCTCCCGCTGCTTTTCTTCCGTGTCTACGATGCAGCTTTCTTTGTGTGCAAGGGGGCTGGGTTGGCAGGAACCTCTTGAGGAGGTGGAACTGGGGTTCGCAAGTGAACCTGGACTCTGAGGGTTAATTTGCTGGGCATCTGTCAGATCAGGGCCCAGTTGGCCCTGGCTCCAGGGTGCCATGATGTCCCTGAAACCACACTGCTTCAGGAACATGGAGCTTTTGTGCTTAAAGCCAGCATGTTCATCGTCATGGTAACTGCTCCCAGTTTTAAGCCGTGTTCTCCCTGTGATACAGGCAACAAAGGCAGCTCCATTTCTTTTCGGCTTTCAAAGCCAGATCTGGGAGACAGGGAGGCAAGGGCTTGGAAGGCATCCTGCTTGCGTGTGGCAGGAGCCAGGGGCCCAGGGGTAGTTTTGCTTCTCCGGCAGCCCTTGCACCACCTTCTCAGCCTGCCAGTTCCACCTTGAGATGTTCAGCCTCCACCAACCAGCCCAGCCACCAAAAGCACCTGCCCCAGAGTCCTGAGTGGAGAGTTTGACCGCATGGGGCTTATCCACCTGCTGGGTCACATGTGAGGTTCTGAGTCTTGTGTTGACCTGGGAAGAGTGGTCTGGAGGAGTGATCTGGTGTCTGGATTCCGTCCAGCTACCATCACGGACCCTTGGTCAGGCCTTTTGCTTTGGCAGAACCTGGTTTTCCTGCTTATGGACGAGGCACCTCTCTTGCCCATGGGATGTTGAATCCTCTGACTCCTGAATGGGAGCGGGGCTCAGTCCTGCCCCAGCCTCTCCGTGGCTCTACAGCAGTGGCTCTGCAGTGCACACACAGGCTTCGGAGGCTCACAGTCTGGTTAGAACCTAGCACATGTTAGGTCTTGTCCAGAGGCTCAAAGCTGTCCCCTCTCCGGCCAAATTCGACTCCGGCTGGAAGGTCTGCGGGACACGGAGCCGGCTTCAAGCTTAGAAGAGAGGTTGACTGAGGCGCACAGGACCTCAGGGCGGAGGGAAGGAGTGGTGGCTAACTTTGTGCCCCACTGAGTGCAGCTGATGCCCAGAGAGGGTAAGGCCCAGCCCAGGGCCCAGGAAGCAGCGGAAGCCTCTGCCAGACTGAGCACACAGACCCAACGTCATGTCTCTTGTCTCTGTTCTGCCTCTTCCTCTGTCTTGTCCCTCAGATTATTTCCCTCATCTTACCGACTTCTTAAAAGGGCACACAGAGACACAGAGATGAAGCAAGGCTTATCTCTCCATAGTTGGTTTAGCTTGGCCTTGAGGTGCAGCTGAGAGCGGCAGGCTCCGTCCTCCCTCCCGGGGCTCCCCGCAGCTCAGGGGCAGCCGAGGGAGGCCCGGCTGTGGTGCTTGCTGCTGCTTATGGTGGGCATTGTCTTACAGAATGAACTGGATAACGTCAGAGCCCAGCTTTCCCAGAAAGGTGAGTTAGCAAGAGACAAGGGGCTTTGGGGAGCCTCTGACTCGGGAGGCGGCGGGAGAGGCCCCGGGGGGCAGGCCTCCGGCCTGCTGGTGAAGCCATGGCCTCACCCTGCTCTGCGCTCCCAACAGTCTTTCCAGCTCTTGTGACTGAAAAGGAGAAGAAAGAGGGGGTGACTGAAGCCATCCGCCTTGCCCAGGACTCAGGCTGGGAGGGGGCTACCTGATGCACCGGAGTGTGTGTAGGAGAGGCTTCGGCCGCAGAGTGTGGCAGGAACCTGCATGACTTCTGGGCTGATGCATTAATTAGACCCGTGGGAGCAGGGAGCCTTGGAGTCTTTACTCAGGTCGTCCCCAGCAGCAGACAGAGGGCTCCATCCCGTGAATGAAGAGACTCTAGCTTGGCTTTCCTGCTGCAGTGCGTGCCAGAGAGAGGAGCCTGCTGCCCAGCTTTCTGGCCTGGGACATGTTCTTCACCTGTCTCTGGGGTGGGGTGCTCGAGTCTGGAAGCCTTGGTTCTCGTGCTGACAGGTGGATGGGTCTGTCCGTATCCTCCCCCTCCCACAGAGAGAGAGAAACGGGACAGCCAGGCCATCATCGACACTCTGCGGGCCACGCTGGAAGAACGCAACGCCACTGTGGAGTCTCTGCAGAAGGCCTTAGATGAGTCCGAAATGCTGTGCTCCACCCTCAAGGTGGGTTCCGGGTCCTGTGGGCATAGCTGATGGGTGACGGAGCCCCGACCCTGGGCTCACCGCACCAGGCCCGCCTGGTTCTACCGCGGGCAGCACTTGGTGTGCGCAGTTGTCAAATGGAGGCAAATCCGTTCGTCCCCTGGCCTCCCCTACCGTGCCCATCCAGCTCATAAGAGAGGGCCACATTTCCACACTGAGAAATTCTGCCCTAAGTAGTTTGGAGAGGAGAGGGCTTCCCTGCTCCTCACGGAGGGGCTGCCTAGCCATGACCTTGGCGAGGCTGGGCCATCCTTCCGAAGTGGTTTGTACTCCACCGATGAAGCCAGCCTGAAGAAGCTGCCATCCGCACGCTAGTCCTGGTCGGCCTGCCCTCTGGAGCCAGATCAAACAGCACCCCAGGGAGGACCAGCGGCCTTTGAAGTTGGCTATGCTGAGCTGACCGGGCAGATCAAAGCCTGCCGAGGCAGCCGTTCTAGATCCAGAGGAATTTTGTATCAGCTGGGTTGGCGTGCCTCTTGTGCTCCAAGGAGCATGAGGTGATTGATCTGAGCCCACAATTGATATTCTGGCCTTGTAGCAGGGAGCAGTCGTTGCTGGATGCCATTTGAAAGGAGAGAGGCAGCAGCCTTGAGAACAGACAGGGCCCCGGGGTGTGCATTGTCTCTGTTCTTGCTTGGTGGCTGGTCTGAATCACGTGGCCTGGCCAGTGGAAGGGAAGGAGCAAACCAGCCCCTGGCTGCAGAGCAGGTGCCTCTGGTGGAGTTCCCAGAGACAGAGTGGTCTTGTGCTGAGGGCAGCCTGGCCACTGCCTCTGGTTCAGCTCTGCTGTCCTGGCCACTGTCCGTGAGTCTAGATGGTGGGTAGTGAGGCCTGGCTTTGTGCTTCGGGCTCCTTCAGCTTTCTGCACAACAAGCACTGTGAGGCCCAGCACAGGAGTGGGGCAGCCCCCAGGGGCCTGTGGGTGCTGGCAGGGGCTGTACCTGCGGTAAGACATGCCGCGGGCAGCAAGCAAGGAGGTAAGGAAGCTGCTGGCCTGGGGCTTCTTAGCAAAAGAAAATGTGAGCTAGAGAGGGGCCCGGGAGCCTCGCCTCGTGAGGGTGGGGGGACACGTGGTTATCAGCATTTTCAAAAGCAGAAAGGCTGAGGGTAGAGCCTTCCTGGTGACTTTAGCCATGGCCCCAGGGACTCCCCAAGCAACAGGTGTGGATGGGTGTGCTTGCTCTTCAGAAGCAGATGAAGTTCTTGGAGCAGCAGCAGGATGAGACCAAACAAGCACGGGAGGAGGCCCGCCGCCTCAGGAGCAAGATGCAGACCATGGAGCGGTGAGCTTGCAGCTGGCCGGCCCTGTGCCCGTCCTCCCTGGGCCCCCAGGTGGCACAGCTCAGAGGCTGCAGCGGGAGTTCAGTCGCCTCTGTGGCGGCTCTCATCTCCCTAGGCCACAGGGGGCTGCTCAGGCCAACTGGGTCTCTTTGCTCGGCCTCTATGGACTCTTCCCTGTCCCTGTTGCCTGTGGCCAGATGGTCTGGCAGGTCTTTTGCTCCAAGAACCTCTGACCTTGAGGACCTCTGTCAGACCCCTCCTCCCCAGCAGCATCTCTGCAGCTGTCCTCAGCTCTGCTGTGAGGCCTTTCTTTGGGCAGACCCGCCCGCTAAAGCATCCTAGCAGGCTAGGCTGTCACCATAGCAACAGTAACAAAGGGAGGCAGAGCTGCACGGGGTACCTACCCATCAGCCTCCAGATTTTAGATGCTGTGGGCTGGGTGTTTTTCAGGATTGAGCACCTACTCAAGAGCCAGCGGCCCGAAGTGGAGGAGATGATCCGAGACATGGGTGTGGGCCAGTCCGCGGTGGAGCAGCTGGCTGTGTACTGTGTGTCCCTCAAGAAGTGCGTACCCTGGCCCCTCGGGCCAAGCCCAGGAGCTGAGCCCTGGCACCCCAGCCGTGCCTCTCCATCGTGGCCCCTCTCTTGCAAGGCGGGGCAGATGGAGTCCAGGGGCAATGCCGCCTCCGCTTGAACGTGACCCTACCCTCACTGTGTGGCCAGGAGCCAGCTTTTTAGCCTCTGTGGCCCTCAGTTTACGGAATGGAGATAGTGATAACCAGCCTGGTAGGGTTACTGGGAGAACTGAGTGACGAGAAGCGTCATTTCTCAGGAGGCTGGCACAGCTCTGTGAGCTGCCAGCCCAGTCATGGTATCCGCAGCCGTTTCCCATTGGCATGGTTACTGACCCTGCCTGGCTTGCGTCAGAAACTTTGCTCAGATTCTCCAGTACTGTGGGTAGGAGGTCGAGGAAAGAACCACTTGGCTGACAGGCACTGAGGACCCCAGATGCCTCCTGTGGGGGCCAGGCAGTACGGGGGCCTCCCCAGTGAGGCCGGGGCTGCCTGCACAACCTCTCAAACTGCCGGCGCCTGCGGGACAGGCAGAGCATGGCTCCTCGAGCATCGGCGCGGGCCGTCCACAGTGCCGGGCTGCTGCGCTCAGGCGTCAGAGCGGGAGCGAGCAGGCGAGGGGCTGAGCTCGGCTTTGTGTTCGGCTTGACCTGACCAGCAGGTGTCTCGTTCTGACGTCTCTTTTTTGACCCCTGTGTAGAGAGTATGAGAATCTAAAAGAGGCACGGAAGGCCTCGGGGGAGCTAGCTGACAAGCTGAAGAAGGACTTGTTTTCTTCCAGAAGCAAGGTAACTTGGGAGCGGAGGGCAAAGCAGATGTGGCTGTTCTTTTTCCACGCTCACTCCTGTCTCCTGAGCAAGGCCGAGGGCCTGGCGGCACCTCTGGTTCCGTGGGGCTGCGGGATGACTCACGGAGACGGGTTCCTGGCCCTCACTGGCTCTGGCTCTGGCTCTGGCTATGTGGCTTGTCCATCTGGGGTGGCAGGTCATGCAGGTGCTCTCCTAACATGTGGCCGCCTCTGCTCTTCCTGGCTCCTGGGCACCTCTTAGCTGGCAGGAGGGCACAGGTCCCACACGTGACAGGTGCGGAGGCCTGTTTTTGTACCAGGCCTGGAACAGGGGGGCTGCTCTTAGAACCTGACTCAGTCGGCACCGCCGCCGCTTTTGTTTCTGGGCCTGGTGCGTCCATGGGCCGCAGGGTATAGGAAACAGCCCTCACTCCCGGGCAGCTCCAGAAGGACACTGCTGGACTACAGCCCAGCCCCCTAGAGCCGGGGTCTCCCTCGGGTGTCCCCATGCTCTTCTGGGCCCTGGTCTGCTGTGAGCACGCACCGGGTAGCAGCCGACGGGGCGGGGCACAAGGCCACCCCTTGGCCCATTCTTTACTCCCTACACTTTCCTGTAGCTGCAGACAGTCTACTTGGAGCTGGACCAGACCAAATTGGAGCTGAGGTCAGCCCAGAAGGATATACAGAGCGCTGACAAGGAAATCGCGGTGAGGGGCATCCCAGCCAAGGGGAATAATGAGGGATGGTTTGTGTGCCCCCGCCAGAGCAGAGCTGGGCCTGGAATCTGTGCACCAGTTGGCGGTGGTGGCTCTGGGCTCCATGCACCCTCCTGGGTCAAGGTGGGTCAGGACCTTGACCCTGGTCTGGAGCCTGGGAGGACAGCATCATGGGTCTTCCCACAGAGTCTGTGCTGTGCCTACAGACCCGAGATCACCAGAGGAAGGGCTCCGCCTCCAGAGCCTGGCGGTGGGGTTTCGGGCCTCGCTCTGCTCCCAGCGGCCTGGCCCTCCTGCACATTGTTCACGTCCTCGGCATTCGGTCTGCACTTGACGCCTCAGCCTTTCTTTCACACTTTTTTCTTTTCTTCCCCAAGAGCCTGAAAAAAAAGCTAACGATGCTGCAGGAAACCCTGAACCTGCCGCCAGTGGACAGTGAGACTGTGAACCGCCTGGTTTTAGAGAGGTTGGTCGGCCCTCTGGGGTGGCTCGGGGCCACAGGCTGGAAGGGCTCCTTGGGAAGGGTCTTCCCTCCCCTGGCTCTGGCAGGGCAGGTGGTCCCCCTGCCCTGGGAGACAGTGAAGGTTTAGCTGGAAAGCAGCTTTGAGGCAAGTTCTGGGCTCTGACAAGGGGAGGCCAGGGCGGCTGGAGAGGACCTAAGGATGGTCAGAGAAGGGGCAGGAGCGCGGGCTGCCTCCAGGCAGCCTGTTTATGGGGAGGCTCGCCAGACGCATCTGCCTGCCCCAGATTCTGAATCAAACAGGAAACCACTGACCGAAGAATCTCCCTCTGGTCCTGGGAATGTGTGCGTGGAAGCTGCCAGCAGAGGGAGCCAAGAGGAAGAGGGATGCGGGTCCCTGTCTGGAGCTGGCCCTCCCTGCCTGCTCCTGAGTGTCCCACCGCTAGTCCAGGTCCCCAGGGCCATCTCTCACCTGGCTGCCCAGCTGAGGGCCCAGACAGAGACCACACAGTGTGGAGACCCAGCCGACCTTTCACTTGAGCCGCTCCCAGTGTTCCTTGGAAGGCCATTCTGCTCCCCTTCCCCGCGTCCGGGCAGCTGCGGGAGCCTGCCCCGCCGACTCCTGGTGCCTCCTGCCCCTTTCCCTTGCCACCACCCGCCGTACAGCGTGTGGCCCATCCTCTCGCTTGTTCCCTGTGGGCCTGCTGTCCCGGCCATGCTCCCTCCCAGGATGTTGGGGGGGTCTGTGGGTACTGGTGGTGGCTGTCCGTTCCATTTGTCGCCGTAGGATTATCCTTCACTCCTGTCATTTTAGGGTGGCCCAGGAGGTAACTATCATCCCCAACCACAGAGGGGGTGTTGGGAAGACCACTCTCAAGGACCCCACAGGTCCCTGACCCCTAGGCTGAAAGGCGTTGGGGAGGCCTTTGCTTAGGGAAGGCCTGACAGGTGCTGTGAGTTCACAGAGGAGACATTGACTGTCCCCATGCCACACAGGTGATGGGTGTTCCCAGGGTCTTTGTTCTGTTTTGGAAAGGTGGGCTTTGAGTATCTTGCTCCTGAGGCCTCTGGCACAAAGCCCTGTACACAGGCCGTGGGTGAGTGCCCCAAAGGTGACACGTGTATATACTATGCATAGAGTTTTCCAAAATTACAACAAAGTGTATCAACATTTGAGTGTATACAGTTCACTGGTATTAAATACATTCCTAACACTGCTACCATCCTCACCATCCATCTCCAGAATTTTTTACTTTTGAAAAACTGAAATACCGTGCCCTTTAAACATTAACTCCCTAATGTCCCCTCTTCCCCCAGCTGCTGGCAACCAGCATCGCACTTTCTGTCTCTCTGATTTTGGCTATTCTAGACACCCCATATAAGTGAATCATATAGCATTTGTCTTTCTGTGACTGGCTTAATTCACTTAATGTCCCCCCAGTCAACCCACGTTGTAGCATACTGCAGAATTTCCTTTTTTTCAAAAAAGAAAAAGCTGAACAATATTCTGTTGTATGTATACACCACATTTTGCTGCTCTGTCCTTCGGTGGATGGACACTTGGGTTGCTTCCTTTTTTTGACCGCTGTAAACATGGGGGTGAAAAACGGTCTCTTCGAGATCCTGCTTCCAGTTCTTTGGGATGTATACCCAAAAGTGGAATGGCTGGATCATATGGCATCCTATTTTTAATTTTTTGTGGAACTGCCTTTCTGTTTTCCACAGTGGCTGTACCATTTCACATTCCTACCACAGTGCACAAGCGTTCCTGTAAGGATGTGGATCCTTACCAACACTTGTTATTTTCTGGGTTTTTTTTTTTTTTTTTTTTTTTGTTATTGTTGTTGTTTTTATAGTAACATCCTGACAGGTGTGAGGTAGTTTTGATTTTCATTTCCCTAATGATGAGTGATGTTGAGCATCTTATGGGCTCATTGACCATTTGTAAATCTTCTTGGGAGAAACATCTGTTTAAGACCTTTGCCCATTTTTGAATCAGGTTGTTTTCTCATTGTTGAGCTTTAGTTCTCTATACAATTTAACTTTTTATCAAAGATACGATTTGCAAATATTTTCTCCCATTCTTTGGCTTGCCTTCTTATTCTGTGATAGTATCTTTTGATGCAAAATTTTAAATTTTTTGTGAAGTATAATTTGTTTTGTCTTTTGTTGCCCATTATGTAGAGTTTCATGTTGCTTTTTAAACTCAATATATGTGCATTTTCCCATATTAATAAGTTTACTCTTTGAAAGCCCTACATTAAAAAAGAATTTTTTTTAATCTTCACCCAAAGATAGGTTTATTGATTTTAGAGAGAGAGAGAAACCTCCATGTGGTCCACCTGTTGCCTCCCATATGGGCCCCAACTGGGGACCAAACCCGTAACCTGGGTATGTGCTCTGATTGGGAATCTACCCCGTAGCCTTGGGTGCACCGGTCACTCTAACCGCCTGGGCCACCTGGCCAGCGCTGGAAACCCTGCTTTAATCTCTATCATATTCAGGCTATGAAAGTGCCCACCCCGAGGGGAGTCATTTTGACAGTTTCTAATATTGCGCCCTTTGCCATAAGTACTTGAGGGGACATCCATTTACACCACTCTGCGGTCACATTTTTAGCTCCTCGCACTGAATTTTGGGAGATGAGGCCTCTTGGTCAAGAAGGCGGCAGCAGCCTGTGTGCGTTGGGTTTTGTGTGGATTTTTGCTTGCTTCCTTTGACGTCCTCCGGACTTTCACTGGCCCCATGCCTGTGTGGAGGGCTAGCCAAGTGGTTTCCTCTGTAGAGACTGGGACCTCCTGGCAGGGTGGCCCTGAGCCAGGTGTGGGCTGCAGGCCCCTGGAGCTGGGCCGCGTCTGACACTTGAGGGGCCGCTGTCCCTGGGCTGCCACTGGGCTGAGTGACCAGTCTCTCCGTGCCTGTAGCCCAGCCCCTGTGGAGATGCTGAACCCGAAGCTTCGGCGACCAGCCTTCAGTGATGACATTGACCTCAATGCTACCTTCGATGTGGACACGCCCCCAGCCCAGCCCTCTGGCACTCAGCACGGCAATGCCAAGAAGCTCTGCCCGGAGAGGGCACAGTGAGTAACAGTCCCTGGCTGTGTCTACAGCCTGGAGGGAGGAAGGCTGAGAGATTGCTGCAGGCCCTGCCCTACCAGCTCCGAGCAGCTGCGGGGGTGGTGAGGGTCCCCTGGGCTTGACCATGGCTCTGGTTCCAGCCACCTCTCTTTTCCAAGTACTCGCTCTGTGCAAAGCCTTCCTCTTGCTTGTCTCATTGGCCTTCACCACCCCCTTCAGGCAAGGGTGTCGGGACGTGAATTGGAGAGAATACCGAGGTCCCAGTGAGGGCGCACATTGGCTAATGGTGTGGGAGGGGCTGCTAACATTTTGAATGTCTGCTCCCCGGAGTCTTGAGCCAGGGACTCTGCACCCCCTGCTCTGTGTGCCTCTCAGGCTCATGTGTCAGACAGGACCATCTCAAACCATGGAGCTTACCGGGTGGGTAGCGCACAGGGGCAGGTATGGGAGGCTGTGTGGAGCTGCACTGGGGTGGGTGGGACCCGCACTAGGGATGCAGTGGCACTGGGAGCGGGGAGGCTGTGTCCTTGGCCATGCAGGCCAAATGTAGTTCATCATGGAGACGAGAACTGCTCCCATACATACATGTGGTATGTGCTGCTCAGGTAAGGGAGGTCAAGGGCTGAGCAGGCTTCCTCTTCATCTAAGACTTTGGACATGCGAGAAAGGAATTGAGATGGTGGGCCCTGGAGACGGGACCCAGGGGGAGGGCAAAGAGGAAAGCCCGCTGGGCTCCCGCCCCTCCCCGACCTCGGGGGCGGAGGCCCCTGCGCCGGACGGCAACGAGCAGCACACCCAGGGCCTGCGGGCTGCAGTCGGGCCTTCTCGGGGCCTGTCCCACGCTCTGGCCTCCTTGGGGGCTCTTCTCTGTAGCTGTAAATTTGAAAGCGCATCCCTGGGGCCTACAAGGTGCCAGACCTTTTATAGAGACATTTGTACCATTGTTGGGGTCTACAGGGCACGTGCGGGAGCCTGGGATGCCCCCAGCTTGGATCAGCCTCCCCAGACTCAGACTTGCAGCCAATGGAGAGTCTTCTCATGGTCTTCATGTGGCCTCACCACAGGCTCTGGGGACAGGAGCAGAGGGTCCCGAGTCAGCAGGCATGATCCTGCCCCTGTCCCTGTGGCTTTGAGAAGCCACAGCGTCAGCCTTACGTTGCCATCCTTCCACCCACCTAGAAAACTCCCAGGAGAGAGGGTACCCAGCTGCGAGGGTCCCCAGGAATTGGACGGAAACACTATGTCCAGCTCTGGAGCTGAGAATGGGCAGGGCCTGGGGCCGAGGTCTGTTCCGGCCCAGACCTGCCTGCCCAGAATACCTGGATGACCTAGGGAGTTGGCCTAGCCCTGTGCTCCGAGAGCACTTTATGGGCTGTTGGCCTTACTGGGGGTCTTGTGGGGGTGGTAGCCCTCTCTGGGCAGACAGGACGAGGCCTGAGCTCCTGAGATGTGTCTGCCTATATGAGGCCATGGCTGGCTTTTCTCCTGTGGCTGGTGAATCAGGTGGGCTCTCCTGCCCCACACAGAGCCTGGGACATGGTGAGGTGCCTGAGGGTTTGGGGGGCACTGGAATCAGACTGTGCCTGCATGGAAGCCACAGGCTTCGGACATGGTCCGCCCCCGCTGCCTCCACACTCCGGCAGCTGTGGCTGCCTGGCAAGTCACGGGTCTGCGCTGCAGCGGGGATCCCTGGGGGCCTTGCCCGGGCACACAGCCACGGCAGCAGCCTTGCCACATGGTGGCTCTGCAAGGGGTGTGTGCCGAGCCTGACCACCCTGTCCCTGTGTCTCGCTCACCTGCCTCTTGTCTCTATATCTTGCAGCTCTCCCATTCAGGACGTTCTCAAGAAGATGCCCAAAGGCTGCAGGCAGGTAAGGTTCCGCAGAGGAAGCTCAGCCAGTTGCCATCCAGCCCTGGCTGGGGCTGAGTGGGAAGCTGGGCAAATGCGACTGCAGGGTCTGGCCAGCGCCCTCTCAGGCCTGGCCAGCACCAGTATTGGTGCTTCCTGCCTCCTGGTGAGGCCTCAGAGGTCCTGATCCTGTCCCACCGCCTCTGCCCATCCCTCCGTGCTGCCACCCAGCTCATTGAGTCTGGCGTGTCCCCTGCAGGAGGCTCAGCTCTCGCTGGGCGGCCAGCTCTGTGTGGGAGAGCCAGATGAGGAGCTGGCTGGCGCCTTCCCTCTCTTCATCCGGAACGCGGTCCTGGGCCGGAGGCAGCCCAAGCGAACCAGGCCAGAGCCCTTTCGCAACACGGACACAGTGAGTATGGCTTCCCACAAGTGGCACGTCCAGCCTCCTGGGCTAGTGCAGGGGACGATGGCCAGCCCCTCTCCCCTCCCCCTAGCTCATTAGCCTGGTCCACTCATCTCTTCCTTTTACTTTAGGTAAGGACAGGCTTCGACGGTCTTGGAGGCCGGACAAAATTCATCCAGCCTGTATCCTTGTTCTGGGGCATCGGGCTGAGCTGAACTATAGAGCCCACACCATCCCTCACCTGTTCCCTCAGACCCCAGCTTTTGCGGGTTCAGCCTCACGTGTGCGGAGCCAGGCCTCACTGAGTACAGCAGGGTGGCCCACCCCCAAGCCTCAGCCTTTCCTGTCCTGTGCCCCAGTCCCCTCTTTCAGCCTTTTCCTTGACATCTCCTTCAGACGGACACAACTACGATCCGCCCACTGCCTGTGAAGCCCAAGGCCAAGGCTAAGCAGAAAGTGGGGGCCAGGAAAGGGCTCCCTCCCTCCCAAGCCAAGCTGGACACTTTCCTGTGGTAGCGACAACAGTGCATCTGATCAAAGGCCACGTAGGTGCCTCCGGCTTGTAGTCCAAGACTGGCGCTGCCGGGGATTTGTGGGGCATGGCCCCTCTTCCAGGACCAGCCGCGAGGGCAGTGGTGGTCAAGAAGATGGGGCTGCGGGTAAGGCCCAGAGGATGTGCTTTTCTGTAGCATTCCCTGGCCCACCCCCACCATACTGGGCCTAGTGGCGGGAGCTGGGACCAGGTCACCGTTGCCGCCAGCAGGGCTTGCTCCGTGTTGTAGGCTCCCATTTATAGCCAGGACCAGATAGATGCTGGGCTGCTTCTGATCTTCCAGCCCAGGGTTGACTGTATGGGCCAAAGTGCTTGAGGCTTCCCCGGCAGCTTCCGCCTGCCCAAGCTTCCGCCTGCCTCTGGCGTCCTGCTAGGCATGGCCTGGGCCAAGCAGAATGGGGGGTGGGGGGTGGCGGCGGGGAGGGGATGGGGGTGAGATTTCTGTGTTGAAAATAAAAAAAAAGTTAGGCTCTTTTCTTTCTGGGTCTGGGAGTGTAAATTAGCACTTTGGAAAACTGTTTGGCATGACTTGCTAAAGCAGGACCGTCACCTAGATGCACACCCTTAGGCGTGTAGCCTCTCAGAGGGCACAGAGACTCTCAAGAAGGCAGTCACTGCAGCTTTGTCCACAGACTCTCACCGGGGCACAGCCCGGAGGCCATAGGCATCTGATAGATGCCCAGTGGTGACCTCAACCAGATTTAAAGAGACCATGCAGTATCCAGTGCCCTTTTTAGCCAGGAAGTCTTTGTTACAGCAGAGGTAGTAGAACAGAAACTGCAGGAACCATGCACAAGGAACATGTGTTTTGCAGTAACAGTTTGAAAAAGTCACAAGTGGACAGCTTCAGCCTTCAAGAAGCAAAATTTAGCCGTCCCTAAGGTGTGGGAGAATTCAGTCTGTAGAGTTATCATAACATACTACTCAGAAGCTAGCGCTCAACAAAAAAAATTACAAAGCATATAAATAAACAGGAGAGCATGGCTCATTCACAGGAAAAAGAATTTCATAGAAACTCACTGACAAATTTTGGAACTGAAAAGTATAATAACTGAGATGAAAGATTTATTATTGCTTGAGTCACAAGTCAATTGCTTTCTTATATATCATTAGTGAACAATTGAAATTAAGAACACTATCATTTACATTAGTACCAAGAAGAAGAAGGAGAAGGAAAAAAAATATTTAGGTATAAATCTAACAAAATATATACAAGGTCTTTGTGTGGAAGATATTAAAACTTAGATGAAATTTTTAAAAGATTTAAAAAAATAGAGATACATTCCAAGTACATGGATAGGAGGACACAATATTGTCAAGATGTCAGTTCTTCCCAACTTAATTACAGAATCGATAAAATTCCAATAAAAATCTCAGCAAGTTTTTTTGTTACCAACAAACTGATTCAAAAGTTTATATGGAAAAGCAAAAGACTAATAGCCAACACAGTACTAAAGAACCAAGTTAAGGACTGACACTTCCCAACTTCAAGATTTATTATAAAGCTGCAGTAATCAAGACAGTGTAGCCCTGGCTGGTGTGGGTCAGTGGATTGAGTGCTGGCCTGTGAACCAAAGGTTTGGCAGTTCAGATTCCCAGTCTATGCCACATGCCTGGGTTGAGGTCCAGGTCCTCACTAGGGGGCGTGCAAGAGGCAACCACACATTGCTGTTTCTCCCTCTCTAAAAATAAATAAAAACCTTTAAGAAAAAAATAAAAAGACGGTATAGTATTGTCAAATGAACAGAAAAATAGAGCAATGGAACAGAATAGAGAGCCCCAGAAATAGACCCAGCTGATCTTTGACAAAGGAGCAAAGGCAATTCAATGGGGAAAGGGTAATATTTTCAACAATGGTGCTGAAACAACTGGACATCCACAAGCAAGAAAAAAAAAAATCTATAGACAGTTCTTACACCGTAGAAATTAACTCAAAATGGATCGTAGAATCAACTGTAAAACACTAAACAATAAAACTAGAATATTAACAGTAACAGGAGAAAATCTAGGTGACTTTGTGTTTGGTGATGACTTTTTAAACATAACACTAAATGCTTAATTCATGAAAGAAAAATTTATATAATTTGGACTTCATTAAAATTTAAAATTTATGGCCGTGGCCACGTGGCTCGGTTAGAGCATCATCCCAATATACTGGGGTTGAGGGTTTGATCCCCAGTCAGGGCACATACAAGAATTAACTTGGTGAATACATGAATAGGTGGAACAACAGATTGATGTTTCTCTCTCTCTCAAAAATAAAACTTCTGCTCTGTGAAAGATGTTAAGAGAATAAAGAGACAAGCCACAGATTATGAGAAAAACTTTGCAAAAGCATCTGATAAAGGACTGGTATCCAAAATATAGAAACAACTCTTACAACTTAACAAGAAACAGCTCAGTTTAAAAATGGGTGAAAGTCCAAACACACACCTCACTAAAGGAAACATACAGATGGCAAATAAACATGAAAAAACAACATCATGTAATCAGAGGAGCACAAATTAAAACAAGGAGATACGACTACACACCTGTTAGAGTGGCCAAAATCCAAAACACTAACACCGCCAAATGCTGGTGAGGATGTGGAGCAACAGGAACTTTCATTCATTGCTGTTGGAAATGCTAAATGGTACACTTTGGCAGCTTCTCATCAAGCTAAACATAACCCAGCAATCATGCTCCTAGGTATTTACCCAGCTGAATTAAAAACACATGGTCACACAAAACTCTGCACACAAACACTTGTAGCAGTTTTATTCGTAATTGCCAAAAAAAAAAAAAAAAAAAATTGGAAGCAGCCAAGATGTCTTTTAAATGGGGGAAACTATATGTGGGGTGTGAGAGGGTATGTGGAAACTCTGTCCACATGGCTCCCTGACATGGGACTGTGGGAAGGAGCAGTTATAAGAAAAGTAGGAATTCACCAACACTTACTGAAATTTACCTGTCCCTTCATCCATTTCTCCCCAGATGCTGACAGTGTTCCACCAGACTTCAAATTTCCAAAACAGTTGCTTCAGACAGTCATGGCCAGCTCAGTTGTTTCAATGGAGGGGCAAATTGTTTGAGTTTTCTACACTGCCATCTTCCCTGACAGGACTCTTAAATGACGAACTTAAACAATCAGTGGTTCAGGCTTGCCCAGTGTGGCTCAGTTGGTTGGGTGTTGTTCCACAAAGCGAAGCGTCGCTGGTTTGACTCCCAGGCAGGGCGCATGCCTGGGCTGCAGGTCCTGTCCAATCCCTGGTCGGGGGCAAGTGTGCGAAGCAGCCGGTCAATGTTTCTTTCACATTGATGTTTCTGTCCCCGTCTTTCTCCCTTTTTTCCCCTCTCTAAAAATAAATAAAATCTTTAAAAAAAAAAAACCCACAATCAATGGAGCTAAGAAATCACAGAGAAATTAGAAAATACCTTGAGATAATTAAAAATGAAAACAACATATCAAAATTTATGGTTTGCAGCAAAAATTGTACTGAGAGGGAAATTCATAAACACATGTAAAAAAATATCTAAAACTAATAATCTCACTGTACATGTTTTATTTTTAAAATTGTTTTAATTTATTGATTCTAGAGAGAGGCAGGAAGTGTGGGGGGAGGAGATTTGTTGTTCCACTTATTTATGCGTTCTTTGGTTGGTTCTCATAAGTGCCCTGACTGGGGATAGACCCTGGAACCTTGGCATATCAGGATGATGCTCTAACCAACTGAGCTACTGGCCAGCACCTCACTGTATACCTTAAGGAACTAGAAAAATAAGAGCAAACTAAACCCAAGGCTAGCAGAATGAAGGAAGTAATAAAGATTAGATATAAGTTACGTAGAAAGACGTGATATTGTGAGTTATATATAATAAGTATATACAGTATTTGGTCTTTGTCCTGGCACAGAGCTCCCAAAACCCTTGGACTTTCCTGAGCTGAAGCCGAGAAAGGTCTTCTGTTGTGCTGAGGTGACTTTTGGGAAGCACCTATGGATGGACCAGTGGAGCCAACCCTGTGATTAGGAAGATGGAACTTTCAGCCTCACAGCGCCCCACCCCCCACACCTCCTGGCAGGGACGAGGAGCTGGAGCTGGAGTTCAATCACACCGGTGGCCAATGACTTAACCAATCACACCTGTGCAATGAAGCCTTCATCATAACCCAGGGGACGTGGCTTGGAGAGTGTCCAGTTTATCGGACACATGGAGGCGCTGGGAGAGTGGCGCGCCAGAGAGAGCATGCCCTCCCCTCGCCCTTGTCATCTACCTCTTGCACGTGGCCATTCCTGCGTCATGTCCTCGCACAATAAACTGGTAATCTAGTCAGCAAACGGCTTTCCTGAGTTCTGCGAGCTGATGAATTGAACCTGAGGAGGGGGTAATGGGAGCTTCTAATGTATAGCCAGGCAGTCAATAGCACAGGTGACCACCTGGACTTGTGGTTGACACCTGAAGTTGGAGGAGGGGGACAGTGTTGTAAGACAGAGTCCCTAACCTGTAGAACCTGATGCTGTCTCCAGGGAGGTGGTGTCAGAATTCACCTGAATGGTAGGACACCCAGCTGGCATTGAATGGCCTGATGGTGTGGAAGAAATACACGTGTTAAAACTGGTGTCCGAATCCTAAAAGACAATAGAGAAAGTCAAGAAAACCCAAAGGTGGTTCTTTGAAAACATCAACAAAATTGACAACCTTTTAAATAAATTGACTAAGAAAAAGAGAATACTCAAAGGATCAAAATCAGGAAAGAAAAATGGGGACATTTCTACCAATTTTACAGAAGTAAAAAGAATTATAAGGGAATATGATGACCAGTTGTACACCAACACTTTGAATAACCTCATTGCAAGGGACAAATTTCTAGAAACACAGACACTGGCAAAACTGACTCAAGAAGAAATACAAAATCTAGATAGATTTATAACTAGTAAAGGGATTAAATAAGTATTCAATGAACTCCCCTGAAAGAAAAGCCTGGAGCCAGCTTCCCTGGTGATTCTTCTAAAACCAAATGCAGATCCGGCTGCCCGCGGCGGCGAAAGCCAGCCCTGGAGTGGCAGGTGCTGACGGAAAGGAGCTGGGGTTTATTCAGATGCCGGCCACCTGGACGATGGGGGCTCACGTCTCAGAGCCCGTCTCCCCCCTCAGGGGCGGCAGAGGCTTTTATAAAGAGGAAGAGGGGGACAGACAGAGGTCAAGGGAGGGCCTGCAGACTTTACGTGCACAGGGGCACGGTCCCTTCCCACATGGCAAGTGCGGATGGTCCGGGGTCGGTCATCCCGCTTCACGTCGTCCCGGCTCCGCCGCTGAAGGTCGGCAAACCTCCCGGAGTTGGGGCGGCTGAAGGTCAGCGCCGGTATCTTTTGAAGTTAGTTCGTAGGAGTCTTACGCAAACACACTTCATCTACAGGCTACGTATTAGGCAGAGTCAGCGCTCACAGAAACAAGGGCAAAAGAATGGCGGGGCAGGTTACCATTCCCACTGCTAGAATTTTCGACTGTTAACACTACCAAACATTTAAAAAAGTGCTAACACCCAAAAGACAAGATCCACATTGTGAAAGGGCAGCCCACAGAATGGGATGAAGTATTTGCGAATCATATATCTGATAAGGGATAATATCCAGAACATATAGAGAACTTCCAAAGTTCAACAACACAAAACCAATCCAATTCAAAAATGAAGGGATATCTCTCCAAAAAATGTGGCCAATAAACACATAAATTTCATCCAAAAGGCCAATAAGCATATAAAAAGATGCTCAGTATCACTAATCATTAGGGAAATGCACAATCAAAACTACCATGAGAGCCCACCACATACCCATTAAGATGGCTACTATAAAAACAAAACAAAACAAAACAGAAAAGTGTTAGAAAGGATTTTGACTCATTGGAACCCTTGTGCACTATCAGTGGGAATGTACAATGCTGTGGAAAACAGTTGGGCAGTTCTTAAAAAAAAAATTAGAAGTAGAATTCTATATCTAGCCATTTCACTTCTGGGTGTATATCCAAAAGATTGGAAGCAGGATCTCAAAAAGATTTGTATACCCATGTTCATAGCATCATTATTCACAATAGCCAAAACACAGAAGCAACCCAGTCTCCATCAACAGATGAACGGATAAGCAAAAGACATAGACAATGGAATATTACTTGGCCTTACAAAAGGAAGGACTTTTTGTAATATGCTACAACATGAGTGGACCTTGAGAACATTTGCCAAGTGAAATAGCTAGTCACAAAAAGACAATCTGGCTCTGGCTTCTGTACTTAGTTCATGTGATACATCCAATACATGTTTATTGAATGAAAACACACACAGAAAATCACCTACCACTTTCCATCCACTAGGATGGGTATAACTTTTAAAAAAAAGGAAAAGTGAATGTTGGCCACAATGTTGAAAAACAGGAATTTTGTACACAGCTGGTATGACATATTTTGTTGGTCCCTCAAAAAATTAAACATAGAATTACCACCTGACCCAGCAATTTTACTCCTATGTACATACTCCAAAAAATTGAAAACAGGAACTCAAGTACACGTTCAAGCATAAGCATAGCTGTGCTCACTATTCTTAATATCCAAAAGGTTATTGTTGAGCTGTTGAGAAACAATTCAAAAGTCCATCAATAGGAGCCTGGATAAACATATTGTGACGTATGCATACAATGGAATATTATTCAGCCCCAAAAAGGAATGAAATACTGATACATACTACAATTTGAATGAACCTCAAAAACATTATGTTAAGTGAAAAAAAGCAGATGCCAAAGGTCACATTTTGTATGATTCCTTTATTCAAAAAAAGATTTTATTTATTTTTTTAGAGAGAGAGGATGGGAGAGAGAAAAACATCTACGTTGGATCAGTTGCCTCTTGCACGCCACAAGCTGGGGACCTGGCCTGTGATCCAGGCAAGTGCTCGACCGGAATCAAGCTAGCGACCTTTTGGTTCACAGGCCGGTGTTCAACCCACCGAGCTACACCAGCCCGGGTGGTATGATTGCTTTTATATGAAGTATCCAGAATAGGCAAATCTCCAGAGACAAAAGGAATATCAGTGTCTGCCAGGAGGCTGGGGTGGGGGTGAGGAGCGGTGAGTCACTGTGGTGGGGGTGTTCTTCAGTGGGTTGTAAAAAAGCTTCGGGAGGTGTGGTGCTGGCCTTGGGAAAAGGCTGAATTCCACTGAATTGTACACTTTGAACGGTTATTTTCATGTCATATGAATTTTACCTCAATTTTTAAGAGAATTTATGACAGCACGTGGCTTGGCTGTTGTGAAGTTTTGTGGGAGCTGTGGTCTGTCCTTCAGAGAACTGGCCCCATGTTCCTAAGGAGGCAAAACAGCACATTCGTGGGTGAAAGTTATGCAGGACCTCTCTGTACTGTCTTTGCAATTTCCTTTGAGTCCATAATTATTTCAAAATAAAAGTTTAAAGGAAAAATAAGGACCCATGACCATGGCTGCCCCATGCCTCCCACGTTCAGGTCTGGCACCCAGAGGCTGACCGCCCTCCTGGAGCCCTGGGTCCGACGCCGCTGGCCGCCTGCGGCTGCCATCCTGCTGTCTGTCCTGGGCGGGAAGCTGTGCTAGGGTGGCGGGAGCTCAGGGCCAGGCAGCACTCCCACAGAGAGCAGGCTCCGCCCAGATCTGAGGTGTGGACTCTGGGGGAGGGACCACGTCGCCTCCCAAGCTTCAACAGCCTCTGGGCCAGAACTGCCCGACCTCTAGGGTCTCTAAGTGTCCGTGTGGTGGATGATAGGCCTGGCGAGTCCTCAGGACAGGGAATACCCACCAGCATTCTGTGCGCAGGAGGCCCATTCAGGCAGGGGCAACCGAAGAGCACAGGAGACCTGAGGTTTGGGACATCTAGGAAGCCATGGGGAGTGACTGCATCCAGCCCCTATTGGGCCCTCCCACGGCCTGGCCCCTTCCGGCTCTCCCAGAGGCCCAACACACCCCACGTCTGTCCCACTGTGCCTGCGCCCTAGAGCTGCCAACTCACCTTCTTTGCCAGGCTAGCCTATTCAGTGCCAGCTGGGGGCAGGTCCAGGAATGAGGTTAGAATCCAGTTTCACTTTCATTTTTGTTTTCCTTGAATGACAGAGGAGCCAAGAAGAAAACTGCAACCACAGCGTCTCTCACCTCCTTAGCCCCAGTGCCTGCTTGCACTGAGCCCCAGCTGGGCACTGGACTCTGCCGCACCGCCTCCCCCAGGCACCCTCTCTGCAAGCACGGCAGCCTGTTGTCCAGCCCCAGGCCTCCGGATGGGCGTCCTGGATGCCTCCAAGTCGCTGGATGAGGAGCTGTACTCCCGGCAGCTGTGAGGCCGGAGGTGGGACGGGGTGTGGGGTGGCCCTCCGACCTCTGGTCTCCCAGTGCCTGCCCCTTACTTTCCATCCACAGGTATGTGCTGGGCTTGCCGGCCATGCAGAGGCTGCGGGAGGGCCGGATCCTGCTCTCAGGCCTTCAGGGCCTGGGGGCTGAGGTGGCCAAGAACCTGGTCCTGATGGGCGTGGGCAGCCTCACTCTGCATGACCCCCACCCCACCGGCTGGTCTGACCTAGCAGCCCAGGTAAGGGCCCTGGGAGGCTGCAGATTCACAGACCAGGGTGGGGGCAGGGCCCAAGAGGTGCCTCCTTGCTCAGGCTAGACTGGGTCTCTCTCCAGTTTTTCCTCTCGGAGCACAACTTGGGAAGGAGCAGGGCTGAGGCAGCTCAGGAACTTGTGGCTGAGCTCAACAGAGCTGTCCAGGTCCGCGTCCACACAGGCGACATCACGGAGGACCTGCTGCAGGACTTCCAGGTTCCCTCCCAGCCCCACTTCCCCTCTGGCCCAGTCCCCTCCTCCAGCCCTTGGCCAAGGGTAGGCGGGGCGGTGGCTGTGGCTCTGCTGACCCTGCAGTCCCCCCCAGGTGGTGGTGCTGACCGCCTCGAGCCTGGAGGAACAGCTGGAGGTGGGCAGCTTATGCCGCAAGCACGGAGTCTGCTTTCTGGTGGCTGACACCCGGGGCCTGGTGGGGTGAGTGAGGCTGCCATCTCACAGACAGAGACTGGTTCCAGAGCCGTCCCTAGTTCTGGGCTTGCTCAAGCACCCCGCACGCAGCCCCAGGCCCACCTCAGCACCCCCTTCTGAGTCCCGTCTCCGGTCCTGCCCCTCTGCTTCCTCCACTGCAGCCTCCAGACTGAGGGGCTCCAACCCCAACCCCAGCTCCCAAGCCCCTCCCGTTGCTTCTTCCTGACTCAGGCCCCCTTGGGTCTCCCACCCTCGGCCACTGAGCCCCTGCCACCCAACCCCAGGCAGCTGTTCTGTGACTTTGGTGAGGAGTTCGCTGTTCAGGACCTGACAGAGGAAGAACCCCTGACAGCTGCCGTCCAGCACATCTCCCAGGTGGGCGCTTCGGTGTGGGTGGAGCACGGGCCGCCGGAGCCTGCGGTGGGCAGGTGCGGGCCGCTCTGAGCCAAGCTCCCTTGTGTCCAGGGCTCCCCTGGCATTGTCACTCTGCGAGAAGACGCCCACAGCTTCCGTGATGGGGATTTGGTGACTTTCTCCGGCATCGAGGGCATGGCCGAGCTCAATGGCTGCGCTCCCAGGCCCATCTGCGCGCGGGGTGAGCCAGCCCTGCTCTAACCCCAGGCTCACGCCCAGGCCCTGACTGGGGACAGAGGCAGCCTGGGCCTTGGGGATTGGTTCTCCCTCTGCCTCCCTCGGGACAGGGCGACATCAAGGACACAGGCGCAAGAGAGGACGGGGTGTGGGGAATCGCTCGGGTTCAGAGGTCACACTAACTAGGCTGGATCGCCCCCAGAGGACGGGACCTTGGAGATTGGGGACACAACAGGTTTCTCCCCTTACTTGCGTGGTGGAGCTGTCACTGAGGTCAAGAGACCTACAACAGTGAGGCATGTGAGTGCAAGGCAGGGGAGCTTTGGAGCCTTGAGGGGGCCCCGGTGTTCTCGGTCGGCCCCTGAGCCTGGTGCCCCCGTAGGAGCCCCTGTGTGCAGCCCTGCTCCAGCCCCGCGTGGTGGCCCAGAGTCCCCAGGATGTTCGCCGTGCCCGCTGCCTGCATCAGGCCTTCCGTGCTCTGCACGAGTTCCAGCGCCTCAGTGGCCGCCCACCCCAGCCCTGGGACCCTGTGAGTAGCCGGTTCCGTTGCCCCTCCCCCTGCCCCCAGCTGCTGGGAGGCAACAAGGATCCTCTCACAGATCCAAGTTTGAACCCCAGAGGGGTTTTCCCACTCCCATAAAGGAGAGCTGGGGCCCGGAGACCTCCTAACCCCTCAGAGCCGGGCGGGGGGCTGCGCCCACATTGGGGAAGCCTCTGGGGCCTTGTCTGGCACTGGGTATCCTCTGGTGGGGCTGCACCGCCTGCCAACTGGGCCCCTGTCTGCCTTCCCACTCAGGCTTCTGCTCCCTTTTCTGTGGAGCAGGGTGGGGGGCTGTCTGAGGGGTTTGAGTGGGGAGTGGAGCTCGGGCCGGGCACTGTGCCTATGGGGCTCTACCCTGCAGGCTGATGCAGAAAGGGTGGTGGGCCTGGCCCGGGCTCTGAAGCCACTGAGGGGGACAAATGGAGAGCCTTTGGAAGAGCCACTGGATGAAGCTCTCGTGCGGACCGTCGCCCTGAGCAGTGCCGGCGTGTTGAGCCCCATGGCAGCCATACTGGGTGCGGTGGCCGCCCAGGAAGTGCTGAAGGTGGGTGCAGGCGACAGGCCGGGTGGGGTTGGGGGCATGCAGAGGTCACCGTCGGTGCCAGAGGGTGCCCAACACCAGAGAGTGGCCCTGGAGGCTTCACCGACCTGGGCGCAGCCCCCAGCCCGGCTCTGAGGGGTCAGGAGGTGGCAGGAGCCCCTAAAGCACGGGCCTCTAGGCAGCCTCCAGGAAGTTCCTGCCCCTGGACCAGTGGCTGTATTTGGATGCCCTCGATTGCCTCCCAGATGACGAGGAGCTTCTTCCCAAGCCTGAGGACTGCAAATCGGTGAGAAGCTGGGAGGGGCGGGGGTGCACGCCTTCTCCAAACTCAGGACAAGGGCAGAAGCAGGAGGAACGGTCCCAAGGTCCTGACCTGGAAAATGCAGTGTAAGAGGGAGACACGGCACAGGCCAGCAGCCATCACTGACCTGTGCCTGTGTCCCCTAGAGATGCTGCCGCTATGACGGGCAAATTGCGGTGTTTGGGGCTGATTTTCAGGAGAAGCTGAGCCGCCAGCACTACCTCCTGGTGAGCAGCGTGGCGAGGTTAGGAGCATTTGTGGGAGAGCTGCCCAGTCCTCTGGCTTAAGCTGTTCCTGCCGACAGGTGGGTGCTGGCGCTATCGGCTGCGAGCTGCTCAAAGGCTTTGCGCTCATGGGTCTGGGGCTCCGGTGCAAAGGGAGCGTGGCTGTGGCCGACATGGACCATGTCGCACGCTCCAACCTCAGCCGTCAGTTCCTCTTCAGGCCCCAGGACATTGGTGTGAGTGCCTACTCCTTCCAACACCCCCTTCCTGGACTGTCCTCCCTCATTGCCCCCGCCCCCGACCCAGCGCCTTCCTGCTTTCTTCAGAGGCCCAAGGCAGAGGTGGCTGCGGAGGCCGCCCGCCGCTTGAACTCAGACCTGCAGGTGACCCCGCTCACCAGCCCTCTGGATTCCTCTACAGAGGACATCTATGGGGACAACTTCTTCTCCCGTGTGGACGGTGTGGCTGCTGCCTTGGACAGTTTTAAGGCCCGTGAGTGCTCGACCTGGGACCCCACCCCTTGCCCAAGGCCCTGCCAGCCCCACCCCTGAGCCTCTGCCCCCGTGCCAGGGCACTACGTGGCTGCTCGCTGCACCCGCTATCTGAAACCACTGCTGGAGGCAGGCACGCAGGGCACCCGGGGCAGCGCCTCAGTGTTCGTGCCGCACGTGACTGAGGGCTACAGAGGCCCCACCTCGGAGGCCGCAGCTGCTGAGGATGCCGTCCATCCTGTCTGCAGCATGCGGCACTTCCCCAGCACAGCTGAGCACACCTTGCAGGTGGGAAGCTTCCCCCCCCCCCCCCGCCCCCGAGATCCCTGTCCCATACGGCTCAGTTCTCAGCAGCAGACCTGTTCCCCGTCTGATGCCTTATGGCTCCTTTCTCCCTGACAGTGGGCCCGGGATGAGTTTGAGGGGCTCTTCCGTCAGTCCGCCGAGATCATCAACTGCCACCAACAGTAAGGCCACTGACAGGGGTGGATGTGAGGCCAGACCCCCGAGCAGCAGAGTCTTCAGGGCTTAGCCTCAAACTCCCTCCCCTCTCTGCAGGGAGCTTACTTCTCTGGCAGACAGGGAACCGCAGCAGCTGCTCCTGCTATGGGCGGCCGTGGGAGTCCTGAATCAGCGTCCGCAGACCTGGCAAGACTGTGTGGAGTGGGCCTTCGGCCACTGGAAGCTGTGCTTCCGTTACAGCATCGAGCAGCTGCTCAGACACCACCCACCCGATGAGGTGCGTGGCTAGGGGTGTGGAGGCTAAGGGCTCAGAGGGACCAGACTAAGTCCAGCAGCCTTCATTTCCTTAGGTGCTTGAGGATGGAACATGCTTCTGGTCGCGTCCCAGACAATGTCCTCAGCCCCTGGAGTTTGACGCCAGTCAAGTGAGTGAGGTCCCTTGGGATCCCAGAGGTGGCCGCATGGCACCTGAGAGCAAAAGTGGGCACCTCTGCATCCCGCACAAATGCTGAGAGGCCGGCACGTTTGGGCACGCGGGAGTGTGAGGCAAAGGCAGGCACACAAACGCACCCACCGATGGGCGGCGCCCACACCCCGCACACCCATGCATGCTCACTCACCTGAGCCTCGGCCCTGCCCTTGGTCTGACTCAGGACACGCACCTCCTCTACGTGCTGGCAGCGGCGAACCTGTACGCCCGGATGCACGGGCTGCCTGGCTCCCGGGACCAGCCTGCGCTCAGGGAAATGCTGCAGTTGCTGACACTGCCTGATCCCCAGCAGCTGGACCCCATTGCTCCTAGAGACCTGGCTTCCACTGAGCTGGGTAAGGCCCCTGGCCCACCCCCATGCTACCACCCAAAAGTCTGGCCCTGCCTTCAGCCTGTGTCGAAGGAAGAGGGGGCCTGGGGGCCCTGCAGCCAACTCCGTGCCTCTCAGGCCCTCTGACCTTGCTTCTCTCCCGTCCTCTGGCCCCTCAGTGGGCCCTCTCCCTGCTGCCTACCCGACCCCCACCCCAATCCCCACTCCCTTGGCAGGTGTTGAGCAAAACAAGCACAAACCATTGGGCCCTGGGGAGCACTTATCTATGGCCCACAGGAGAGGACAGAGTCATATAGCACACGTACATGCATGCAGGCAGACATATGCATGCACAGACACACACATAAACGCAGCGGGGGGCGGGGGCTGGGCTGGAGCTGCTGAGCAGGACACAGTAACATCAATCAGAGGTCTTCCTGAAAGTGGTAGAGAACTTGCCCTTGGCAGAGACCAAGAAGAGGCCCCAGGTTCCAGGAAAGTCCAGGAGGCGGGGCCTAAGGACTGTCCCCATACCCGCTTCCCTGACAGACCCTGGGCAGATGGAGAGACTGTGTGAAGCCTTGCAAGACTGGAGGGTGGGCTCCCCACTGGAGCCCCTGAGGTTTGAGAAGGTGGGAGCCCAAATGGAGCTGAAGGGCCAGGACGGGGAGATTGTTGGAGAAGGTCAAGAGCTAAACAGATAGCTTTGGAGCCCATTGGCCTGAGTTCTCCTTTCAGCAGGTCCAGAAGGAGCTCACCTTCCCTTATCTGATCAGTAGCGACATGTGAGCAGGATTGTGGGAAAATCTGCACACATGGGTGGCCACGGTGAGGGGCGCGGGGCAGTGTTAACCTGCTGGGACTTGAACCTCATAGGATGATGACAGCAACTTCCACATGGACTTTGTGACTACGGCAGCAAGCCTTCGAGCTCAGAACTATGGGATCCCACCGGCCAATCGCATCCAGGTAAAGCTGCCTCTTAGGACTCCAGCTTGGAAGTGGGGGTCAAGCCCTAGCCCTACACCCTGGTCCCACACCCAATCTCCCGTCCTTGGCAGAGCAAGCGAATTGTGGGCCAGCTCATCCCAGCCATCGCCACCACCACAGCGGCCGTGGCAGGCCTGGTGGGCCTGGAGCTGTATAAGGTGGTGGGCGGGCCACGGCCCCTCGGCGCCTTTCGCCACAGCTATCTGCACCTGGCTGAGAACTACTTCAGCCGCTACGTGCCCCGAGCCCCAGTCACCCAGCAGGTGAGCCCTGGCAGCCCGCCCATACCCAGCCTGGGTTTTTCCTGCGCCTTCCCAAACAGGTCCTACTCTGGCCTCTGGCTTGCAGCGAGACCCAGATTCTAGGGGGCGGGGGGTCCTAAAGACTCCCTTCAGCCCCCTTCCTGCAGCTGTGAAGCCAGGCTGGGACCTGTCAGACACAGGAAGCAGCCATCAGCCACCCCTATCGCCCAGCCCTCTGCTGCCCTGGGTCTGGGGGAGCTGCAGCTTTAACTCATTAGTGAGCCAGACATCCCCCACGGCCTCCTCCTTCCCAGGATCGCCCCTGAGGAGGGGCTGAAGGGGAGTAGGGCTAGGGCCCTAGCCCCAAACAGAGTCTAACATAGCCTGCCTGTGCGGCATGGGACCGGGCCTCCCCCATGCAAACTGAATGAAAGGGCACCGAGCTCCCTGTTGCCACGGAGGTGGGGTCTGCCGCTCTGTGGGGATGTGTGTGTTTGTATCACAGGTGTGCGTGTGCCGGGGCCGGGGCATCCTTGGCCACCCCTGGCTCTGTGTTGTGTGGGCATGGAGGGGGCATGCTTGCACATCTGGGCTCCAGATGGGAGCATAGGGCTCTTCTTTGGTGTGGGTTCTCAAGCGTGTGCATGTGAGCACACGTGTGGGTGTTCCTAGGCTCGTGTGCATGTGTTCCTTTGAGCGCAGGGCTGTGCACGGCCCTGGCAAGGTGCCCAGGCTCTGCAGTCCTTAGCATTTCCTTGAGGCACAGAAGAAGGGGTGGAAAGAATGTTCTCACCAGGGAGGAGGGAGAGGTCATGGGCTAACACTGGGCTTTTGCTGAGTGGCCCGGGGGTCCGAGGCCACAACACACAGAGCCCCTTTGTGAGGGGCCCCACCTCCTGTTAGCACATAGGCTGTCTTTGTCCGTGGTGGAGGAGGCGGGGAGAGGATCCCCCTCCCTCCCCCATCTCACCTCTGATCTTGTCTCAGCTTGACCCCACTCTATTTCCTAGGAGGATTGGCAGGGCCTCATGTCCTGGTCCCTGGCTGCGTGCCACCCTTCTGCCCTCAGTCCTGGGCACTAGAATCCCAAGACTCTTGACATAGGGAAGGAAAGATGGGACGGGAAGAAGAGGCCTCTGTGGACTGTGTCCTTATGGGGGCCTCCAGGCCAGTGAGGTCCCAGTGGTCACTGTGTCCCTTGTCCAAGGCCCTGGCAGTACAGCATGAGGGGACAGGATGTACCCCTCCTTTCCCAGCCCCCAGCCTTGCATTTGAGGAATATGAGGCTTTATTGGAGACTTCAGCTCAGGGGCCCTGCTCCCACTTCCTCAGGAAGCACCGCCCTCCCCCCCAACCTACATACAACCAGCCTGTGTGATGGATTGCTTGTTTCCCTGTGTGGGGGCCCCAGAGCCCCATTTCCTGTGCTGGGCCCAGCACGGGCGGGGAGCGGGGAGGGCGCTGAGACTCTGGGCCCAGATCCCACCTTCCATCCCCACCCCCTGGCTCCTGCTTCCTGCCTTTAGTCCAGCTCCTCCTCCAGGAAAGGGGCCATCAGCTGCTGGTAACTGGGGGAGGGGGAATGTACGCGTGGGAAGCTTCTCACCCCTTCTTACCACCACCCAGTTCCATCACCTGACCTGGACCTGCTGGGACCGCCTGAAGGTGACAGCTGGGCAGCCGGAGAGGACCCTGAAGTCACTCCTGGACCACCTCCAGGTGTGCCTTGTTCTCCCTACCCCGAGACCTGGCACTGCCAGGCCCGGCTGGCATCTGACCTGTCTCTCTCTAGGAACAACATGGGCTGAGGGTGAAGATGCTGCTGCAAGGCAATACCGTGGTCTACTCGGCAGGATGGCCCCCAGAGAAGCAGGCCCAGTACCTATCCCTCAGGTGAGCCCACATCTATCTGGCTTTAGCCAGGCCTTGTTCTGTCCCTGGAGGTTGGAGGTGGGGGACAAGAAGTCTTTCCCCTCCCTAGCCCCATTTGGGCCCCTCACACCTTCCTGAAGCTTTCTTTTGCCAAATGGAGTCAGCAAATGGGCTGGGGGTGGGGTGAGGGCCCAGGGCCCGAGGAGGGGCCTCCAGAGCGGCCGCTCGGCGCCCCCCTTCATAGCCCTCTCCCGGGGGACCAGCAGCTTCCTGCCTCCTGCCCGCCCAGCCAGCCGCTCTGAAAATAGTTTCAGATGTTTCCTGTCTTGAGTTGCTCCTGCTCCTGGCTCACGCTCCTTACGGCCCATTAGCACCCCCTAGTCCGTGGCTACTCTATGCCTGCCACTGCCCGACTGCCCAATCGCCCCTCTCCCAACCCCGCATGCCGCCAGGGTGACGGAATGGGTGAAGCAGAAGACAGGCTGGGTGCCGGAGCCTTGGCGGCGGGTGCTGGTACTGGAAATGAGCTGTGAGGGTGAGAAAGACGACACCACCTTCCCACCCCTGCACTATGAACTGTGACAAGGCAGCAGCTCCGCCACCTCTGCGGAGCTCGGCACACCGAGCCCACAGCAGGCGCGCAATAAATGCTTGTTGGAGGAAGGCGCAAATGGAGAGGCTGGATGATGGAACACTGGGCAGCAACACACATGGGATGCGACAACGGCACACAGGGACCCCTGGAGGGAGGGAAAAGGCTCCTCAGATTCACCTGCCTGGGCTGTGCCTTCCAGGCCTCGGCAGCCTCCCAGAGACTCAGGCGAATGGAACCAGTCCAGAGAAAGGCCTTTATTGTCCCAGGCTGGAGGGCAGGGTCAGAGGTAGCTGACAACATCATTACAGATGATGGGCTGGCGGCTGCGGCAGCTCATGAGGGCTGCAAAGCGCGAGACGTCTGTGGGCAGTTCAGGCTCTGCTCGAGGTGGGCATGACAGTCGCTTTCCGGCCATGGCCGCCCGGCGGGCCCTGGCCAGCTGGCGCCGCAGCTGCTCAGAGAGGCCAAGCAGGAACTGGGGGGGCCGAGCACGGGCACGCGGCCCACCCCCGTGGTCCCCCTCCCCTGCCGCCTCGGGCAGCTCCATCCAGTTGTGCACCAGGTCAGCAAAGCAGTTGTCCCCCAGCACCAGGGGCTGGCGACTTCGACCTCTGCTCAGCAGGGCTGCTGTCCAGTCCTCAGCTTCCAGGCCCCGCCAATGCTCCAGGCAGGCATCTGGGGTGGACTTGGGCCGTGGTCGGTGGGCGGGTGGTGCCCTAGCCACAGGGGCTCTGCTGGACGGGGGGGTGCCACTGGCTGAGAGGCGCTGTCTGTGGGGGCGCCATGCTGGGGGTGCTGGACGTACAGGCGGCTCTTCCTCTCTCCATGTGCTGCCTGACACCTCAGAAAAGCCAGAGTCCCAGTCCAAGGTATGCTCTCTGGGGCCCTCCAAGGCTACACCCCTGTCTCCTGTCACCATACCGTCTTCCTCCTCTTCCTCCACACAGCAGACGGAGTCCTCTTCCAAGGCATCTGAGGCCCTGAGCCGGTGGCTGGCACGTGGCCCGGGTTTGGGGGGTGGTGGAAGGGGACCAGGCATTGGGGGTGAGCCTGTATCCCGGCCACAGGGCTGTGGAGGAAGAGAAGGCAGAAGTCAGAGGGGCAGTGCTTGGCACTGCGGCCTGCCTGCCCCGGCCAGTTGCAGGACAGGAGGCTCAGGACGGCTGGACAGGCCTGCAGGCCTGGGCAGCAAGGCCTCCAGTGAGCACAGGCTATGGGGGCGCTGGCACACGCAGCTCGTGTGGCTCCCATAAGCCGACCTGGTGGCAGTCCGGCAGGCTGCAGCACGCAGAGTTGGGCAAGTCGGCACCCGCCACCAAGGCCCAGGGCTGGAGGCAGGGTTGCCGGCCGAATAGGGAAGTAGGTCCTGCTCAGGGTGGGGGGTGGGTGAGGGGTGGTGGGGTGGAGCATCCCGTGCCTCTTGAGGGATTCAGCTCCCCAAACCTCACATTGTCTTTCCTTTTTCAGACAAGGATAGAGCACTTGCCAGGGGCTCTGTAGAAAAAGGAGTTAGTTTCAGGCCAGTCTGGGATAGGTGGGATCCACAGCAGCGCCAGCACCTCTTTAGTCCCTCGAAGCTCACTGTTACACCCCAAAAGAAGTTTCTCCCACCTCCCTCCCTCCCGCCTCCCTCCTCAGGCCCCGCAGCAAGGCCAGCTGGGCGGCTGTTACTTGATGCCCAGAGCAGCTCCCAACCGTCCGAAACCCGACGCGGGCCATCTGGGCCATCTGGGCCGCTCCACCCCCATCCCGCCTGGGATGAGCACTCGGGACAGGCCCCCGACCCGAGTGTCTTTCAGGCCGATGGCAGCCGAGCACCCTACACCCGTCCTTAAGAGTCACAGAGATCCCGAGTCTCACCAGTTCCCAGCGGAGCTGGCCCAGGAAGCTGTCAAACCGAGTGCTGTGCATGCCCCTGCCGGAGTCCCTGCCAGGCCTGCCAGTTCCTCTGCAAACTCCAGCGGGAGCGGCACGGAAAGGGCCGGGTGGGCCGGCCAGCGGCGCCTTCACCCTCTGCCTAGCGCCGCGGCTCCTCGCTCTCCGTAGCTCCCGCAGCCGCCCCAACATCTGGCAGCCGCGCCCCGCCCCTGGCGCCGCAGCCAATGGGGCGGGGCGGGGCTGAAGTGGCCCCGCCTCTCGGCCGGACCGGGGGCCGAGCCCCACGCCCACTCCCCACTTCGCTCCGGGTCTGTGGAGCCGGGCGGGACTGCCGCTAGAAGGCCGGTCCGGCCCCGGACTCTCCGACGCCCCAGCGGCTGACTCCGGTTTGCTGCGTGACCCAGAATGAGTCACTTCCCCACGGCAGCCTCAGTTTCCCCAATTTTACCAGGACCGAGCTGCGGTCCCTCCCCTCAGGGGCTCCTTGAGCTTCCCCGTGAGGACAGTGCGCCCCCAGTCGCTGGGCCTCAGGGCCCGACCCACTGGACTCGCTCCGGGAGCGAGCCGGGACAATCCCTGGAAGTGCTGGGAGGGTCCGGCCCCTCGGCGGACTCCGGGAGCGCGGGACGTCTAACCGCAGCCAAACCCTCTCCATCCCGCGCCAAGCAAGCTACGCCGCGCCGCCCTCTAGTGGAGAGCGCGCGGCTAGCAGCGATTCCTGCGGTGACGTCTGCACCCCTCGCCGGCCGCAGGTCCCCTGCAGAATGAGAGGGAGTGCAGGCGAGTTAGGGCGGCTGTCTCTGGCGGGAAGGGTCAGAGCTTCCCGAAGCGCCCCGTGATCGCAGGCCGGGTTCCAGGATACTGTCTAACTGGAGACAGACCAGTCAGTAGGTAGGAAAATACCGGTGGTAAAGGCCAGGCTAGCTTGGGAGAGCGGACTCGCAGATGAAGTGACATTCTGTACGGGATCTGGATGAGCCATCACTGAGAGATCAAGAGGCGCATTCTAGCCAGAGGAATCGGCCAGTTAAAGTCCCTGAGAGGACAGGAGGTGGACAGAGCTTAACATAAAGAAGGCCCAAGTTGCCCTGGCCGGTGTGGCCCTGTGGGCTGGAGCATCATCTTCACCTAATGGAGGGGTTTACAGGTTCCACCCCCCACCGACTGCCCGGGTGGGGTCAGGAGGCAATCAGTCGATGCTTCTGTCTCTCATGTCTCCCCCCCCCCACCGCCCCCAAAAGCATGAGAAAAATGTCCTCCGGTGAGGAAAAGAAATGGCCCAAGATGACTATGATGGTGGCAGTTGGGGGAGTGAAGAGGTCAGCAAAACTAGGTTCCTAGCTGCCTGAGAAGTAGGAGGTCTTGTTCATGGTGCCATGGGGAGCACTGAGGACTTTTGAGCAGGAATGACCAGGGCTGGTCCCTGCTTACAGAACCCCAGTTGACCTGGGAGAGCCACTCTGTAATCGGAGTGGAGGCTCCTGCCCTCATCCAGCACTGGAGGGGAGGGCCTGGGCCTCAGTGAGACCGATGCACACCAGGCGGTCCCTTTGGGGTTTGTTTTGGAGCTAAAATCAAGCCTTGCTGATGCATGAATATGGGGAGGGAAAGAGGGCATCAAGCACGGCTTCTGGATTTCCTGCCTGAACACCTGGTTGGATGGAATTGTCGTGAATTGATCCAGAAAGGCTGGAGAAGAGTAGGTTTTGGTTTGGAAAGTCAAATGACCATTTGTGGACATGTGGCCCTTGAGATATCTATTAGACATCCAAGGGGCGAATGGGGGGGAGGTCAGCCACTGGGTGTGTGACTCTGGAGTTTGGGAGAGAGATCAGCACTGAGGCCTTGGGGCTGGGAGGCAGAGCGAGTGGATGGTACTTAAGGTCATGCGCCCAGATGTGATGGCAAAGCTGAGTTCGGCATCAGGACTGAGCCCTGGAACACCCCACCTGGTGGAGGTAGGGAGGGTGAAACCACAAAGGAGGTAAGCAGGAGCAGCCAGGGGGGTGGGCGCTTAGGGGCGGCTGGGGAGCAAGCATCAGATGCTACCCAGGAGGTGAGGCTGGAGCAAGAACTGCTGAGGACCCCAGCCAGGGCAGCTTCGTGGAAACAGGGACAAGCTTGACTGTGGTGAGTAGAAGGGAGAGTGAGAGGTAAAGAACTGGAAAGAGCAAATGTAGACAACTTTTTAAAGATTTTGTTTTCAGACAGAGGGGAAGGAAGGGAGAAAGAGGGAGGGGAACATCCATCGGTTGCCTCTCCTATGCCCCCAGCTGGGGGTCTGGCCCACAACCCAGGCGCGTGCCCTCCCTGGGAATCTAACCGATAGACCTTTCGGTTCACAGACCAGCAGTGCTTGATCCACTGAGCCACACCAGCCAGAACTAGACAACATTTTTAAAAATTGACATGTAAATACAACAAATGGACAGCTCTCAAAGGTACAGCTCAATAAATATTAAAATTTGTAGACACTTGTGCAACTGTCACCCAGATCGAGGTATAGAATATCTCCAGCCGCTCCAGGAGGCCACTTTGTGCCCCCTGAAGTTGCCAGCCCCTAAGAGAACCACTATTTGATTTCTATCACCATGGGTTCCTTTTGCTTGATGAAGGTAAACAACTTCTGGGAGATTTTGGTGGTGGTTGGACTCAGATTAGATAGGCAGACAATTAATGTTCTAACGGGGGGTGGGCAGTTGGAGCTCAGACTCTGTGGGGTAGCAAGTCCTGAGCCCAATTTTCCTGGGTACTGTCTTGCTTTGTCTCTGAGGACTGCGGGACCAAGACTCCCCTGAGTCTCAGTTTCCTCATCTGAAGCTTGATCCTTCTCCCCTCACATCTCCTCCGGGCTGTAGACGTGAATGGAAGAATTCACTGGGAACAGTGAAGAAATGGGGCTTTACAGGCCTCTGGGTGCCTGTGTGGAGTCCCGGGCTCAGTCACCGGGAATAGGAGGCCCCGGAGTCCCGCCTACCCAGTGTGGCTGAGCAACCCGCCTGGCAACAGGCGGGCCTGACAAACAGTCTGGTTTTCCAGCGTCTCCTCTGTTGCTCTATCTCTAGGACACTATGGCACTGCTCAGGCCCCTGGCACTTCTTGCTCTGGTTGTCTCTGGTGAGGTGCTGGTGGCGGGGAGACCCCAGTTCTCATCCCCCTCTGATGGCATAGTGGAGTGGAGACCTGATGTTTCTCAGATAAGCTATTGCGGAGGGCAGGGCTGCGGGGGGGGGGGGGGGAGCCAGGAAAGGGCAAAGATCTGAACCCCTGACCCTCATTCCTCTCTTGGCTTCTTCCTCAATGAAGTCCTCACTCCCAGATGTGAAATGAGCCGACCTGTGGTTGGATGTGGGGGGAAAGAAGGGCCGGGGGCAGGAGGGCAAGGCTACCCTCATGTGCATGGTTCCACGGGCGTGGGGGCCTCCAGTCCGATCGTCTCTTCCTCGCAGGCCTCCACGGCCTGCCCTGGTCCATAAATATCTCTGAGAGACAGGGGCCCGGCGCCATCTTCCAGCCTTTCTCCTTGAACTGCTCGTCTCACGTGCCCACCTTGAAGTTGCTCCATGTGCAGCCCCCCACTACCTTCTTCGACACCCTCAGCCTCAGCGTGACCAGGTGGCAGGGGGCCTATGTGGGAAAGGTAGGGTCATGAGCACAGCTGGGGACCAGGGAGAAACAAGGGCAGACCCTAAATTCACAAAGCCAGAGTGGGTGCAGGGGGAGGGAGAGCCCGGGCCCCATACAGCACTGCCCGCTTGCCACAGCTGACCTTGAACAGCTCGGCCCGGCCGGAGGCCCTGGCAGTGAACCGCTATGAGCTCCAGCTGCAGGTCACATGTGGCGACCTTGTGATGGAAGGGCCGCTCTCTGTGGATGTGCAGCGGGACCTTGGCCATATCCAATGTACTGGCCGATTTGTTAGCCCAGGTGAGACCAGAGGCAGCTGGCGGGGGGCGGGGGGGAGAGGCACGGCCTGAAGAGCACCCCCTGACCTCCCCTTTGCCAGCTGGGGAAGTCGTCCAGGTGCCGGAAACAGTCTCACCAGGGGTCCGCCTGTACACCCTGCTGCTCCCAGGCCTGGACCTCCAGGGAGCCCAGGTGAGCCCAGCACAGGGCAATGTGGGGGAGGGGGCAGAACAGAGGAGGCACGGGGACAGCACGCCCCGCCCATGCCTGGCCGAGCACAGCCTGCATGTGTTTGAAGGGAGCCACTGAGGTCTCCCTCCATTCAGTGACCATGGCTGTTCCTACAGGAACCTCTCTGGGGCTGAGTTCTTTCAAGTTCTCCTGCATGTTCTCAATTCTCCATGAAAATTCTGTATCACTTTTATAATGCAAAAAAGAAATGTAGTTAAAAAAAAACCCAACAACCAAAGTACAACACTTAAAAGCAGAAAGGATTAAGGATCAGGGCCAAGCCACCCTAGCTGGGGTATGTGTCCGTGTCGGGGTCTGGGAGCCTTGGGTGTGGGCCCGTACCCGCTGGGCTGTTGGGGGTTTTGACAGGGATGCTGGGGCACTGGGGTAGAGCGGGGGGGCCTCAAGCGTCTCTGTCCTGTCAGATAAACATCACCAGTGCCCAGGACCCTCCACACTTCCCTGGACCTTTCTCCATCAATGGGCAGGGTTGGCTGCAGGCACCACCCCAGGGCCTCAAAGGCCAGGCTCAAAAGGTGAGCAGGACTCAGGACCTGGGAACAGCCATGGGTTGGGCATACAAGGGGCGGAGCCACCACCTCCTGGAAGTTTGTTGTTCTCGGTCCCCTGGGTCTTCACCACTGTGCTGCCTCTCCCAGACAGACCCACGCCTGCATCTGCTGCCCCCTGCCGCTGTCCTCCCTCCCGGGCCGGCTTGGTGCTGGGCTCTGGATTCCGGAGAAAAGAGGGGTCCTTGGCTCTGGGAGCTCATGGAGCCTGGAATAGAAAGCAGTGTGTTCAGAGCAGTCATGTAGGAGAAGAAAGTTCTGAGTAAAGTGGATAATGCAGTCTGAAGGGGGTTAGAGAAGTTTTTTCTTTAAAAATTCCACATCTTAGCCCTGGCTGGTGTGGCTCAGTGGATTGAGTGCCAACCTGTGAAATGAGAGGTTGCCCATTGGATTCCCGGTCAGGGCACTGCCTGGGTTGCAGGCCAGGTCCCCAGTTGGTGGTGTGTGAGAGGCAACCATGTATCTCTTGCATATTGCTGTTTCTCTTCCTCTCTTTCTCCCTTCCTTCCCCTCTCTCTAAAAGTAAATAAATAAAATTTTTAAAAAATTATTTAAAAAAATTCCCTGTCTTAGTGACTGGCTCTTAGCAACTCTAAGGTGGTAAGTCACATATTGAATGACTCACATATTACTCTTTTGGGGGCTGTTTGCATCCTAATGGAAGGATTAATGGCCCAAGAATGGGACTCAGAGGAATATCTGTCAGTAGAATGGCTCGGCTAGGGGAACAGTGAATGTTGGTGCTCTTTGCGGAGGTCCTGAAGGGGGCCTGCCCATTTGAAGAGAAGGCTGGGCACAGGCAGACAAGCAGAGGTGCACCGTGGTTCCCCTTCCTGTCCTGTGTGCACCTAGACCTTCCAGCTTCAGATCCTGGTGACCGTTGGAGCAAACCGAAGCTGCCGAGGGATGCTGACGGTGAAAGTTTTGTCTGTTCCTTCCAGCCAGGTCTCCTTCCTGTAAGGCTCCCCTACCCTGGAACAGAGAGGGAGGCAGGGCCTAGCCCCAGGGAAGCAGAAGTAGGTTAGGGTAGGGCTGCTGGAGTGTGCCCGCTAGCTCGGGTAGGAGGGAAGCCCCAGAGGAGGGGCCTGGGCACCGTGATGGGGCGGGAAGCGGGGGTGGGGGTGGGGCGCGGATCCAGCAGAGCAAGTGCCCCTTTTGGTTTAGGGAGCAGAACCAGAGTATCACCATCCCCGAGGACCTGGTCCCTGGGAGTAAGGTGGTTCAGGTTCAGGCCCGGGGCATCGACGTGCGCTACGAAATCCTCTCTCCCGTGCCCTGTCCGCTCTTCTCCGTCGGCCGCGGTGAGAGGCGTGGAAGGGGGAGGGGTGGATACGGGATGCCTCTGCGGGTGGTCCAGAGGTTATTCGCGCTTACCTTTCGCGCCTTCCTGGGAAAAGAGGCTGGAGCCGAGGCGGACACTGGGGAGAGCGTGCGTCTGCGGTCCGGCCTTGGGTTAGAGTCTAGCCTCGCAGGAGGCGACTCGTGTGGCGAGGCACCCGGGTCAGGGGATCGGGTGGGAGGTTGCGTCCCGCACTGAGCTTGCGGCGGGGCCGAACCCTGCATCGCCCACTCTCCCACCCCGCGCAGCCGACGGCGTGATTCGGACCACTGCGCCCCTGGACTTGGCGCGGGCCGCAGGCGCGGCAGTCACCGCCCTGCAGGTGAAGGCCTTCGAGCGGCTCCGGCCGTGGGCCAGTGTCCAGCTCGATCTCACCGTGAACGTGACTCCGGTCAACCGCTGGCCCCCGCGCTGTCTCCCGGCGCTGCTGGTGTGAGTACCCCCGAGACTTCCCTAAGCCATGGGGATGCCAGCCACGGCTCTCGCCGGCCCGACTCCCGCCTGGCCGCCGCCCTCTGCTTGCAGGGCTCAAATCCCTGAGACCGCGCCCGTGGGCACCGTGCTGAGTGCCTTCACTTGCGCTGACCCGGACTCTCCTGCTTCCACCCTTGACTACCAGCTGCGGCTCCACAGCCCGCCTGGCCTGTCCAGCCTCTGCCTCAGCGACAGGGTTCTGAAGGTGCCTGGTGCCCGCTCCCAGGCCCACGTGCAGGGTGCTTGGAGGGGGAGGTGGCAAGGCCTGTGAGAGTCAGGCCAGGGGGGTGAAGGAGGTGGCGGGGAGCCTACCTGCTCTGCAGTCTGGAAAACATGGGCTCAGGGTCGGCTCTCTGTGGATACCCTGGCCCAAGGCAGCCAGTGTGGCTCGAGGCTCCGCGAGGCCGCGGCTGGGCCTCACCCTCTGGCCCTCTGGCCAGGTGAATGGCACACTGGACTGTGACGCTCCTGGGGCCTGCGTGCAGCACACAGCCTCCATTCTGGTGTTCGATGGTGGCCAGCCCTGGACGACCAGTGAGTGACCGCCTCCAGGGGCCTGGACATTCCCGACAGGGCTGCTCAGGTCCCCTCTCCCTGTTCTTGGGACAGGGTCGTCTCTCCTCCCTCAAAAACCGATAGGGCTGTTTGTCTCCATTTCGGACCCCTAGGATGGGGCGCATCTCTCTGATCCTGGACACCCCCTCCCCCCAGACCCTTTCCCTCCTTAGACCCCCAGGGCAGGGACATGTCTTCCCCCTCAGGCCCTTAGGGCAGGGCTAGGCACCCCAGGCCAGCTCCTTGACTGCCTGACGGCCTCCAGCTGAGGTGCCAGTACGGGTGACAGTGACGCCTGTCAACGAGTTCTCCCCAGCCTGTACTCCACGCACGTTCCGGGTTCGCGAGGATGCAGGGCCCCGCACCCTGCTGGGCTCTGTGGTGGGCACGGACAGGGATCACCCGTACGACAGCATTGAGTACTACGCCCCTGGCGGGCCTGCCACCTTCGCCGTGGACCGTCTCAGTGGTACTTCCTCCCCGGGGCTGGGACGCAGAGGCGGAGCCAGAGCTGAGTCTGCAGGCTGAGGCGATGGTTCCGCCCCCTAGGAGAGGTTCACCTCCTGGGGCCTTTGGACTACGAGCAGCAGAGGCTGTACAGGCTCACCGTCCTTGTGACTGACCACAGCCAAGACCAGGACGCCACCCACCGTCGCTCAGGCTCCTGCACTGTTACCATTGAGGTTGAGGTAGCGGAGCCCTGAGGCCTTGGAAAGAACTGGAGAGGGTTCACGTCTCCCTCTAGCATTCTGATTTTTCTCTCTGTCCCTCAGTTTCTTCTGTTGGTTGGCGGGAAGGGGTGGGGCCTCGCGTGGAAAGCTCTGTAGCCCATTGCCTGACACCGAGGCTCTAGCTGAGGTGGGAGGAGGCCGAGGGGCGGGTCTGGGCCCTAGGGGACGGGGAGTCCTGGCTGCCTTCCTGCAGGATGTGAATGACCACGCTCCCGAGTGTGAGCCCCCGTTTCAGGAGCTCGCCATCCACACCTCCCCAGGCCGTAGCACAGAGGTGACTGAGGTGTCGTGTCGGATCCCTCAGGAGCCACAGCGCCTGGCTTTCTCCTACAGCATCGTGGGAGGTGAGGCCCATGGGGCCACCCGGCTGTGGGAGAGAAGCGGGCAAAGCCAGCAACAGTCCCCTTCTTCTGCCACTCCGCTTCCAGGGAATAGTCAGGGCCGGTTCAGCCTGCAAGGAGCCATCCTGGTGCACAAGGACCGCATGCTGGGGCCCCGCTGGCCGGAGCAGCCGCATACTTACGAGCTATTGATTCGTGTGGCTGACGCGGGCCCCTCCATCCCCCACCTCAGCACCACAGCTACTGTCATCGTGCATCTAGTTCCCTGGAGGGCCAGCACAGCGGCCACCAGCACCCATGGCGCCACAGTGAGGGGGGGTCCTTGGGCCCTTGAGGGGTGGAGAGAGAGGATCTCAGAGGGTGAGAAGACCCAGTTTTCCGGGTCAACAATGGGGGAAGGCACTACAGAGGGAGCCGTCAAGTGCAAAGAGCAACACAGGAGAGCAAACCTGGGGTGTTGGGGGCCAAGCCCTCGGAGGAGTTTGAAGACTGGATGATCAGGGCATTTTGCAAGGCAGGGGTGAGGCTGCGGCTCCCATTTCAGGCGCCTTCAATGAGGACACCCCTGCTTGTGATAGACACGGAGGCTTTCTGGCAGCCAGAGCCCTGGTTTGTGGTGGTGCTGACAGTGACCGGTGCCCTTCTGCTCCTGCCTCTGGGCTGGCTCCTCAGCAGGCTCCTCCGGAGGTAGGGTGCCTTCCCCTGCGCCCCTGCCTCCCCCAGCCCCCTCATGGACCCCTTCTGTGAGCGTTGGTTTCAGCCGAGATTTGATAACAACGCTCACGGTGGTGAGCAGACAAGCTGGCATTAAGGAGCGCTGCCCCGCCTCCGGAGGCCTGGCGGAGGCCAGGAGATGCTGAAGGCCCCTGTCTCCGCCGAGCGCAGAGCCTGGCCTTGGAATGGGATGCGTGGGGGCAGCGCCCAGGGCCCGAGGCTGAGTGTGTCGTCCTTCGGGCACTTACCCCATTCCTTACCCCGGCCCTCCACTCGAAACCTGACCTGCCCCTAAGGCTTTGAGTTTCTTGTGGGCCCAGGGCTGAACCCAGGAAGTGGTAGGGGTGACAGTGTGGACACTGGAGCCGGACGCTGGCTCTCTCCAGTACAAAGGGGTAGACGAGTGGCGCGGATTCCTGGAGCCCGTGGGGGTGCGGCCCTCAGGTTTGGTCCCCCTCCTGGCATTTTAGATGGGCCCAGGCACTGCAGGCGCCAAGCAAACCGGCTCGGGCTCTGCTACTGAATGGGTCAGCCTCCTTTGCCTATCTCTACACCTGGAAGTCCGTGGCTTAAACTCAGGCCGGGGCCCAGAGGCTCATCCTGTGCTCCTGCTCCTGCTTTGCCCCAGTGTCCAGGGAACGGAGGGGTCTACTGAGGGGCTCAGGCAGGCGCCGAGGGTGGAGACACCGCAGGTACCCCGAAGCTTCATGAGCCTGGTATGTCAACGCTCCATCCTGTGCAGTGGGGCACTGAGGCTGCTCTTGAGCGCTCCCCTGCCAAGCCTGCGGCCCCCCCCATGGAGGGCTACCCCTGTGGGAGCGCCCGCCCCAGCACCATGAGGATGCCGGGGACCGGGTTCAACTTACCACGCCCTCTCATTTTTCCCCTCAGCAGCATTTTGATGGCAGAGCATGGGACTCCCGTGAGTCCCCCCCACCCAAACCGTTTCCCACCTGGACCCACTTTCTCGCCTCCCCCTGTCTCAGTATCTCCTCCTGCCACTAGGCACCCACCATCTGACCCACTTTTTCCCTGAATGGGGTCAGTTCTCACTCCCACACACCTCTTAGCCAATGTTTGTCAAACACCTGTGGGGTCAGGAAATGACTCAGAGGTGGTCTGGTTCCCGCCCTTGGGAGCAGGGGGGACGATAGTGAGGGGAGAAGCCCCCAGGTACTCCATTGTCACCAATGAATTACGGCAGAGTATCTGGCACTTGGTTTAGGGCAGCCAGTGTCCAGTTTTGGAGAATCAAGGATATGCTTTCTGGGCATTTGAACCAGACCTCAGAGGATTTTCTGAAAAAGGAGGGAGGGGTCAGGTTGGGTTAAGCAGAAGGGGTGTCACTCCAAGGGTCCTGGGACATCTACCCTTAGGGGAGGGAGGCAGTTCTGCTGAGGCCAGCAGTGCCCCCTCTCTCTCCTGACCATCTGAGCTCAGGTACAGGCAGAGGTTACCTGTTCAACACGCGCACAGGCACCCGGCGCTGGCTCTGAGGCCAAGAAGCTGCTTCGCTATGTGGGAATTTCTTCTTCACATGATCATGGGCTGTGGTTTCAAGTTGATTCAATAATAAACAAAATGACAGACAGAAAAGCCCCCGCCTTGTAACCCATGTGTGGGAGAAGCTGTGTGATCTGTGCCTCCTTGTTCTCCCATGGAGAACTCCCTACCTTGTGGGAACACTCTAGGGAGTAGGAAGGTTATTTTTTAGAAAAGATTTTATTTATTTATCTTTAGAGAGAAGGGAAGGGCGAGAAAAAGAGGAGAGAAACTTCAATGTGCGAAAGAAACTTTGATGTGCAAGAGAAACATCGATCGGTTGCCTCTCGCATGCCTCCAAGTGGGGACCTGGTCCAAAACCCAGGCACGTGCCCCGACCAGCGACCTTTCGGTTTGCAGCAGGACACCCAACCCACCGAGCCACACCAGTCGGGGCTAGTAAAGTTATTTTGAAAAAGGTGCTGTACAGTGCTCTGGTTGACAGTGATTCATGCTCTGCAGAGGTAAGAACCTGTTAGCGTCGTCAGGGCTGTAGGGGCAGGTCCCCTCTTTTAGATGGGCCCAGGCACTGCAGGCGCCAAGCAAGGCGGAGAGGGTGCAGGAGCTTCCTTTTCCCACTGAGGACATTGTTGGGGCCGTGTGCCCGCTGCATGTGAAGGTTTTCTTGGGAAGGATCGGAGCTTTGCACTGAGGTGTGGGTTGGTGCAGACGTGAGAAGGCTGTGGCATAGACGGCTTCGGGGGGACTGATGGTAGCCCTCTTCTGGGGGCTGTTCCCACTTCTTCCTGACATTTCTTCTGGTTCCTTGGCGCTCAGCCCTCCCTGAGCTGAGCCGAGCTGCTGCACGGAGCCGAGTGGCCTACAGTAACCTGCAGGAGGGCAGGTTCCACTGGGTGCAGCGCTAGCCTACTTTCCCTGCCCCAGCCTGGCACCAGGTCACAGGATGCTGCCAGCTCTCCAAAAGGAATGGCTCTCTGGTGGAGGCCATTCTTATTATTTTTTTAAATTTATTGATTTTAGAAAAGGGGGGGGGAGAGAGAGAGAGAGAGGCGCATCAAATTGTTGTTCCACTTATTGTTGCATTCATTGGTTGACTTTTGTGTGTTCCCTGACCCGGAATCAAACCTGCAAACTTGGCATATCAGGATGATGCTCTAAACAACTGAGTACCCAGCCAGGGCTGGTGGAGGCTATCTTTTCTGCGGTATCCCCAAGTTCTCTCAATCTTCTTCCCTCTGCGAAGTCTGTGGACCTGAATCCTGTCAGGGGACTGGAAGAATCTCCTTTCCTGAGCCAGTTAGAAGTCTCAGGTGGGGAAAGAATCTGAGCGCCTTCTGCAGGAGAAACACGTTCCACGGGGCTCCCGCTAAAGTGAGCTGGCCTTGGGGACAGAAACGTGAGAGCAGGCTGCTGTTGGAAGTGGTTGTAGGCAGACTTGGTCTGAGCACTCACTCTGCTCTAAGGACTCATTAAATCTTCATCTCTAAAGAGCCAGACTGTTATCCTGATTTTACAGTTGGGGCAATCAAAGCTCCAAAGGCACCATGTTAGCTAGTCCTGATACTTGATTGGGTGTAAATTGTGTCACTGCATCTGGCCTCCTAACCCGGAAGCCAAGTCCAGGGTTAGGTGCTCTGAACAGGGGACCAGGGATAATCACCTTTCCAGGACTTACAGCTGGCTTCAGAGGCACATCATGACAGTCCAGGGCAAAATATATTGTCATAGGAACTCAAGATAAGGTACTTTAGGACAGCAAAAGAGCGTGCCCGCTGTGTGCCAGGGGTTGTGCTGGGAGCTGAACTCTAAACAGGAGGACAAACGTGGGCAACGGCCAGCGACTGCTCGGGACAGCACAGATGGCTGCACTTCGGGACTGACGAGGGGCAAAGCTGGGAAAGCCGCTGGAAAGAGGGCATTAAACCCCGAAGCCAGTAGGAGGAGGTACGAGAGCCGGTGCCTCCACTTCCAGAGGTGGCGTGACCTTGGTCCTGCTTCCCTCTCTGTGCCTCAGTTTCTTCACCAGTGAACTGGGGACAGCAACTCCTCCCTTCCCAAGTGGGTAACGAAAAAAAGAAAAAAGCAAATAGCACACTGCACACATTCCCTACGTGTGCACGCGTGTGGGTAAGGAGAGGCTGCCGCACCGCACCGGAGTCGCGCACATAGAGAGGCCAAGGGCGGCTCGGCCTCGGAGTCACCCGCAAAAGCTCTGCCGCCAGCAATTCTGCAAACCGCGCGCATGCGCCAACCCGTGCCGTCACAGTCACGTGCCGAAGCGCTCGGCCCTGGCTTTGGGAGGTTGGCTCTGATTGACAACTAGGTTGACCTGTCATCGGAAAACATTCCCCAGACGTCGGGCAAAGAGGTTGTTAATTGGGGACAGTCCTGGCCGGGGGCGGGTTCTTTGCCGCCCTGGTTACTATGACGCCCGGCCCCCGCCCCCTCGGCTAGCCGCCATCTTGTTGTTGATCCTACTCAGTGGGCAGCGCCAGGAGCTGGACCGAGCGGCCGGTGCGGGGCCGCTGGTGCGGGGCTCAGCCACCTGCCCTGCCTGATAGGGGCGGGCCGAAACCTGGAGGCCCGGGGGGCCCAGCTCCCGTGGGGAGCCGTGGGCGCCCGCTGCCCAGGCCGGGCTGGTGAGTGACAGGACCCGGGCCGATAGACTGGCCTGACGGCCGCGGGGCGGGCAGCGGCGGGCGCGGGGTTGGAGCGGGTGCGCACAGGACTGAGATATCCCTAGAGCATCACTTGAACGTCGCTCGAGTGTCCTGAGCGGCCGCCCGTGGAGCTTCTCAGATGCTGGCGCCGAGGTCGCGGGGACGGCTTCGGGGTGGCGGTCTAAGAGTCCCGCGCTCGAGGGACTGCCCGCTGGGTAGCGGGAAAGTAGTTTCTCTGACCGAAGCCCTGGGCTCCGCTGGTCCACAGCACTGAACCACGTCCGGTGCCAGCCTGATGCTCTCCGGGGCGTTGTGTTGCTCCCGGGTGAGAAATATCCGTACTTCTCTCTTAGATCTCGCTCCCGCGAGTGATTTTCAGGCGGCCTGAGGCTGAGACAAGACGAAAGAGGCGAAAGCCCCACGAAGCAGGCGAAAGCCCGCGAACCAGGCAGGCCCGTGTGATTTTGGCAGGGCGAAGGCCTTCTCCCCGGCGCCTGCCTCTGTGCTCCTCGGAGCTCACCGTTTGCTTCTTCCCTGATGTGGGCCTGGTTAAATGTCCGTGATGCCCGAATTGTATTTTGGGACATAATTTCTTTGGTTCTCTACCACCACTTTTGGAGTGGTGGGAAGGTCCTCCTCTTTTTGCTCTAGGAGAAAGTATTACGGTGATGTCTTGGTTGATTTTACTTACTGAAGAGATGTTTTCCTAATGTAATGAGACAAAGGAAATCCAGGAGTGTGTTAGAATCAGGAAAAGAGGTGAAACTTTCTATCCTTGTGGATGGTATGGAACTGCCAAGTTAACTTTTATCAGACTACACGTATCTTGCCCAAGGAAAACAGACCGTCCCAGGCCCTCTTCCTGCCCCGGGTGGGAGGGTTAGAGACCCTGGCCTGGGTGTGTGGAAGAGTTCTGAGTGCTCCAAGACACATTTCTCTTTCCCTCTGTCCCTTGGCTTCTCCACAAGGGCTTCTTGAATTTGGTCACATAAAAAGCCTGCGTGAGACCACTAAGAAGTCAAGCAACAATACTTTGTGCACTGGGGTCAGGATCTTGTCAACTTCAGAATGTTTAATTTTGAAAGAAACCAGCTCCTTGGTCAGGAGATCCTTTTGGAGAACAGATGCTGAAACCAGAGAAGGCTGCCGGCCTGTTGCTTGCTGGTTGCCTTGCTTGTGAGAAGAGGGAGAAGTTGAGTCGTCTAGGTATATATTTCACTGCCTTCCTTCTGGCCATTTTTTAAAAAATCTTGAGTGAATTTTGATCTTGGTAAGACCAGTTCTCTGGGCAGCTCTTGGTAAGAAAAGGAGACACTAAAATATTAGAAGCTTCTCAGAATTGTCCCAAGTTAATCAACTTCGCCCACCCTTTGAGTAACGCTCCCTTTGCAAGTTTAAGGCAGACACTGGGTTAAATTCTTGCTGGTTTTTGTTAAACTAGCCCCCGCTTAGGCTCCTGGCTTGTTTAGGACCTCTCTGGGATGCAGAAATTGCAGGACACTCTCCGTAGTGCTAAGCACTAACTTTTGCTGTCCCAAGGACATTATAGAATATCCAAGAACTTTTACTGCCTTTGTCTAATGCTCTTACACCCTGATGAGTAGTATTTATGAGCAGTGAATGATGCTTGATTCAGTATGGTATTACCCCAAGGTAGCTAATAGTAGTACTTTTGTGTTGGGCGTTTCTAAGTGCAAAATAAGTAAGAATGTTTTAATAGCGGGTCCTCCGTCCACTTAAACTTCTTTGTCTTTATGTAATTCAACTGTGAATATCAGCCCTTTTAATTCTTATGAGCAACAGGCACACTTCCCAGGCTGTGGAGAGCCTGCACTCAAGTCGAAACTGCTCTAGGTTTGTGGAATGAGATCTGGCGTCCCGAGGTGGCATTCAAGGTGCTGCTGGCCAGCTGCCCTCCGCCCACCCCTCCAGGGCTTATCCTAATCCCCCCAAGCGAATGGTTTGCTAAGCATACTCCTTGTGTGTGTTATTTCCCTACACAAATCACTTACTAGCTGACTCCAGTGGTTTTGCCTCCTTTGGAATATCCTTTTCCTTCAGCTCCACGTCTCCTTTCTGCAGAGCCCAGCTCAGGTCCTTCCCCACTTTTGCAAAACACACCGCAACTGTCCCGGCCCCTGGGGATGCTCTCCTCCCTCTGAACCGCAGGAGCATTTGTTGCCCTTACACAAAAACAAAATAGTATTTGCTCTTTTAAAAATAATCTTTTGTTTCCTCTGATAAGCCTCAACCCCTTTTCGACAGAGGCTGTATTTTTGTGTATTCATGCACCTGCATATGGTATTAGGACTAAATGTTTACGAAAATGTGCTAAATTTGTCTGAGTTGGAAACATCCTCTGTAATTAAACAGCAGAGGGAGTGGGCAAGCAGGAATGGCGGTTTGGTGGCCGCAGAGCCCCACCTCCCACCCTGCCTGAAATGGTAGCACAAGTCCACTCTAGTGCCTATGGAGGCCTAGTGGTCAGTGCCATGGAACAGAGGCAGAACTTGCTTCAAGTGCAGAACTGAGGCCTGAAACCAGTAATTGTGCATCTCAGAAGTGGCTGTGTGGCCTCACCCCCTTCCTAAGATGCCAGTTTTGGCTCTTGGAAAAAATGTGTTGGGTGAGCGTGGCACTGGGTGCCGAGAGTCTTAGACCCTCTTTTTGGTTGGTGCTCGAGCTCACTGCCGGCTTGGGTGGCCGTAAGTGTGCGTCGGTGGTGTATGCGGCTTGCACTCCTCCCACTCCTGCCCGGAGGGTCAGGAGCAGTGACGGGCAGAGATGGGGAAAGGCGCCTTCTCTGGCTTCGGGGCGAGGGAGCAGTCAGCCGTCACTGGCTGAGTCTTATATGTGCCCTGACCACAGATCAAACCTGCAACCTTGGCGTATTGGGAGAGCACTCTAACCAGCTGAGCTGCCTGGCCCGGGCTCAGTCAGGCATTTTGTATGCTTGTACCAGCGAATCTGTGCTTTTGCCCCAATTTTAAATCAGATTTTACTTGTGTTCTACTACTACAGCAGGAGTTGAGCAATGGATTCTGAATGAGAAAACCTAAGACATCTTCGTTCTTTTATGAAAGGTGATCAAAACTCTATGTTTGCTGCTGTAGCTTGAAGTTATATTTATTGTAGAAGTCATTACAAATGCGTTTTGATGGGAACACATGTTTACTTCAGTGTTGGATCCCTATTAGGGACTTTGTTTTGTTGAGTGCATAGAAAATCCGCTTCTGATCTCTTCTGTAAAAGTTTTATTTCTCGGTGGGAGTGTGGCTTGCTTGTTCTTGTTCCCTCGTCTTACTGAAGCTAGGCAGGCTGGGGAGCAGGCTTAGGACTAGGCTCTTTTCAAGTCTAAAATGTGATGTCAGTGAAGAACACCTTGAAGTCTGTAAAAATCTGGGCGTGTTATGATTGAATGAACTCTTGCAGACAACTCATTCTCTAATCAGAAAGTCAGATAATGACAAGTTCGGTGAGGGCGTGGAAAAGTCGGATCAGAGCCCTTGTCCACAGCTGGCGAGACCATGAAATGATGCAGCCACTTTGGAAAACAGGCTGGCAGTTCTTTAAATGGTTAAACATAGAGTTTCCGTACAACTCAGCAATCCCACTTTTAATTATTTCCTCAAGAGAAATGGAAATATGTCCACACAAAAGCCTGTGTATGAATGTTTATAGCAGCATTATTCATGATAGCCAAAGGGAGAAACAGCCTAAATGTCTATCAGCTGATAATGGATAAATGAAATGGGGTGTATACATGAAATGGAGTATTATTTAACAATAAAAAAGAATGTAGTGCTGACACCTGCCACAACATGGATGGAGGAAATCATGCTTAGGGGGAAGACACCAGACACACAAGGTCACCTATTATGTAGTTCCATTCGCCTGAATGTCCAGACCAGCCACATTTACAGAGCTAGGAAGTAGATCATTGGTTGCGGAGGGCTTGGGGGTGGAGGAGAGGACGGGGGAATGAGAGCTGAAGGGTAAGGAATTTCTTTTTGAGGTGATGAGTATGTTCGAAAATTGTAGAGATGGTCGCACCAACGTGCACATACACTAAAAACCATTACATTGTCCACTTTAAATGGGTGACTTGTATGTGTGAATTTGAGCTCAAAGTAGTTAGTAAAAATAGCTTTTATATAAGTAATATATATTCACTAGTTTTAAAAAAAGATAATATATGAGTAACAAGAAGAAATAAAAACAAAGGATCACCCATCACTTCACCATTAATATATAACCAGACCTTTTTTCCCTGTCGTGTAACTTACAAAAATGAGATGAGGGTCTTGGCTGGGGTGGCTCTGTGCATTGAGCGTCAGTCTGCTAAATGGGAGTCCCATGCCGGCGGCCGGCCTGGGTTGTGGGCGGGGCCCCACCAGGGGCCATGCAAGAGGCAACCAGTCTGTGTTTCTCTCACACATTAATGTTTCTCTTCGTCTCTTTTTCCCTCCCTCCCCCTCTCTAAAATAAATAAAATCTTAAAAAAAAAATGAGATTATGTTCTACATCCTGATTTGTACCTTTTTCTGGTCAGTGAGATATCGTCGACATCTGGGTTGGCGGTGAACACGCTCCGTCTGGGGCCCGCGGGCAGGCGGCGGGGCGAGGGGCGGTGGGCCTGGTGGGACTTGCGCGGACTAGCCCCCGCGGCCCCTCTGAAAGGTCATCCTTGCTCAGTGCCAGCCAGCAGCTCTCGTGTTAACAGATCTTGTGACTTTTTTTTTTTTTTTTTAAGATAACCAGCAATCTGGATTTTTATGTCACATCTCCTGATTTTTAAATTTGGCAATGAATTAAGAAAATTTGAGTCATTTCACTGGTCAAAGAAAACTGCTGACTGGAAATGGGAAAAATTTTGAATTGCCTGATGTGCACGGTCCCGCCTGGGGTGGGACGAGGTGACATCTGCTTTCTTGTTTTAGCCCTTATACTGCAAACAAGCGTCCTTTTAGCGGTGTATC